ACACCCAAGAGCGGCGCTGCAGATATTTTACCGTGTCGCACAGATCTCTTTGTTGAAATTCTACACACATCGCGGATCATTCATAAATTCTTCCGACTCTCTGCTGAAAATGGTGAGTAGCGCCTTGTCTCCACGGGACGTTTCCCAGGATTTTTCCCAAGTTCGAATCGCAGGAATGAAACTTCTGGGCTTTTTCTCGTTAAACAACACAACAAAATTTCTTCGTCTTCTTTTTAAGTCGTCCCTAGGACTCCACAGGGACTCTTAGTTAGCACTGTGATTAGTATAAACTGGACGTATTTTTGTCAAACGGAACTAAGCGCCAATTTAAGTTCCTTTTGAGGAATTTAGAATCCCGGTTAGCGCGTTCTGTCAAACGGAACTAAGCGCCATGGAAAAGCATTGCGAGTATACCCTGGTAAAAATTGGCGATAGGAGCTGCGTTTCAAAATACCATAGGAGTTCTTACACAGCCGACTACAGAAGGCTATTGAAAATCATATAGCTGGCTGTAGAAAGTGGAGCAAATCATACAGCCGGGATATACGAAGCTATAAAAAAGTATATAGTCGGGCTATAGTTCCTATCGCCGGGCTATACACTTTATCGCCATTGGCTGTAAAAAGCTGTAAGAAATTGTGTGGAAATTCGTGTGCTTTGAAAATCATCAAGTTTGATACGGAACCACCTTAATATTTACAAAACACACGTTATATTTTCCTTTAATACATATTTTTTTTCATCAATTAAAACGAGAATAATCCATACAGGATGTGCAAACATTTCAAAATCATGAGTTAAATAACGCTGACTCCGCCAGTTTAAATATTAGAGCCTAACTTAAAGCGGAGCGGCGACGCACTGGCTCCTACAAACCTAACAGGGATACCTCACGCATTGCGCAACGCGTGAAGTATCCCTGTTAGGTTTGTAGGCGCCAATGCGCGTTTCGCGATGGCTGCCCGCCTGCCGCACCGCAGCGTGCCACGGCGTTTGAATCATCTATTTCACACCAGAGGTATTGCACAGTATCATACGAAACTGAAGGCGCTCTAATAGGAATGGCAGGCATCCATCAGAAGTACGGAGCTTTCCTCGCAAAATAAATCAAGATACTACGGCCCAAAAAGAGAGCGGTAGTCCAAAAACTAACCAAGTCCTAGTATCCGTATTTAGTAACGTTTAGCATCAACTTTATCGTCTGGCTGTTGCTTAATCCCATCGGCTATAAAAGTTATAAGAAATTGTACAGCCGGCTACAGAAGCTATTGAAAATCTAACAGCCGGCTTTAGGTCTATAGTATTTTGGAACACACATTCTATTGCCAATTTTTACTAGGGTAGGACGGAATGAGCCCGATACCCGGTTCCGCCACCAATCAAAGCCCCCCTCTACCTTTCTCCCCCTATTTCGCTTAGTTCCATTTGACAGAAATACGTCCAACTAACCCAATATTTTTCCCAAATTCGCAAGTGAGATTTTTTCCCGAGACAAATTCCATGAAACGTCCCGTGGAGACAAGGTTTAAACCCACTTGTTTTTGCCCAACATACGTATCAGAGGAAATTTTCCTCATCTGTACTCGCATCAATATAGCATATATACTGATGACAGAGTTTCAATTCTGCGCACATTTCCCATTTATATGATAAATGAACGTCCTTTCGCAAAAATAAGTAAACTTATGCAGAAACTGAGTCGAATTTAATGATATATATAGACGGCGTAAGTTCGCAATCACATACCTCGTTTGCGGTGTCTGAAAATCTCCGTCTCTGTGTTATTTTTTAAGGAGAACAAATTGACATCATTCCTTGAAGTTTTTGCAGATTTTTTTTCGCACGGAGAAGGAAAATCACAGCAATTTTAAAGAATCGCCGTCGAGTAGTTTTCCGTTTAAAAAATAAAGTATGTCAGGAAGTCTGCGACCTCGCAAACCGAGTTATGTGATTGCCGACTTACACCGTCGATATGTATAATTCTGGATAATTTGATTTCACAAGTTGGCTACCCTTTGGGGCCCAAAAAGCCTTATGACTTAATTTCAGAATTACCGACATGTGCGTACCCTCCCCGTATAGGTTATCTATTTTGGACATCGGATATTATTTTTTAACCTCTCATTTATCGCAATACTTTCAAGTTCCGACGACCGTGTGCCGTAAAACGACCGTTGCTTACAGATCTCTCGGGAGCGGATCACATCGTTGCTTGGCTAACATACGGGCATAACTACACTCTGTAATGAACCCTGTCTTCCATATATTTCAATGCTCTTCCGGGCTCATCTCAATTTGCAGTTTAGCCCTTATGTCGGCCAAGCGACGGACATAATGCGCCGCAACGCTGCGAAGCGGACACAAAAGCTCCGGCCTCGCTTCGCTTCACTTTTGTCGGCGTCCGGCGTAGCCATCGGGGTCGCCAAAAATACAAGATTTTCCCGGGAAACTCCCGTGTGATTTGGACCCCGAATCGCTGATCTGACAACAAGATTGCTCGCGTCCGAATGCGTCGTGCACTTTCAATAGCCGCACTTATGGTCACCGGTGAACAATATCTCAATGCGCCCGTGCCTCAACACATAACAGAACTCTCCAGTAAAAAATAAACAAGTTGTATTAAATGTAAGGGTTTTTTTCATGGTTTTCGTGGATCCCACGTTGTGACGTCACGGCAAGATTGAGGGTGGCGCATGGAGGGCGACTCTACCAGCCGCCATCATAAGTGTGGGCTGATCATTCAAATTGATAGACAAAGCAATATACAAAGAAGACGAAGGAAGTATATAGCGATCTTATTGGTTGAAACGGTTGGTTGTAAGAGACCAAGGGGGAAAATCGATGGACTAATCATTGGGTCTCTCATGGGTTGTCGTCATAGAGTACGTCGATTCGTAATGTAAATGGGGGAGCTGACACCATGAGTTCTGGTCTACGAGTTCCGAGCCCAGTGTGCGCCGAGCTTCGATCACTTTTTCGATACATTTTTGATCCAAAATGGTTTTGTATAATACGTATTAATTCTTATACATTCTCTTCTTATTCTCTTTGTATACATTAGATGGTTGGGTCCCCGCGTATCGAAAACAATCGATTATGTATCGAAAAAGTGACCCGGCGCGGCGTAACATAGGAGTCTCGGAATTCGAGACCTGAAAAAGGCTAAGAAATGGTAACAGCTCCCGTAACGTTAAATTAAATGCCGAATTTGGCCTATATGATTCTCTTCGTACGCGGAAAGTTAAAATTTATTGAAGTTTATGAAATTAACGTCGAGAGTTTAAATTTATTGCAGTTTATGAAATAAAGTTCCAAAGTTTATTTCCCACTCATTCGTTCATTTTGGAATTTTTTGATATGTTTATTACCGTGATCTGATTGACATTTTAATGAGAATACACATACCGTGATGTAGTCCTTAGATTCTTAATTTGGATCATATATATAATTATTGTCGCCTCTGATGCGGATTGAAATTTCGCAATAAACAACTGTATTCTAATATTTTTACGCCGCGTTTTTCAATTCAGTTGCTGACAGGAAAACGCCCATTTTCCCCGTCATTATGCTTCATTTTTGAACGAACTCAAGTCCGTGACGGATTTACGCTGAGGAAGAGGGGTATTCGACTAGGAATGCTGGATCCAATGCATGCAGCTCAATGTTGTCGATGCCGAGAGAATTCTCAGATTTTTCCCCCCCGAAGCGACTCAAAACAGGCCTATATTTTAGCCAGCACTGATAACACAAACAGTATTGTTCCCGCGGCAAAAGCGGACACGAGACAAGGCCGATCCAATTTCCACTAATTCCAAATCGCGGCTTGTTTGGAGTTATTTCCATGTTTTTTTCTTCGAATAATTTGTGTGTGGCCTGCTATTCGATGTAACAATCATCAAATAAAGGTAGCTACGTCCTCAACGGGAGATTTTTAAAGTTTTAACTATTTTAAAAGCGGAGGAAGGCGTGCTCGGAGCTTCTTCGCCAATAATTAAGTGAAACCAGCCAAAGTTCGCAGTAACCCACACGACCCTAAAAAAGGAGACCATGGTATCGTCTAGCACCCTAATCAATGGGCACAAAGGTAAAAATGGAAAGGTAAAAGGAAAAATGTATTGTAATGTATTTGTACATGACCTTGTATCAGTTGACACTACTGGAGAAAAAATAACATTAAAACATCATTAAAAAAATTTATTGATGTTCTCGTAATAAAATGACAGAATATATGGGGTCCGCGAATATACAGGGTTGAGCCGCGGAGCGGCCATGGGTTGGAGCCCCATAGATTTTGATGTATAATTTGACAAACCTCCTCTATTTATCGATGTAAAAATACGTGTTACTTGACGAGCAGGGCTTCACCTTGGTCGCAATGTTGAAAGAAAAAAAAAAGAGTATTGACTTTAGTTTGATTGGTTGATTTAACACATAACTCTTTAATTAATATTTTATTTTCTCCTATTTTTAAAAGGAATTGAAGCGCTGGGTGCAGAAAGGGCATTTCTTGACTGCAGTATCTCAGAGTCTCTTCTAAAGTTTCACCCATTATAATTGAAGCAATTGCAGGGAATTTGTGGAAACTTTTACTGAATTTTCTTCATAATGCTGGAAATGAAAAATTTCAGAAAATTCATTGAATAAAGCATTGAAGATTTTGAGACACTGCAATCACGAAATGCCCTCTCTGCACACAACGCCTTAATTATTGCGTGAAGCGCCCGGATTCTTGGCAGAGACACTTAAATAAAAGCTCAATAAAAAAAAATGCCAAATTCTCAAAAAATTTGTTCATTGCGCCCTGTAAAATGTCTTTGTGACGATAACGCTTAAAGGTTATCTGGACGCCATCCATGAATGAAATTTAATCACAGTATTTTCCAGGTAATAATTTGAAAAATTTTGCACCAACTAGTCGTTCGTCCAGTTTCTGACAGTAAGTTGAAAAAAAATTGTCTGTAGTATGTGACATGTTTTGATTTTTGTTTTTGTTTTTTTAGGGAAAATGCTGCTGGCAGATACATTCAGAGACACTCTGTACAAGAGACTACCGTTCCTGGTATGGCTGCCAAAATACACGATGGCGGACTTCGTGCCCGATTTAATAGCAGGAATAACAGTTGGGCTCACCATCATGCCTCAGGCAATAGCGTATGCGTCATTGGCAGGCATTCATCCTAAAGTAAGTGCCAAACAACGGCAAAGCTCCGTGAACATACAATTTGTCTCGTTTTTTTTTCTATTTTTCTAGAGCCAATGCGACGGTCTTTGAGGTGAAAAGCAGTGGCAAGACGTGCTTTGCGATACATCGATTGATATGCCATTTAGACCTATGGAAAATCATTGATAAACAGGTTGTTCGCAGCGAACACACCTTAATAGTCGATTCTTTACCATAGCTTCAAATGGGGAAATATCTATAATCGATCATTCATATCGGACTGAGGGCCGATATTTGAAATTGATAGACAAAGCTATAGACACAGAAGACAAAAGAGATATATGGAGGGATCTTATTGGTGGAAGCGGATGGTTGCAATGGACAAAGAAGGTATTAGGACTAACTATCGGCATCCCAAGAGAGACCTTATGGTTAGTCCATCATTTTCTCCCTTAGTCTATAAAAATCACCCAAATCAGTCAATAGGAATGCTCCATACTCCCCATGTCTTCTTTGTCTATCGCTTTGTCTATCAATTCCAATAATCAACCTGCTGGTATCATTATTTACTTTATATCGACTGTTTGTGGACTGAGGCTCTTTTCCTCGTGTGCAATCACAATTTATCAATTTGATCTTAATGCACTTTAACCCATTTATTTCTCGTTAAGTTTAACCACCATTTCAGTATCTTATAGTACACAGTTGCCCAGTATAACAAGTTGCCCATTTATTTTTGCAGTACGGACTATATTCGGCTTGTTTTGGAGGTTGGGTTTACATTTTCTTCGGCACAATCAAGCAGATAACAATAGGTCCTACTTCAATCATGTCAATCCTTACGTTCACTTACACGCACGATACAAACCCTGAGATGGTGGCCTTTCTGTCATTCATGGCTGGCGTCGTAGTACTACTTCTTGGCGTCTTCCGGCTGGGTAATACATAAATTCACGATACTTAAGAAAAGGGTGCCCTGTGGTCTCTACCCTTAAGATTAAGCCATCGGAGCGATCAGCATGCATGCTCAGTTATAGTTAGGGCTACGAGACTTCTGAAATAACTTCTCTGAGGAACTTAAGAAATATATTCCTTCCAATTTTTTGGAGAATTTTATTTGCAATTTAATCTAAATTATTTGTAAATTCCAATGCACTTTATTCGTAAATTTCCGTAAAAATGCAAATTATGCTGGAGAATGATTCTGAACAGATGAATTTTAGTACGACATTTTCCCCATCTACCAGACGTTTGCAGCCCTGAACTAAGCCTCAAATCGTCGTTTCTCTTACGAAAGAACGTAACTGCATTTCAATGTTGCCAAATTTCCCCTCGTAAATTGAACTTTCACCTGAGAACCTTGGTCATTTGTACTCGAAAATTTTCCTGATTTTTCTCCTGATCTCACGAAAAAATCAGAAAAGTTTTGAGAAAAAATTGCACAGGTGCATTAGTGTAAAAAATTTTAATTTTTTGAGTTAATCTTGCATCCTTGGAATGGAGTTAAGGTTCTTCGTACGGGGTACGACAAAATGTGTGTGTACTTTTTTCACTATCTTCTGATGCAATAAGTTGATGTATGTGTAGCAAAAATATGCATACAAAATTAATTAAAACCCCCGTTTATGACTTTGTTGAATTTCGAAATTATCAGACTTTTTATGATCTTCCTTGATAGTATCCTAAATATTTTTTTTCGAAAATAATTTATATATATTTCGATAAATTTTTATCAGGTTTTCTGGTGGAATTTGTGTCTGTTCCGGTGGTGTCTGGTTTTTCGTCAGCAACGGCCGTTTTCATGACCTCCTCACAAGTGAAAACCATCTTCGGTATAAGTTACAAGTCTGGTTCTTTTCTGGAGACCTGGCGCCGATTTTTTAAGCATCTTCCAGAGTATAGAAAGTGGGATTTGACTCTTGGCATTTCTTGCATCATCGTTCTTCTCTTCTTAAGGGTAGGTAAGCTCCTTATAATATTATTATTTTTTGTGAGTTTTTGACAGTAAAAGAAGTAATTAAAAAACAAACAGACTGAATACTGAAAGAAGAAAGCAGAAACTATGGGGGAAAAAATCAATGAACATCTTTTCCCTCGGCTTAGAGAGTAGCCTCTACAGTTCTCATAATTGAGTTTTGAAGTTTTCATAAATAATTTAGTGTGAAGTGTAAAGGTGATTCATGTATTTCTACCCAAACGAGAGCGCTAAACTATTCATTGTAAACGTGTCGTTACGCCTGAGCTCAAATAAGCAATTACTAAATTCGAACTCTCTTTAAGGTACCTTTTTTTACGTGCATTTTGAAATTTTTCATGAGTAAAGCGCAAGGCCACTTTTTGCACGTAAATGACACAGTGCCTAGGTAAGTCGCATATTATTTTAAATAGTTTTGAGTAGGTGCGCTAGGTTCGTCCAATTTATACTTTAATCGACGGATTAGCCCTCCAAAAATTTGACGTATTTTGATTTGCGTATGACCTCTACTAGTAATCATGGTTGGAACTGCAGTTTCATTTCTGATATACCTACCTCTGATGCTTTTTCAACTGAAAAACTTAAAAGTCCATGCTTTCAGTATGCAGAGAATTAAACTTAAGTTCGAAGTAAACCACCCGTTGATTTTTTTACAGAAAATTGGAAGTTTAAATCTCACAAATAATGCCACGTTGAAGAGGATTCTCTGGTTCATCTCAACAGGGAGGAATGCACTTGTAGTTTTGATAAGTGGACTGATTGCTTTCTTCTTTGAAAAATATCACGATGCTTCTCCGTTTGTTTTAATTGGTAAGTCCTTGTAATTTAAATTCAGGTCGGGTACTCAATTGTTTTTCCGTAAGGTATGAAGTCGCAAAGCCTGTCCTTGGATAGATTTTGAAAATAAAAAATAAATGAATATATACATGGAAGAAAGGTAAACAGAGAAAAATTCCATCTCTCATACCGACCTTAATTACTAGATTTAATTCATCTTGCGAAGAAACTTCTGTGAGTCTTACTGAACCATCCCAACCTTTCAAAAAAAAAAAAAAAAAAGACAGCATAACAGCTTAATCTGGGGGAAGGGCTCAAAAAAAATTATTCTGAAACGGGGATTAAAGCTTACCTTGTCGCATTATAAGTGTTTTACCGTAACACTGAAAATGTAACTGGTTCTAAGATCGTAAATTTTCTTCTTCTTTTTTTTAAATATGCTTCGTCTTCATGTAAAAAATAAATCTCGTCTCTTATTACAGCGTTTTTGTATTAACAACGGAGCTTTGATAGGAACCCTTGCTTCCTTCTTTAAAACATTACGGAAGTGATAGCGCTTGTGCTCCTGCTCTTAAATATATATTTTACACGGATTTGATTTTATTACTCCAGGTAAAATTGATTCCGGACTACCGAAACTGCATCTGCCTCCAACACACACAGAGTTTGACGGCAAAGATTATGATCTTGTGGAGATGATGGAATATCTTGGCACAGGGATCTTCATTGTTCCCATCGTTGCCACGATAAACAACATAGCCGTAGCCAAAGTGTTCTGTGAGTATGTATGATCAATTAAATACACCTATACACAAATAACTTTTTATAACAAAACCGTCCAAGAAAAAGGACCAAAAATCTTGAAATTGAGCAACTGTTACGAGAGCTTATATGAGTGTCTTTCGAATATTTTGAGACAAAAATTGTCCGAAAATGTCATTTTATAAAATATGGCTAAAGGCAAACGATTGAAATCGAGTGGGATTTAAAATAAAAGCCCTCCCTCAAAAAAACTAAAATATATAGCCATTATTAATTGAATGATAATAAACTTTATGAAAATTGAGAAAAATAAAAAGAAGAATTTGTGGGAACGGAAGTATTCTCCAATGAAATCCCTTCTAAACAACAATCTTGAGAAATAAGTATACACAAAATCTAAGCATAGAGATTCGTTTTAACCAAATACAACTTTGCAAAAAAATGTAAATCAGTGGTGAGAAGTGGAATTTACAATTTACACACTGTTTTAATCTCATGCTAAAAATTGCCTTCAATCAATCGGTTCTGCAACACTTGTTGGAAGAAATTTTACATAAGTCGTGCCTCCTCAGCGGCGCTGCACTGAGAAACGAAAATTCGGTTATAGATACTGAACTTTTTCGGTTCAGGTGCCCAAAAATTTCGATCGTAGGAACCGAAGTTCATTGACCGTACTTTTTCGGTTACCCGAACCAAGATTTTTTGGTGTTCAATATAAACCGACGTTTAGTATCTTTTGCCGACTTTTTTTTCTGTACGGCCAGTCATGGTGCTTGTGCGGTTCAAATATCGTTCATAACACATGGTATTCCTAAATTTAGACCCGATTTCTTGAGAGCGTCATGCTACAGTGTTTATCGGCATCGAAATTTTGCCAGGGCGTGCAAGCTTTGGGCCATACGTTTGCCACTACGTTTATGCCGTGAGCAGTTTGACTTTATCTAAAGCCATGAAAGATGATTGGCACGAATCGCATTCTTGCCACAAATTGACAGATAATAGCCTCTTGAATGGGTCTGTAATACACTAGATACAGCCAACTGAGCATGCATTTTCTGGGCCGCGTTCAGCAGAAAGGAACCAAGCCATGTCAGCTAGTGTCAAATTTAACTGAGCGATTTAATTTAATACAAGATAAAGTTTGTGCGGATTTTTTTGAAATTTTTAAAGATTTTGCTTCGCACCACGCATAAAATTCACCGAAATTTACACAAAAATCCGCACAACCATTTTCATGTGAAAAATCGAATTGCCCAATTCAATTTGACAATAACTGATGTGGCTTGGTTTCTTTCTGCATGATAAATGGCTAAAATCTACCCCTTGGTGCATAATGTTTATTGCTCTTATCCCGCTTTTTAAAATTTACCCCTCAGATGCAAAACATTTGAACATGTGTAATTTAAACCATATAAATTATGCGGTGAGGACTTGATTTTAGACATTTCTAATGTGTTCTTACAAAAAATCTCACAAACTGCCTCACATCTTACTCCAGTATAATGTCCATTAATGTAAAGCATTTGAATATTATTGCTAAGCGAGCTATAATGAAAGTAGATTTCCTTTTTGATTCAAGCAAAAATCCAATCGAATCAAAAGTATTTTTTCTTGTCAATTTTTTTAAGAGTCTGGACTCTAGATCCAAAAGATTTTTTATCAATGCACTACAGTGAATCCCGGTGACTTGTGTCTTAACGCATGAGAAGTATATATAATACGATTGTTTATTTTACCAGCTGAGGGGAAGATTATTGATGCAAGCCAGGAGATGATTGCGCTAGGTATGACGAACATAATCGGTTCAACCGTCTATGGAATGCCAGTGGCAAGTGCCTTCTCTCGCTCAGCAGTCAATAACGCCAGTGGAGTTGTCACCCCGATGGGCGGATTATGGACAGGTTAGTCTAAATGCATTTTCACCGAGCGAAAAAAATAACACAGAGGATGAAAGCGCGGGGTATCTAAAATATATTATCTTTAAGCGCAACGCAACGTATCTTCGGGGCTTGGATACAACTATTCGTGTTTGATGGATGTCCGCGTTGCATACACGCAACATTGAAGGCACTTTTGTGCTTCAGCCCGGGTAAACGCGGTGTGCCGTCATGTGTCACGGATAAAATGAACCCCTTTTAGCATAAAAGAACCAAGTCACATCGGCTATTGCCAAATTTAACTGGGCACTTTAATTTTTTACAAGAGAACTTATGTACGGATTGCCTTGAAAAATTTATGGAGTTTGCTTCGCCTTATGCAGAAAATTCACTGAAATTTGCACAAAAATCCGCATAACCGTTTTTATGCAAAAATTAAATTGCACAAATAAATTTGTCAATACCTGAGGTGGCTTGGTTCCTTTCTGCTTAACGCGGTCTATATGTTACTCTGATAAGAGTGGTTTCCAAAATATATTATCCCCGAAATTTGCAACCGCAAGAAGAATATAAACTGCTCCTTCTTTTTTATCTTTTTTCTCCACAATGCCATTAATAAGAGAGCGCACCTAAAGAATTAACATTGTTGCCTAAATGAGTGACGGTACAAATATTTATATTTGAGTGTGCCAAAGCAGTAATTTACCTCTTTTTTTTGTTTCAGGAACTTTGGTCTTGCTCTCATTATGGTTCCTCACGCCGTTCTTGTTTTACATCCCTAAGGCTAGTTTGTCCGCAATTTTGATCTGTGCCGCCGTTTTCATGATTGAGGTTCACACAGCAAGACTTCTCTGGAAGAACAACAGTAAGTTTTCCATTTTTTGGACAATTTAAGAGGCAGGAAGAAGTGAAGCCAAATCAGAGGCAAACTGAGAGCCATAGTCACAGACCGCTCGATAGCATTTCATCCCCTACGTTTTTTTTTTAAATTTCCAAAAAAAGAATAAAAGAAATAATTGAGTTTTCTTTTTTTATGAAAACGAGAGTATGTAAATTTCACGTAAAAACTAGAATCTTTTAGTTTAGTTTTAATTTTCGAATGATAATGTGTGTATGAATGTACGACGGCGATCCTTGCACACAAAAAGTTACTCGTCGTAGTGCTGTCCATCCGTCACCTAAACTATGTGAATCAAATCAAATACTTGTTTTTAGAGAGTAACTTTGTTTCTAATTTATGATTCCACAAATCGTCGATCATCTGGGGTAAGGGCGTACCTCAATTTCCGTATGAGCCCCAGAAAGCGTGGATTTATACGTAAACCATGACTCACGTGGAAATTGAGATACGCCCTTACGTTGGAGGGACGACGAAATTTTCTATCTATCTACAAGCACACAGCCATCTTCTCTTTACCTTTCATTTCCTTTAAATTGATTTCAAGTTAATTCACAAACTCCTGTAAATTTGATTGGACGACAGCATCCCAATGAAGTGTAAAATAAATGGGAAGTTCAAACATTTTGAACTGTGATTTCAAAGAATAAACCAAATGGGTTGATGTCCCTGTATGGTCATCGGGAGTTTGAGCATGATTATTAATTCCCTCTTTTTTGACGCTTTTGCAGAAAGAGACTTAATTCCTGCGGCTGTGACGTTCATCATGTGTCTGCTGATAAATATTGAGGCTGGTTTGATCATCGGTATCTTTACAGACATTTCCATGTTGCTTTACTATAATGCTCGACCACGGATCAATTTTGACAGGAGAAAGGTAAAATTTTACTCTCTCTGCTTGTTTGAATTGTGGTTCCACATTAAGAGATTTCATGATTGTATTTTTAAAAAAGAAAGAAAAAGACAACAACAATCACAACTAGAATTAAAATAGTTTTACTTTACAATATCCTGATAGGATTTATAAAGGGGGATGTTGACAAGCTCAATATTTCAAATATTTACGGTAATAATCTAATGCACACGAAACTCGATTTCATCGAAGGGCGATTTATCGCAACATTATTGAACCAAAAATCGTGATAAATTGAGATAAAATTTCGATTTCATGGACCGCGATTTTGTGGAGATAAAATTGCTAGAAGATCGAGGGTAATTGCTCAGACGTGCGATGTCTGCGATTTTATCGCCGAAAAATTGTGAAAAAATCGCTTCTTTATACAAAAAAATGTAGCTATTTTTCCGTTGTTAAATATTATTTGAGCATGGTGAAGAAAAATGCGGAAATTCTCTTTACACCGTTTTCCGTTCAAGATACAATTCAAGATCACGTCTGCGGAACGGCCTTCATGAATTTACCTTTTATTGAAAATTGTTAACATTTTGTATCTTTAAGTCTTCTGCTGGATGTATACTTACGTGATTATTTTGATTATAGACGACAACGGGGTTGGAATACTGGATATTCACTCCTTGTAGCGGGATCCTATTCCCGGCTGTGGATTTCCTTCGTCAAACAATCGTGGAACACGTTTTGAGCCAGTCAACGGAATCATCATCACTCACTTACATCGTAATAGAGTGCTCACATATCCATAAAATTGACATCACTGCGGCGCAGGTAAGCGACTAACTCCTCTACTGTTTCCCCTGAATAATTATTGGACTACATTTCGTGAGTAGAAACTATCAGTCCCGGCTTATTTTAAAAATGTCGTATGTACTATTAATTTCCTCACGATGCAGATAAGAGCGTTTGTGGACATGGCCGGATTTGCCTACTTGCCGCCCATGGGCCGCTTGTATTTTGCCGCCCCCTTCTCATTCGTTATGAAACTCAATAAAATCACTCAAATGAACGTGTCAGCGGAGGAGGGGTGCATAAAACGCATTTACTCGTGTTGAACACATTTTTCGGGAAAGCCCTGTCAACACTACTAGCAAAAGTTCACGGAACTTTGCGCGAAAGTTAAGTTCCGTAAACCTATCTCATTGTGGACAAGGCCTTCCATTCATAAGAAATGAACGAAAAAATTATGAAAGAACAAACATAAATGTGGTTCAATGATTTTAACTTCCGCCGCTGCGCCGCGCAGACCGCACCATGTTGGACGCAATGCGTTAAGTATTCACGCAGTCTTGTAGGCGCTATGCGTTTCACGCTGACCCCACTGTGTCTGGCGCAATGCGTGAAGTATTCATGTATTCTTGTAGACGCTATCCTTTTCACGTTGACCGCAATGACCGCACTGTGTTTGATGCAATGCGTGAAGTATTCGTGCAGTCTTGTAGGCGCTAATACTTGTTACATGCCAATCGCCGCGCCGAGGGCTTCTCCTCTTCATCTCAAGTCCTCGTTATCATTTCACTCTAAGTCGCGCCGTTCTAGGCCAAATTGCGTGTTTGGTTTCTCTCGTAACTCGACTCATTGAGGGTGCTGTCTCTTGTATCACTAAGAGGCGAAAAAATTAGAAATTACTATACTCTCAGGAAATGAGAGATTTTGTCGCCTTTTCTCGTTTGTAATTTTGTTTTAATAAATCCGATTTTTTTTATACCTACACTTTAAAAAATTGCAAATTTTTGCCGCCCCTTGGATTTGCCGCCCCTTAAAATTCCCGCCATGGGCCGCGGCCCATGTGGTCATCCCCTTAATCCGGCCCTGTTTGTGGATGAACTAGGAATAGTGCTATTCGGTACCATACAAAAAACAGTCGTTCGTTAATTAGTCTTTTAGCCTCTAAGTTAGCAAGGAGAGAATTTAAATTTCGAATTGTCAAATTGGACGTATTCCTGCTAAACGGAACCAGAGACAGGTGGGAAAGGAGTGCGCTCATTAATCGAGGGCCGTAAGAATGAATGGGAATTATAAAGCGCCAGTGACGTCAGCGGCAATGCCCCCGTTTTGCCTTGGAGTCTTTAACTCATGAGCCCTGTCCACAACGCTCTTTCCCCATGCCTACGACTCATGAGTGCCGCGTACAACAGGCGCTTGGTTCCGTTTGGTGGAATGCAAAAGCCTGCTTTTCCATTTCCCCGAAGAGAATCACGCCCACTTTCATTTTGTTTTTTTATCCACCCCTCTATAGCACACCCCGTCTTTCACTCTCGTCTACTATTCCGTTTGGCAGAAATACGTCAAATTGGAGGGAAGTTTTGAACCATTTTTATTCTCAGTTTAAGTAAGTAAGAATGTGGAAAAATCCCGCAAAAAGATGAAGTTTTGCATTCATAGTTATGTCCTGCTTTTGTTTGTTTTCAGGGTATCAAATCACTGATTCATGACCTAAAATCGAGAGGTTGCTACTTAATATTCTTAGATCCCAATGACAGTATAACAAGGATAATCTCAGGCATCTGCAAAGACGAGTTCATATCATCACCCTCAGTCAACCAACTAGAAAGGGTACTGAACAAAGGTACGTATCCCATTTTCGGCCATTTTGAAATCCAACCGGCCGCTATTTATCGGTTTAAGATAATGGCTTTGGGTTCTCGCGAACAATTTTCTTTTGCATGCTCACTCGAACAAGCTATCACAAGAGGGTCATTTTTTTTGAAAAAAAGTTTAGGTCCATTACCACACCCCCTCCCCAAACATCCCCTAATTATTAAATCTTTACCTCAATTATAGGTAACAAGTTAGAGGTTGGGATTTCTCGGACACCCTGTTTTTTATAATTTAGATGACCAGTGCTTGTAGATTAGCTAAACCGAAGCTGAACTTGCAAACCGTCTATTTTTCTGCTATATGTGGCATCACCGGGTAAAATGAGAGTAGCGGCCAACTTTCAGTTTCTCCTGGCTTTACCTCAATATCGCGATGTCAGAGCTTAATCCTTGTACATAGCACTGGTTATGTCAAGGGATTAACGGCAAAACTAAAGTTCGTTCACCGCGCTTGGCCACCTTCTCTGATCAAAATGACCGATAAAACCGTGTCAAAATGCCAATAAAACAGCTCTGATCTCAATTACTGACATTAGTTGAGATAAGTAGAAAATTGAATTGAATCGCGTCGTGCGAAAACAGCGAACACTTTTTCTGCTTTCAATTTTCATATGTTGATAATACTTTTCAAGAGTTGATACAATCATGAAAGTGGTGGCAAAACTTGTTTTGGGATGAAGATAATCGTAAATCAAGTATTAACATCCTTTTCATGGTTGCATTTAACTCTGAAAAGTATTATCAACCCCCCAAAAAAACTCAATACTGGGAAAAGGGACATTTGCGGTTTTCGCACGACACGGTTTAATTGCTTTCTTGGCATTCAGGCGCTGTTCTACAGATCATTTGTATGAGGAATTTCAACCCGCAACACTTCACTTCCATAGTGTCATTTGGAAAGTCGATATTAACACATTCTCCGTCTTTTTGAGTGTGTTATGGGACAATGGTTAAAGCACCTTAATTTTTTCAAAGTATCACAGCTTTTTGTTCACGATTTGGATTCCGAAATTAGATCAAACATAATACTAGAACTCAGGAAATTTTTAGAACCAAATGGTGTCTGAATTGTCTATCCGGTAGCAGCGACCAAATCGACCAGATCAATTGGGGATTTAGTAATTTATAATTCACGGCACGCACTCTTGGAACCGTCAATTGTTATGCGAGCTACTGTCGTGGTTATTTTCGTACGTTGAGCCTTGGAATTTTATGCTCATTTCAGAGTGCGCTGTTGCACGATACTAGGGGGAGACTTTTTGATAGACTTGAAATATAACCGAAAAAATTGCATCGATGTTCAGTTGGATGGTTAGCTCTGAACACGTTTCTCTGATAGATATATTCTGCCGTGCTAAGGAAAAACGCCGTATAAAACTCCAGGCGTTGCCAAATTTTTTTCGATAAAACAATAATTCCTCGGTAAATTTATGAATATTTTCCTTTTAATTTCTCCGAGAATTTTGCTCGTATTTTGTTCTAAAGTCCCTGAAAATTTTAAGGACAAATATTCATAACTTTCCTCTAAAATCAACATTTTATCAAAGAAAATTTGGCAACTCTTGAATGTTCATACGGCGTTTTTCCCTAGCACGGCAGTATAAACCGTGGTCTGTCACTGTACCCCCAGGAAAAGTCGTCACCCTCCGGCCAAAGTATCACAAGCACCATGCGACGTTTCAAAGTTTCCACCGATATTTTATTTTTTTACAGACGCATAATTGTTCAACGAAGCTATCAGAAAATTTGACTGAATTTTCTTTGTGCTGCCGATAAAATTCAGTGAAATTTTCAAACAGATTCATCCAAAAATTTCTCTTTAAAAAAGTAACATGGCGTCGGAAATTTTGAAACTTCGCATGACGCGTGTGATACTTTGGCCGGAAGGTGACGCGTGAATAAATTTGATAAAACTGCAATTTATACTTAATTTTCATTATTCTATTTCACAGAGCTGGATGAATGTAACTCGATTAAATCCATCCAAAAATCTCAAGAGAAAGAGCCCGAAAAGTCAGCCGTTGTCCAGGCAAGATTCTAAGGGATCAAAACGGATACTCAGATTTAGTGCATAAAGGTGAAATCATCTCGACAAGAGACAACCCAGGATTTGGATGCAATCCTTGAATCAACTGGAAGTTTTTTTTCCTTTGACTAATGTATACCTGATGGTTTCCATGGAACACTGCAATGTTATTTTGTTATCTCATAAGCCGATTCCGTAAATATATTTTGATTTTACCATGTTACTCAGTTAGGGACTCTAAAAATTGACGACCTTGCGTAAAGTACCCAATGGAGGTACAAAAACGTAAATGCGTACTTTGAGGGTAATCACTCGATTGCGTTTCTTGATCTCTGAAACTTCTTTGTCGAATGATCTTGATCGAAAAAATTCTAAATGTTACTTGTTGATCAAGGTCTTCAAGCAAGCCATTGATGAAGTTTTAGTAGATTTCGACTCAAGTTATTTTAATCGGACGATCAATAATACTATTACCAGAATGTGGTTTCAGCTAGCTGGGACTTGAGTATTTGAAATTGCAGAAATCTAATTTCCACCTTAGTGATTGAACTGTCTTTTATCTTAAACGAAAGTTTTTAGAGCCGTTTACAGCAAAAATCTGCTCATAAGTATAAGTAAACGAGATAAGCACTTTCTATCTAATTAGATACTCGTTGATTAAAAAAACGGCATATATCTTTTTATGTTCCTATATGCATTCGAATTAACTCGGTTTTTGAAAATGAACTTTAGTTTTTTTTTGGAAAAGAATAATGAAAAAAAAAAAAAAAATACTGTAGCGTTCGTTCGTGCCAAAATAGTCTTCACAAAATAAGCAATGACACGCACGTTTTTAGCTTTTTTCAGTATTTTAACTTCAATTCTGTTTAAAGATCACTTAACATTTTTTGGCTGTGGTAGATTGCAACTTGGCTGGGCATAATTTTCAAACTGTCTGAAAATATCGCAAATAGTAACTTTAGTAGAGGCTGTTTATGCGATCAGCTAATGTAGCCCACTTCTTCATCTTGAAGGGTGTAAAATATGAATCAGCGGTCAATTAATAAATGGAAACACTTCTGGAATTTCCTGGAAATGAAATTATGCTTAGATATTGAGTTGGTCTCCGGTGAATATTTAAGGAACTAATGAGGCTGTGCCAATTTAGCGTAAAAGCATCATAATTTTTGGCTATGCCACGCTTACTTTTCTTTTTGTTAATATATAGGTATAAGACTAATTTTTTTTTTAAATGGAATCTGAAATGCGGTCCTTCCATGGTAGGCCCCCTATTTATTTTTTCAAATAATTGTATTTACTCTCGAAGGAGCTGATACGAATTGTGATATTTTAGTGTTTAAGTTCAAATTTTACGAGATTGTACATAATATAAAAAGTTTAGGTTTTACTAAAACTCGACCGCGTTTTCTTTGACTTTCTTCTATCTGACTATATTGCATTTTATTTTTTGTTATGTTATTCCGTAGTTTTAAGATGCATACTTAGCATTAGACATGTGCTACTTGAAAATCGTAATCATATCTGAAAATAAAATCTCCGTTCGACCAAATAGTGGAGATCACATACATTTTAATGCGTTTTTCGACCAAGCAATATTTTTTTTTCTATTCTACATTCATTGGTAGCATAGCATTTTTACGTCATGCTGAAGTTCTGATAGATACTATTCAATATTCATAAACTGTTGTAAATAATTATTGCCTCATTCTCTTCGCAGGTTCTACTCATCAACCCACCACTGATTCATCTTCATTTATTCATTTAATAAATTATTCCAATTATTTATTTATTTATATTTATTTCTGAGATCTTCCACTCATTGAATATTCCTAACTCTGGCTTTCTTTTTCTTACTAGATGATCTTACATGTTTATCGTTAAGCTCCAAAAATACTTGTACAGCTTGTAATAGCTCCAAAAGTATTACAGCCATCATCACTTTCAATCATGTACATCTGATTTCATTATGAATGCGTAAAAATAATGGATTTTTGAAGCATTTTAAATAATGAGTGCATATAACGGTCGTGAATTTGTATGACTGGAAAAGAGAGTCATGCAGTTTGTAATGAAGGACATCTAAGTCAAGGCTGTCAAACTCCTTTCACCTGATCACGTTGTCGATTTCTGTTTTCCCTTTTTTACACTACCATTACAAACAATTTCACAGTATTATTTTGTACCAAATTTGTAGATAATTTCCTACAGGTAAAAGTAAATCAAGCATGATGTTTTGAAGGAAACGATATGGTTTTTCTATAGTAGAATGGTGTGTAAGGCTTTGAAAGGTACAATACCAAATAACAAAATTTGTTTAAGTCATAAAAAATAAAGTTCCACCGTTGATATTGAGCATATTTTCATCTTTCAGACTGTGTTGTTCTTGATTCCACAGTATTTTTTACGTATTTTTTTTTCATCTCTTGACAGTTTTTTTCATGTTATTTGTTGGTAATATATTTATCCATGTTGGACCGATCAGGGGCAGGTATTTTGATTGTTCAATTACTGTGCCATTTACTGAATCTAAGCGTATTTGCCCAGTTTTGTAAGGTATATTTCCAAGCTTTCAAGTCTACTTTCCAATGAACAGACTTTCTTAATTGATTCCATTTGGACGTACTGAAATGTTATTAATAGGTATATAAATGTAAATGGGAAAGAATGTTTCATATTATGGATTAGACATCACATAATTGACTGTGCGATTGGGTTATTTTTTAGCAATTACAGCATTTTAGGTAAATAGTCTTACACTTGCAAGATGAATTACCTACTTCAAATGCTGTGAAACGTTTTTATACTTGTAAGTTAATGATCAAGAGAAGAAGAACCGAGTATTAATGCAGTAACCCTATGCAGTTAAGGTCATTGAATGAAGTCAATTATTCTAATAACTAAACACAAAAATGGACACTCAATAAGCGGTCCATTATGTCAGATTTATCAGTGAATTATTGTTAATAGATTCAAGCGTGGAAGCCGTTTCTCTCTGGAAGTCACACTGACCCATTTGCATTACAATTTTCGAACTCTTTCCTGTATCATTCAAAGTGTTCGGTGTCGTATTTGGAGGAATTTCGCAGCAATGCATTTGTAGAAGTTCAATTAAATTTGATTCCTTTTCGAATTTCTACAAAATGGATTTAGTTCGAGACCAAACTGAAAATCTGACCCACTCCTCTTCCATTGGAATTCGTACCCAGAAGAATTAGTCATTTAAAGTATTTGTACATATAAAGACCCATCTCAGTGATTTTCATACGTTAATGTAATGCTTAATATAAATTCTGTTGAATATTAATAGAGAATAGAAATAAATATATTTGTAAAGCTTTTTTGTGCGTGAATTTCTTTACACACTCATGACGACAAGCGAAAGTAAGGTTTTTGCAAGATTTCTAGAATCTGACGAACAGTGGGGAAACTTCTCGCGTTCTTGTAACCTTACAGAAGATCGCTAGATACTAGCTTGACAAGCAATTGGAACTTGTCGCAAAATTCAAAAAAGAAAAAGAAGAATAAAATATTAACCTTTTTAAACTTTGAAGCAAAATTCCGGACAATATGACTGGGAGGACTGTTTGGGCTCCTACCGCAGGGCTCTTAAAACTATGTTTCCTGTTTTCAAACTTTTCCGATAAAGTCTCCTTTGTTTCTTTTACATGGATTTGCACAAAATCTTAATTTTACTAGACCACTCAAATGAATTAACGATAAAGTTAAACAAATTATTATGAGGTGACAACTATTATACGCATCCATTTCCAATTAAAGTTCAAAATGTGGCTCCCTTCAAATTTCAGAGAAGAGTGAGGATTAGTAAATACTTATTGCTGAAAATACATGCACAAGATGCTAGGTCTAGTTCTTTTACATGAACATCGTAAGAACAGTACCTTATTTTCAAGGTTGAAAGCGTACTTTGCTGCATTCATTTAAACTGTAAAACTAACAAGGGGAGCTTTCCAAGTGTAACCGGAATTTCGAGTTGAAATTTCGCATGAAGATACTAGAGATGATTTTAGGGATGCCGTATTTTTTCGTTTTTTCGAATGGGGTCGGGAAAGCCCTCAAAAAAAGGGCTAAAGATGCGGAAAAAACGCGTGCGCTAGCGGCACAAGGTAAACATAGGTGATAGAGGCTCATCATCCTTACCAGTTCCGCATGGCCAAACGGTAGCGTGCTCGCCTCGCAGGCGGGAGGTCGTAGGTTCGAATCCTGACTATAGCCTGTAATTTTATTTTACTTATTAGTCGAATCTGTATCTGTATCTGACTGATACTCCGGAAATTCAGCTTGGCAACGAAATTTGGTGAGTTTTAAAGTGTTTTATGTTTATTCAATTATATATAACGTTTCAATCCAAGAGAAACTTCAAGTTTTTATCAGCATAGGTATGTAAAAATCTTCAGTCACCACGTGTTCTACCTCGTAAGTCGGTTTGCGGAGAGAATGGTGCAAAATAAAGTAAGTGAAAAATAAACAAGCATAAAGTAAAATAAAATTACGGGCTATAGTCAGGATTCGAACCCACGACCTCCCGCCTGCGAGGCGAGCACGCTACCGTTTGGCCATGCGGAACTGATAAGGACGATGAGCCTCTATCACCTATGTTTACCTTGTGCCGCTAGCGCACGCGTATTTTCCGCATCTTTAGCCCTTTTTTTGAGGGCTTTCCCGACCCCATTCGAAAAAACGAAAAAATACGGCATCCCTAAAATCATCTCTAGTATCTTCATGCGAAATTTCAACTCGAAATTCCGGTTACACTTGGAAAGCTCCCCTTGTAAGTAGGTAATTTTTGATTTGCCACAGAAAATGCACATGAATGTGCAAATTATCATTAATTCTTGCCTCAAGCTAACTATTTCATTACAAAAATTGTGGCAAAAGAACTTTGCAGTAAGCGCGTCGTACTTGCCACAGTCTTACTATTATTATTGTGGAAAAATAAGTTTCGGGCCGGTCTGCGGGTAGGCATAGCGAATGTAGGTTAATACTGCCGCCCCATTCAGGTCTGACTCTTCAAGATTTCCATAGAATCAAATATAAGAATACAGTAACCACTACCTTCGTTTTTATTTGAATATGAGGCTATGGGAAACTAGTCACACTCAGCGGAACTCGTAGCAAACAAGAGTAAATGACTTTATGCAATTATTGCAGTATCAATAAATCAATTTAATCCATAATAAATAGTAATGAACAGTATAATGAACAACAATTCATTGAAAATAAATTACTTAAAAATAAAACAAATGTTCGAAATAAATATTGGGCAACATTTTACAAAAAATTAATAAAAAACCTATCCAAAAAAAGCCTAAAGAGTGAACAAGGAGAAACAATCAAGACTAAACTAATTAAGGTAGTACATCCTGTTGGTTCCGATGCTATTACGGATTAACTGACCGTTGATTTTTTGTTTCTCAGTTTTTTGATGCGAGGTGCAGTCTACCTTACATCTCTAAACGATACTAAATTTGAACTTTTTATATGCATTCCATTTACGGCAAATTATCAGATATGTTCATTCTAAAATTTAAAACTGCCGGTGATGGAATAATTTAAAATACCTTCCTGAGAATGAGAACCATTCAAAAGTTCAAACGCCATTTAAATGCATTTTGGAATGCTTTTTCAGTAAAATGTTTTGGCCCTCATGAGATCCGACTGAAATATATGGCACTAAATGCGTCGTCATTTTGTCATGAGCATCTTACGGGCAGGTGTTCAGGTTGGAAACTCCACTTCTTTTGCATAACAAAACGAAAGTAAATAGTAGGTATGTATTTAACACCTACAAAGCCAGCTAGTTCAGATTTTACAGCGTGCCGCTCTTCAGAGCATGATTAGTTTATGTACGAGAATTTGCGATATGAATAACTACTATTATTGGTATTCTGGCTGTCTGTCTATTTTTTTTCAAAATGCCTTTGATTCTATGTTTTATCAAACAGAATCAAAATCAGAGAGTTTTACCATTTAACAACTAGTTTCTAGCAACAGAGGGATTAGAAATTAAGGAATTTAAGTATAATAATGTAAAGCGTTGGAGCCCAACTTTTCAACCGATGTTAACGATACCCATAAAGGAACTTCTACCAGCCAAAACCGCCACCATAGCCCATCCAACCATAAAGTAGACAGGATGGCGTGTAGTACACCGGTTTTGGTTTATAGTACAGACGGCACCACACGTTACACCTAAGAAAAAGTTCAAAAACAAAAATTGTTACTCTTATAAATTTAACAACTAAAAATCTATCTAAAATTAAAAATATCTAGCTAAAATTATTGAAAACAGAGAGATCAGCCTTTTAAATTTATACGAAAAAAACACTAAAAAATATGGTCCGAGCCGTATGTTATAAGCTGGTAAAATATTGCTGGGTCCACACACTATTTTGTGGGAAAAGCAAGGCCCAAAAAGTTCAAAACTTTCAGTCAAAGAAAAAATTTTGAGCTCCAATGAGTACAAAGTACACACGATACTATGAAGGACAGTGTTCTGCTCAGGCAGATGTATTGGAGTTTTAAATTTACGTGACAGTTAATCAACTAAAACTTCTCGCAGCCGAAAGCAAAAAAATCAATATAGCTTTTCATCTCCTTCTTCTGATGCACAGAACCTTTCAATTATTTCAGAGTAACAGAACATTCTGAGAAAATCATTGCATTTCAAGAAACACTGAAAATCCCATGGTGCTTGATGCATATGACTCAAATGAGATTTTGGTGAGTAGTTTGAAGCATGAAGCATGCATAGCGCTAATTACTTTTTTGCGAGTTAAATTTGGAAACTTTTGATGCCTCCACAGTGTTTTAGATGAAATTGATGAAGAAAAATGTTTTGTGCTGTTGAATTATAATTTCTAACCCTGCCTAATATTCCATTCCTTCAACAACCTCTCCGATTGGTTCTCACCAATCAGAGGTGCAAAGTGACTTACCATTGAGGATAGATGTAGTATACGGTGGCGGTGCTGGGAGGTCTTGTTGGTTGTTGTCCAGGAGGTCCAGAGGGTCGAGGGGATGTGCCAGGTCCGCTTGGGGGTCGGGGACTCGACCCTGGCATCGGTCTTGGCGATGAACCTCCGCCACCAGTTCCACCACCGCCCGGACCTCCAGGTCCACCGGCACCTCCAGAACCTCCAGGTCCACCAGCACCTCCACCGGCTCCTCCAGGTCCACCTGCACCTCCTGCACCCCCAGGACCACCAGGTCCACCAGCGCCAGTTGGTCTCGCCCCTCCTGTAATCAAAGAATAACGTGTCATTCCAGTGTTATAGGTACCTACTTCAGACTCCCAATTATTCAAACTCGGTGTTATACCCACCCTCAGAGTTTCAAACTTCCACGGAAAAAATAGGGTAGGCGACCCAACCAGCGGCTGGTTAAAAATGCGCCGGCTACCGGCTGCGGTAGTTACGATAACTACCGCACGGTAGCTGGCGTATTTTTAACCAACCGCTTGTTATGTCGACTACCCTATTTTTTTCCGTGTTGTTTACTATTATTGTACATCGCACACCCAGGGTATAAATCGATGATTTGTTTCTATTAAAACTTAAAAGAATTCAAAGTTGCCGGTAAAATTACCTATACAGACTAATTGGACTAAATTTTGCAATCAGGAACTACAAATTCTTACTCAGTTTAGAAACAACATATGTACCATTAAATCCCATATGCACATAAGCGCTTTCACGGATAAGCCAGATATTTTAGTTACCAACTGCAAAATGTAGTCCAATTATCGGTCTTTAATCTGTTGGAAAGAAGACCTGAAATTTTAGTCATCAAAATCCACTAATTTCAGCACGGCAGTTTTGCCAAAGTATTTCACTTAATCTCCAAGTACAGTTCTTGAATCCGCGCCTTCAAATGTGGCTCACGCAATTTTACCTACCCTCATGGGTGCAGTAAAATTATTAATAACGAGCATTCTTTCATCGATATTCCGAATCTTGAGACTATCAAATTTCATTACTCTCCTCCAAGAATTTTTTTAAAGTACTCAAATTGGTCGGCAAAATTGTAACTATCTATCATAAAGAATCTAAATTACATGTTCTTGGTAAAAATTGTGTCTTTAACCGCTTCGGATAAGTCAAACAGCTTTATCTGCTTAGACAGGTCCTGTAATTACTAAGTATATGCAGAATAAGATAAACTGGAGGTGAACCGGAGTGGAAATGAATGTACCTTTGCAGCAAATATGTGCGATATATTATCTTGAGCACAAGCGAGGAAAAACGTTTGTGTCATCGTCACTTTAACTTCAATGATACTTCATATGTATATGTTTCTCATGGAAATATGTCCATTTATTATTATTTTTTTTTTTAAAGGTGAAAACCGATCGCTCAGCTTTACTGCAGGTTAAATAGCTTCTCTCCAATAAGGGGCCAGATATGATGTACAGTGTAACTTAGAGAGGTTAATGAGGTCTCCAACACAGCAACATACATATCAGAGAGGCAATTACTTATGAGCCTCAAGTAAATTTCTACGGTATAACTTAGGACATGGACCTCAAGAAGAAAGTACACCGATCCTAAAAATAGAAAAAAGTAAAGAATGCATGATTTTTACAAACTTCGAGTTAGGTATGTAGGTACATACGTTCGTATTTGGAAAAACCGCCATATTTTTTTTTTGGCATCATGTTGTTACCGTAGTAATTTTTTGCAATGATATCTATCTCCGAATTTAATCTGTTGAATAATGTTTTCAGTTTCGCAGATATTTTTCCTTTTATGATGCTATGTATGAACGCCCCCCTAAAGCTCCCATGTGATAAGAGCTATTCAAAGATCGACTATGAGTACGATTATATATTATCTGACAATTTTTTGACTCTGTCTGCTGACGCATGCGTGAAATAAAAGTATTTAAAATTAGAATACCCCCTGGTGCACTTCCACCCGGAGCACCACCGGGTCTTGGGGACGAACCCCCACCTGGGCCACCTGGTCCACCTCCTCCGGGTGCACCACCAGGTCTTGGGGACGAACCCCCACCAGGGCCACCTGGTCCACCACCTCCAGGCCCCCCTGCTCCTCCTGGTGCACTACCGGGTCTCCCTCCTGGACCTCCTGGTCCACCACCTCCGGGTCCGCCGGCTCCTCCTGGTGCACCACCAGGTCTCGGGGAAGATCCTCCGCCGGCCCCACCCGGGGCTGATGGAGGCCGCGGCGAGCTGCCTCCTCCTGGACCCCCAGGCCCCCCTGCTCCAGGAGGTCGCGCCCCGCCTGGAGCTCCAGGACCTCCGGAGGAACCACCTCCCCCGGGGCCGCCTGCTCCTCCGGGAGGTCCGCCTGCCCCCGGACCTCCTGGCCGTCCTGGTTGACCTGATCCTGGAAAACAAAAGAACGAGTCCGGTCTAATTCTACAACAATGAGAATTTTGGTTAGAAACCAAGTGGAGATTTCTTGTAAGCAACCGGAGATCCAAAACCAGCCCCTCCACTTTGCTGAGGAAAAATGCCCAGAGACTATAGATAGGGAGATCCTATGCTACGCCAACAGTGAAATTCGTAACACACCAGGAGCAACAATTATGTTAGGACGAAGATAGTCGGTTTCTATGACGCCTTATGGGACTGTTGCTGAATACGGACTCATATCAAAAGAACCAACTATTTGAAAATCTGTGTCCAGATATGGAACTTAGCCATTCATCAAGTGCGTTTACGATGAAAATTTCAGCGCTAAATCATTTGTTCTAAAAACAGAAAAACTACCGTAAGATTCCAAGTACTTGGGGTTATGACGAAGATAGCAATCTGCCATTTCCACTCCCCGCCCGCCTATCGAACGACCGCTCCATGTGTGTTACGTTTTTTCGTAAGCCACCACCAATCTATAGTTTCTATATCGTTGAAAATGCCTCATGAACGTTCGAATGTTGCCAAATTTTCCTTCATAAAAATCTATTTTTCTCGAGTTTCACGCGGTAGGAACCTTAGCCAAAAATCAAAACGTTTGCACTTGTGTTAGCTATGGAAACTGCAATGCATTTACTTGTTTTTTTAACGTCTTGAGTCTAGTATAATGGATCTTCGGTTGCGTCCAAGTGTACAGAGTAAAACTATGGGATTTTTGACTCCAGACTCATTTATAAAATCTAAACTTTACGATTCATTTTCCACACTTAGAGCCACTCTCTCTCCTTCTCCATGGGCTAAATTGATTTCAATGTGGGGCCAATGACAATCAATATGACGATTAAAGATCTCCCAGCTGTTTTGTATTTTGCAAATGCATACTTTGGAAGAAACCCATTCGGTGAAATTCAAAAGAGTCTTCACCTATGAGAGGTCTTGTATAAGGCAACTGCTCATTTGCTTCGTCACCACAAATAACTCAAGAGCACAAAACATTATAAATGCAACGTAAAAATACGTACGCTACATGCTGGATTTTTTATTTATTTATTTGTTGTTATCTATGCATATTATCATTTCTGGCTCAATATGTAAACATCTCACTTGTCAAAAAAAGAAGAAGAGGAAACTCCAATTTATTGCTTTGATTTTGCTAATTGTTTCTTCTCCAGATTAATGCCTCACTTATATTTAACCCTGCCAACCAGTCATTTGACAGCCAGCGGTATGGAACTTTCGTCGGAGTTAATAATTAACTTCAGTCTATAAAAATGCACACAGGTATTCAGCTGACGTATTTAATTTCTCTGAACTCAATTGCTCCCAATTTAACTTATTTTAAGTGCCGAGTTTTTAATCAAAAAATCCTCTGTGATTCACATTTTTACTGACATTTAAATTTCAAATTCTCCCCGGTTAAGCCTTTTTGAAGAAACGCACCACGAATCTTTAATTTTCAAATTAAAATGATAATTACTAAAAGCGTGAAAAAATACAATTATCCATTAGGGTGGGGCTTAATTGAGAGAAAAAAAAAAAAAAAAAAAACCTCAATTGGACGTATTTCTACGAAACGGAACTTTGTGCATTATGACTTGAGCCCTGTTATGCATATATTCTTATGGTTCTCAAGGCTCATGTCTTAATGCATATAGTTCCGTTTGGCAGAATTACGTCCAACTGTAGACAATTTAGTACTTTTTGTATGCGTAGTTCAGTAATTTTATAAATTTTGGTGATTATAACCTCAACCAAACTACAATATGTTCCCCTAATATTAATCAGTATGAAAGAAATAAAGTTGCAAGCTTTTCTGCGAATTCTAAAAAAATTGCTGGGAAAATGTCAATATTAAACTTATTGAAATGTGGGACTTCCCCAAATCAAGGTTTTGATACCATTAAGGCCACTTTTCTTGTAAAATTTCATATTTTTTAAGTACTGATGTTCCTCAGAATCGCAAAAAAATTGCGGAATTTTTTTTCTACAAGCGGTGCTTTTTGCCATTTTATTGAAATTTTAAGCCAAGAGTAGAGTTCTGCTCATTTACAGCGAGGCAAGGCAATGTGTGCGATTATAAGTGAAACTCGTGTTAAATTTAAGATTATACTGAAACTAACACTACTGTAGCATATATTTGTACTGGGGGGTACTTTGGGGGAAATAATTGAGAAGCAGCCTGTGATGTTTTTCAAGCAGCGCCTAAATAATGAGCAAAAAAACATGCTCAAAAAACATTTTAAGGAGTTTTTTAATAGTCCATACCTATTTACAGCTTTCATGTGGAAACTTCGCAGAGTAATGTAAGTTCTTTGAACTGCGGAAAATGTACGTATAAAAATATGCATTCCAAAACCTAAATTTAAAGAAACCTACACCGCAGTCCTTTCCACAATTGGCCGAAAAAAACTGATTGTGTCAAAATCTGACTAAGATTCTCCTACACCTCACCACTAACCAACCATAGACCGAGAGTTTAAAAGCAGGGCATAATCATAAGGAGAAACAGCAAATTTAGCAAAAGCATGCATGAACAAAAACACCTTGGACATAATCTTTGGTCATTTTTACTCTATTGAAGCCCCATTATTTTGCCTCGGTTGAATCAATTCATTTTGTCTGAAATAAAATGCTTCTTGCATAGGTCTTTAACACGGCATTTACATCGTGATCTTATAAAGAGTCCAAAGTCCTTTTGTACCCATAATTCCATTTGTGGTGCTAGAAAGCTGACCAGGAGGTTTCTTCATTCTCTGCTTGAATAGTTACTCACCCAAGACATGTTTTTAATCAGTCACCCATGGATAAAACTTAAAGTTGGGGGAAGAAGGGAAGGAGTAGGTTTTGCAAAAGTTTGGGATCGCACTTGCAGATCTGCATGAATGTGGGAAGGCGGGGGTGGCTAGTTCAGATATTCTGAACTTCCCTATGACACGGGAATACTCCCTGGGAGCATTCATAAATCACGCAATACAATTTTTCTCCATTTTTGAACCCCACTTTCCCTTCTTGTAATGCTTCGTAGCGCAATCCAGACCCACCTTACTAATTATTATTGAATGCTACACGGAGAAAAAAATTTCGTGCATGGAACTCGAAGTTGAGGTCATATGGATCTTTGAAGTTTTCTGATCACGCATCCGAGAACTTGAGGTCCAGCTGCTGAAGTTCGGGTCAGACATCGAGGCACTTCGGTATGTACCGGAGTACTTCAGATGTGTGACTCGAACTCTTCGGTATATATAGAAGTACTTCAGATGTCTGATCCGAACTTCGGCAGCTGGACTTTTAGATACGCGATCCGAAAACCTCAGAGGTCCATATGACATCAACTTCGGGTCCCACGCACGAAGCTTTTTTCTCCGTGTAGATAGACTGCTCCCCCTCAAGATCGCTGATTCCGTGACCAACGCAACTGACCCATTTTCTCGATTTAGGATAGCTAAATTTCAGGATATTTCCGAAGAAATACTTGGGCGCTCTAAAGCTCCGGGGCTCAAGAAATCTCCTGTGCAGGAATCTAACACCACTGTACCCTCCACATTCGGTTCCAAACCCGAACCCTCCTCCGTGTAGTAGAGCGCCGAACTCGTTCCGTGAGATTTGGATGCAAGTGAGTAAAAGACGAAGATGAGTACCGCCTCCTGTTCCTCCGCCTCCTGGAGGTCCCGAGGGTCTCGGCGATGAGCTGGGGCCCGATGGTGGCCGCGAGCTCCCTCCTCCTGAAGGCGTCGAGCCGCCTGGAGCACTCCCGCCGGTCGGCCGAGGTGACGATCCAGGTCCTGATCCTGGAAAATCAAAAATAAATAAGTCAAAACTATATCCGCTGAAGCATATTTGGACGTATTTCTGTCAAACGGAACTAAGCGCCATAGGGGGAGGAAGGTAGAGGGGGGCTTGGATTGGCGGCGGAATCGGGCGTCGGGCTCATATTCCGTCCTATACTCGTAATTATTTTCCATGGCGCTTAGTTCCGTTTGACAGAGCGCGCTACCCGGCATTCTAAATTCCTCAAAAGGAACTCAAACTGGCGCTTAGTTCCGTTTGACAGAAATTCGTTCATCTGGACGACAGTTTGCAATTTGGAAATATAAATTCTAGCCCGGTTTAAAAACAACGTATGTGCCATTAGTTTCCCTATGCGCATAAGTGTTTTTCCAGAAGAGCTAGAATTTATATTTCCAAAATGCAAAATGCAGTTCCTTTGAACCGCGTTCAACAGAAAGGAACCAAACCACATCAGCTATTGCCAAATTTAACTGAGCAATTTAATTTTTTTACCAGAGAACGTTTGTGCGGATTCCTTTGACAATTTTAAAGGAATTTGCCTCGTGCTATGCAAAATATTTACTGAAATTTGCACAAAAATCCGCACAACCGTTTTCATGTGTTTAATTAAATTGCCCAGTTAAATTTGGTAACAGTTGATGTGACTTGGTTCCTTTCTTTTTAACGCCGTCCATTTTTTGTCGCCTGGACGAAGGAGCGAAACTCTATTCCAAGGTTGCAAAGTTGACTCAAATAATTCAATTTCTAACTAAATTTACCTCGGCAATTTTTGTCCAAAAATTTTCTGAGTTTAGCATGAGATCAGAGAAAAAAATCAGTGAAATTTTCGGTCAGAAATGCAGGAGATTCCCAGATAAAAATCCAATTTGCAAGGGGATATTTGGCAAAGTTGAAATTCAGTTACGTTTTTTTTTTCAGGGATACGGCGATTCGTGACAAGCTTTGTGATGAGATACTCGAGGTATAAGATTGAGTTATTAGCACCGCTGCATGGATGAAGAGAAACTGAATAGTTCGACGTAAGTGCAACCCAAAAGCTCAAAAATTGAGGAAGATATATGACGTGAAAATATACCAACTTCGGATACATGGAAGTTTTAAGGGCTTAATAGGTTTTGCCAAAAAATTATTCATTCCGAAGGGAATCTGAAGAATACTTGGGACTCTTTAAGGACCAGCATTACATTGTAATGGGTCATACAAGGGCAAAGCAACAAATTGTTGGATGATGCAATTATCAATTGCCTCGAAGATGAAAGAGAGCAAGTATAATCAGCATTATTGGTAGTATGGAAAAGAATCATGCAGAGCTTCTGTTCAAGTCATCTACTCTTGAAATATCCCCCCCCCCCCNGCATGTTCTCTTACCTCCAGGACCCGCCGGTCCTCCAGGGATGGTGATGTTGGTGATTATGACGCCTGGTTGTCCATATCCTCCCATGTCAAACGGCATCGGAAAAAGGGGGAACGGGAGAATGTTCCCCCCGCCGCCGAACCCTCCGCCCCCTCCAAAACCACCTCCGAAGCCCCCTGCTCCTCCCCCAAACCCGCCGCCGCCACCGAAGCCCCCGAACATGTCCCCTTGCATCGGCGGGAAGAGGGGAAACGGGAATATTTGGCAGTCCTGAAAAAGTCAGAAAAGTGCACGCAAATCAGTTCGTCGCACAATGGAGATAAGTCGGACAAAATTTGAAAACTTTAAAAGCTCGTAACTCCATTATTACAAAAGATATACTTTTTAAAAGTGGTTCCATTAGTTCTCTCGTAAAAATTACATCAAAAAGTACCCCTCAAACTTTAGAATTTCACGATATTTAAAACTAATTTTGCTGTTGTAGTAAAAAAAAATCATGTCCAACCTTTTCCCCATTCACTCGATCTACTGTGCGTCGTAAGCGAGATTAATGTAGAAACACGAAAGGAAAGAATGAAAGACAAAGCAATTTGACATCATTTTGCAATTTGGATTTAGAATTTCTGGCTCGTATGTAAAAACACTTATAAACATAGGGAAACTAAAGGTACGTACGTTGTTTCTAAACTGAATCAGTGATGTTAGTCCATAGTTGCAAAATGGATTACATTTTGCAAAAAGGAACCACTATCTCTGACTCTCCTATAAAAGCACATATCTGCATAGGGAAACCAATGGCATGTATGTTGTTTCTAAAATGAGCCAGAAATAGTGGTTCCTTTTTGCAAAATTTAATCCAAATTTTGTCGAATTACTGTCCCCACTATTCATGTTTTGTAGAGGTTATCGGTCAAAATTGTAAAAAAAGGAGCTACTATTTCTGACTCATCAATAGAAGCGCGTATCTAAATAGGAAAACCAAGAGTCTAAAATGAACCAAAAGTAGAAGTTGTTTAATGAAAAATGCCGCCCAGTTCTATTTTGAGGTTACAGCCGATTAAACCCGAGTGGAGTCAGTTTTAGCATCAGACCGCATTATCAGTTCAATGAATCAATGTTGCAGCATCCGGTTTTTAGAGCTAGACGCATGTCTACTTCAAGCCAACCTGATCGGCCTAGAGCTTTCGTTAAAATGTAATTTCAAGAATGTAAATAACCAATCAAAAGGAAAAGTAGACGTGCAAGCACATCCGCAAAACTAATATTTAAATCCTACACCTAACCAGGAAAGAGTTACCTATCTCATACTGAACAAATGCAGCGGAATGCACATTTATAACGTCACCTTGCCTGACCAAACAACTTACGCTTGAGGTTCAGTTATGACCTTATCGAAGGCACAGTAAGAGTTCTCTAGGGCCTTTTTGGAGACTCTTTTTTCTGAAATGCGGGGCTTAAAATAGTTCAAATTAAACATATTTGGATCTTCACCCATTCACTTTTTAAAATATTAGAGGGTGTCGCCCCTGACTGCTTCGCAGTCAAACCCTCAGAAGTGTTTTGTATGCCTTTCGCGTCACAATTTTGATTTTATATTAGAAAGTGAGACGAGACAAATCGTCAACTTTCAAACTTCAGCTTGCTCTCACTTTTTTATGCCTTAATTGTTCCTGGATTGGATTTTTCCTCGCTTTATGCGGTCACGAAACTATACTGAACGTTTTGCCATAACTTTCTCCTATTTTTTCGTATTTGATAGTTTTAATCCACATTTTCTGGGCGAAAAACCATTCAACGAGAGGAACACGTTAGGAGGACCGGCCTGTCGGATTTTTATTGTTTGCGTAAGTAAATGAAATTAAACTACGGACTGTTTGCAATGGAGACAAGTACTTGCTTTCCAGGGTGTCAGGTGTTGACATACGGCATTGAACTTTGGTGACTCAGCACGGTGATAAACCAGTTGGGTATAATTGGATTTTGGGGAAAGGTCACCACATTTTCCTGATCCACCGACTCGTATACCGTCGATATTTTCTGTGCAGGATCAGATTCTTTTGAGAGAGATCCGCGATTACGAGGAAAATTGCCGTTCTTTAAAATTCATTTACTGTTATGGAAGATCTGATTTAAAAGGCTTTGCTAGCTTACTCCTTTACTAAAATGACCTTGAATTGGCTCATCGGCTTTGCCTCTTCGAATTAACGGATCAGCTGTTGCGCTGATCTCAGAATCGCGTATTAGTGCTTCATTATTGTCGATTAGCTAAAAATATTAAGATCTATCCAAACAGCAATTTTCTACGTTCAAGAATAACCGAGGTATCGCGAATTGAAAAATTCGGTTTATGACGTCAGCCACCGCGGTAGTGACACCCTTGGTTTCTTCCACCTTCCTTTTATCCGAGTCACACGTTGAGTAACCAGCGCAAATGTGTATAATGAAATAAAATTATATTTAACAAATAATATTGAATATTATTAAATATTATTTATTATTATTAAATATTAATTTTATTAAAACAAATATTAAATAAAAAACGCAAGGTTTGGTGACCCATTTTCAGTATGAGGTATTTGGATTACATTTTGCAATAAGGAACCGCTATCTCTGGCTCTCCCATAAAAGCACATATCTGCATAGGGAAACCAATGGCATGTATGTTGTTTCTAAAATGGCCAGAGATAGCGGTTCCTTATTGCAAAATTTAATCCACTTGTCGAGTTGGACCGACTAATTGAATCAGTGAGAACGAAAACACACCAACTCGAAAAAATGAAAATAATCAAGACACACGTAAAACTGCACGGTAGTTGAAGAAGTTATAACACAAGAAAAAGATTTTTGGTGCCAAAAGACAAGTACTAAAGGATACTTTAAAGGTCCAGGTTGGAACAGATGCGTTAACTTCAATGACCTTTATGAAAACTGACTCTCTTAAATGAAAATTTGAGCATTTTTGAGTGACCAAGTTGGTGTGTTTTCGTTCTCGTTGATTCAATTGGATATTGAACTTTCAATGGAAAACCCTACAGTTTCCTGAAGAATAAGTTTTGATTTAATCAATTTTTATGGCAATCGAGGTCTTAACGCTACGTTTGAATCTGGTGATTTCATGTCCGAAACGTGAGGATGAGAATTTTAAATTGACCCGTATTAAAAACCACCTCTTCCGAATTGCAAACTTCAAACCACCATAATGCCGCTTTGATTTCTTGTATTCGGCCGTCTCTTATCCCAACATTTTTGAGAAACATCCTTTTATACTCCGCTTTCAGCACCTAAATTTTTGTGAACTTAGGTGTCCCCATTCCGCGGGCGGTCATATTTTGTCGCTGTTCTGACGTGAAAGGACGTAACTCAATTTCTACGTGAGCCCTATTTTACATAGAAATCCATGCTTCTGGGGGTTCATGCAAAATTACAGATACGCCTTCACGTCGTATGAGCGACGATTTGGACTATATTTCGTCGCCTTCCAGCCAAAGTATCACAAGCGCCATGCGACGTTACAAAATTTCCGCCGTCATTCTATTTTTTTACAGAGAAATTTTTCAACGGAGCAGTGCGAAAATTTCACTGAAGTTTCTTTGAGCTGCCGATAAAATTCAGTGAAATTTTCAAAAAGATCCAACCAACAATTTCTCTGTAAAAAAATACATGTAAAATGGCGGCGGAAATTTTGAAACGTTGCATGGCGCTTATGATACTTTGGCCAGAAGGTGACGATTTTGCGATAAGGAACTATTATATCTGCCTCATCCATAAAAATTCGTGCCCACCTAAAAAAACTCATGTCATATAAGATTTATTATGAGATGAGCCTAAAATATTGGTTCTGCATTGAAAAAAGTACTCAATTAGTAAATATGCAAGCCAGTTTTTACAAATACACCTTGGAAAATATTTTTAACAGATCACCGATGATGTTGATTTCTCTGGGTTGAAAACTCACCACGTTCCATAGACTAGCCAAAATATGGAGGGTTGCCGTACATATCCAACCGAGCCCGCCCCATTTGGAGTCGAGACCCATTTCACATGCACGCACCAAAGCACTGCTCACCGGACGAACATTTTTCACCAAATGCTCGATGGACACACCAAAACAATGTGATATAGGTCGGACTCCCTTTAACCTTGTGTCCCGAGACTAGGAGGCTGTCCCGAACCATGCCCAACGCAACGTCGCCAATTTTCCGAGTTTTTTAATTTTTTTAAAAACATTAACGATTCAATCTTTTCTGTTCACAAATCTTATAAGAGGGAAGGTGTCAAAAATTAAAAGACTCGACTGTACCTTAGTACAACGTAACGAGTGAGATACTTTTCAAAATGGAGTCTGAAAGACTTGAAAAAGACACTGATCGGGACCAGAAAGACTCCTTGATGGTAGGTCTTAAAACGTTTTAAATTTGTAGCTATAATAGTCTAAATACAAAAGGAGGTCAAGTTTACTTAATTAGGAATAAAAAGGAAAACTTGATGCTAATTTTTTTTTAAAGAAAAGGGTATACTTATTACTCACATGTTGCCGAAAAATGTTATTTTTTTTTGGAAAAAAAAAATGTGTAATATCACACTGAAAAAAAAACTGCTAAAATCAACACATGAAAAGTGAAAAAAGGTGACAACTAATCAAAATAGATTAAGAACACCGGGTTGATTTTACTAATTTGGTGATTTGTCACCGTATTTTAGCAATTTTTTTTTTCAGTGCAAGATTTCCTTTTAATTTTAAAATTGTTAAATGCTACTCCTGAAAGTATGTTTAAATATGTTACTTAATCTTCTGATCCAATATAAATTGAATATCTACGATATTAATCCAACAAAATTTTCAACTTTATTTATTCACGATCTCGTCATCCCACTTTCGATGTAAAACTCACGAGTCTAAGGAAAATGTTGAATAATTAGAACGATATGGCACCGCGGAGAGCCATCTCACCTCGTCCGTCCCGGTATTTTGACGGGCACAGGATATTTATCAATTGTCCAGCCGCCGATCCCAAGCATTGGCAATAAATGGGATTATGATTTTTCACTTCCGGTCTGCTCCATGAAAATGTGCAATTCTATCACCAATGGTGACAAATCAGCCCCCCCTCCCCCCTCCCCCGAGTCGTGGTTTCTACTTCCCCTTCCTTGATCTCCCAAACCTCCATTCACACTTTTTGGATTAAGAATTCAAAAAGGGATCTAGACAAGAACCCTCGAAAATACACTGGAAAAAAACACATTGGATCTAGAGTCCACACTCTTGAAAACATTGACAAGAAAATTGACTCTTGATTCAATCAGATTTAAGCTTAAAGCAAAAGGAAATCCGCTCAAATTAAGAAGCTTGGTTCTTGATTTAAGCGTAAATCTGATTGAATCAAGAGTATTTTTTCTTGTCGATGTTTTTAAGAGTCTGGACTCTAGATGATCCAATGTGTTTTTTTTCCAGTGTATGTAATATTCAGAAGTCTCTTGTACCTTATTTTCCAACCCATCGCCAACCGAAAAAGAAAAGGAAAATTAAAACGAAAGGATTACACCAGTCCTATTATCTCATTTAGACTGCAGTTATTCCTTCTGCGTGTTTACACACGAAGGACCGGATTTGATCAACTTAAGAATGATAATCTCCACAATGTCTATAAAATGATTTTCATATCCCTTTCTATCGATCAGAAACGATTGCTCTAACTAGTTCACAACAATAAATCGTTCCGAGTCAAATACTAATTGCCAAGTACAAACTGCTAACCCAAAAACATTCACAATGCAGGAAAGAGCTTTTTTAGATTGCAATATTATTAGTTTCAGTGATGTAATAGTTAAAAATGAAATAATTTAGACCTAATCGTTGCGTGAGGCGATTTAAAATAATTTGAAATATCTACAGTGGAAATCGTATATAACGACCTATTGGGCATAATGACGCAATTTGACCAGTCCCGGCTGTACTCTGATTTAACCAATGGATTTACTTATTGTTTATAACAACATCGCATCTAGCGACATATCGGCCTTCGCTACGGACTTAGGCTATCGACTACAACAACCGGAGAATCGCCCAGTGAGGCAATGCACTTTTAATGCTCTCTATTTAAGGCTATCGATACATGTGTGAATCAAGAGAGGAAGATTAGTTGGAATTTATGTAGCACGTTTTAAATGACAATAATCCATTATTCAATGTGCTTAGAAACTCCATCTTAGTAACAAGTTGTTTTTATTTTATTAATTTTGATTTTTCGCCTTGTGATAGGGCTTTGGCCTTCGTGCATCAGCACAAACAACCAAGCAAAATGAAAACTTCTGAACTCCGCGCGTTTGAATAAAAGCGCCGAACACGGTGCGGCACGGTGCGGTCGGCGTGCAACTGTGGCGCATACTAGCGCCTACAAGACCGCGCGAATACTTCACGCATTGCGCCAATCATACGGTGCGGTTCACTCGGTCGGCTTGGAGCGCATACTAGCGCCTACAAGACTGTGCGAATACTTCACGCATTGCACCAAACACACAGTTTTAAAGTACCTCCTTGTGCTGCTTAACGTGAAAGTATTGATTTTGTTTAAAGTTCGAATAAGCTTAATAAGAACATTATAAAATAGGAAATATTAAAAAGCCATCCCAAAAACGACATCAATTGACTAGATTTTACGACTCAAGATTAGGAATTTAAAAACATTAAGTGAGATAGATTAGATAGATCTCTAAAATATAGTTCCTTATGTTGAGATTTAAGCGTTGATGATTAATGCTGATTATTGACGAATTCCTCTCCGATTGATATATTTTTCCAACAAGTACGAAAATACAAACTATAGCATAGAAGTATTTTCCCCGTTTAAAATCGTCAATCGATCACTTTATTTCAGCTCAGCAAGCAAAAATGAACAGCGAAAACGTTGAGCTTTAATATTTTAATCGCAGTAATAAAATTAAATATAATAAAAAAGTCTATACAAAAACTTACAAAGTCAAAACTTAAAACTAAACTAGAATCTAACAGGCAACATCAATGACATTGCCTTAATTTTTAAATGAAGTTTTTACAAGAAAAACCGTTAATGCATTTGTCGATTTGTTTCTGTTTTCTCTGCCTCTTTAAATGTAGCCTCGATTTAAGGCGAGTAGGAGTCCATTCAGACGTTTTTATGCTGAAAGGAACTATTTGAAAATTAATCAAGGAATTATATGTAGCACGCAAAGTCTACTAACCTAAACACAGTTCCTAATTATTTAATTCATTTTCACAAAGTTCCCTTTGGCATTCAGATGCCTTTTTAATTTGTTTAACTAATTAATTCTGACTACTTGAGCAGACAAAAAGAACGATAGCTAAAATACATTGCACAAATGAAACTGATCATTATCGAATTGAGAGAATATACCCATTAATCGTTTGCTGGTTAGCAAAAAATTTGGCAAGACTTTTAGCATCCATAAACATTTCACACTTGACATTCAATTATTTCAGTGCTTAATTTTTGTCTCGCACTGACTATTTCCTTTCGGAACAATTTCTTGCATTGACGAGAACAAGAAGAAATGAAAATAATTACTCGTAAAATGACAATTTCGATGTTCGGAGCATGACTGAAACTTAAGTGATTAGTTTGAGCAGAGTGTAATAAGGTAGATATAGAGATCAGTCAATGTTCAGCCTCCGGAACGCGCCTTCCTGACCAAAAATGTTGTTTTCGTTGAATCTTGCAGTTTCGCTGCCTTTGTCTTGCCGTTTATTTTCGTCAACCATGACATTCTCTTGTCCTTCAAAGTAGGTCTTATAAGCATTGAGTTTCTTCAGCCACTCCTCTGAAAAAGTTTCACATCAAAGAACATTAATAAAACTGTGGAACGTGCTGAAATGTTTACTCTCGTGTATCTCAAATACAATCTTATTTTCTAATGATATTTTTCATGCTTAATTTTTGCAGTCATCCACAGCCGAAAAATGCACATCTCTGATCGGAAAATTCCAAATCTTTACTCCTGTTTTATTCATTGAGAAAAACTGCCCAACAGTTTCTCTTAAAATATCTGTTTTTTCCCACTCTCTCTAGAATATTAGCAGAAATTTGCAAGTAGGTATTTCGGCTAGTTTTTCTCGAAAAACATTCAATAAAATCGAATATTTTGTGACGCTACAATGAATTTATGCATTTTTCGAATGTCATCATTTTTATGTGTAATCAACTCGGAATGAATTGTTAAATAAGAAGCGACAAATAACAAAGATAAAAAATTATGCACATTTTGGTGTTGTGCGCTGAGCATTAAATCCCGTTTTTCATTACCATATTTTTTTAAATTGCCGTAAACTTACGAATAATAATCATAAAAAATTTACGCATTAATAGACGCAGAAGAATTTTTTTCTGTTATCCAGGAACTAAATTCTTTTTAATTCAAAGATGCTGTTCTCAAACTTTGCCTTTGTTTTTTTAAGCAATAAAATATGGACTTTCATGCGTCAGGGTACTTTTATCGAGAATTTGACACTGTGAGCTGCTACTTGCAGTCATTATGAAATTTCCATAGACATATATTTGTTAATTAAATTTAATTTGCGCATATTCCAGCAGAAAAGGGGCGTTGACATGAATATCAATCCGCTCCAAGACCGCTAATCACAATAAGGGTTGTAAATTCCATTTTATATTCAATTGGTTCAGAGTCCATAAAAAGTTGTCACACATTAAGTCCATTAAGTGTAAAGTCCACATTGTTAGTTTTTTAGGAATGGGCCGTCAAAACGGTGGTCAAACTACAAACATTTTGAAAGAATGCGTCGGAATTCAATCTCCGTCAAATTCTGGCAATCTGTGTCTCCTCATCAAATTTTATGCAGAACATGGCAAGGAAGCCAAAAAGTAACTGATGAATAATAAATCAGTGTTTATGTTTCAATTACACTCAGTGAATTCACACATACCGCTTGCGCATAACCCTGGACACACGCCGAGACAGTCATCAGATACAAATTACGTCATTACAAAAAGACAATTATTGTACTAATGTTGCAGACTTACTCTGGAATGCATCTGATGATTTGCTTTCACCACCGTAATCGGAGGGTAACATTTCTCTAGGTATGAAGTCGGCTAACGATTTGATTCCAGTGTGAATGTGCCACTGAAAAATATAAATTGTAAAATGGAGTGAGGCAAGAAGTAATGGAGATATATTCTCCCACTGCATAAGAGTTCGTGTATTGAAAATCAATACCTAAAAATATGTATCTAAAACCAATGTAATGTATGTAATGTGTAATTAAAATTGATCATAAAGTAAATATGTTACAAAAACAAACAAAAATTGGGGTTGATGATTAGTAGCAATAAGCAAGCATGTAGAGGGACTCTAATTTGATAAAAGTACTTTTCATCAATGTTTTTTGTTTCAATGGCGGGGAATAAAATTTAGTTAAAAGACAGTTACTATCTTTAACTCACCAGCGGTGGATTGGAGACTGTTCGTTAATTAATTTTATAAGACACTCAGCATTCCAGGCTACTCATGTATTTACAAAAAACATGAAGGGTGACTGCATTTACAAGCATTTAGATTCTTAACATGATGGAAGCAAACAGTTTCAAAATTTAGGTTGTGACATTTGGTAACCGCATAAGAGCGTTATATATAGCTTTTTAAAGTACCATTGATTTTGAATTTATCAATCAGTGATTAATTTTTTTCCCAGTAAGTTTCGATACATTGAGTCTGGTCTGGACCCAATTATGAAAATGCTAGAAATTTTGTGGCTTACCCTATTTTTCATTTTTGGCTTCATGAAGAATTTGAACATGGTGACAACTTTGTCTACATGGCTAGGTGCGTTAATCAAGTGGATCTCCCGCAACCGTTGTGGGAACGCATTCTGCAAGAGAAAAACAGGAAATAAACATTAGCAAATTGATTATTTTCTTTCATTACCGAATTCTTAATTTTCTTAAATAACTTCTGCCCCGTTCAATCATCCCTCTTTTGCCAGATGAAAAATTGCATTATAGACGACTACTACTAACATGCCGCTCTTATAGCGCTTCTGTGTGCTATGCAACACCCAACCGCCACTGATAGCGATCCTGTCAGCGCTTTGCTACTTCGGGAAATCGCACCACCTCATTTCCTGCCTCATTCCATCAATCCACGATTTGGCAGGTGAGCTGAATTAGAATTTCGTACATGAGCGTAAACTGGTCTGCATTTTGAAACAAGCAGGAGCTACCATTTCCTGCTCATTTTAGAGACAACGTCCGCACCGTTAGTTACCCTGTACAGATATGTTCTTTTACACATGAGTAATAAATAATACTCCCTAATTGCAAAATTGTGTCCATAACTGACTTATGCTGGCTGACTTGAAAATACGCTTAGCTCATCCAAAAAAACCACCGCAGAGTTTTCTACCAGTAATCAGTGGTGTGGCGTGAATTGCGATGTATCGATTGTTTGGCCATTTAAACCTATGGTAAAGAATCGATTATTAAGGTGTTGGCTGCGAACACCCTGTTTATCGATCCTTTTCCATAGGTTTAAACGGCATAACAATCGATAAATCGAAATTCACGCGACGCCACTGCCAGTAATTCCTGCAAATTGTCAACACTGCTTTTCTTCAATGTGAATTCCTCACAAATAATGGATTCTGGATGATGAAACATCATATGTATAGATTGTTTCACACGCGCTTAAATGGACGGAGCCCAGCATTCTCAACTTGCGAGAATCGTCGGTGTTCGCTAAATCAGTAATTGGGCGTGACTAGAGAGAGGCGTTGGCTAAATCCCTTGACTCATTGACTACTCAACCAATTCGAAGAAATATAGTTCCCTGCAAATCTATGAGTTTAAAAAGGAAAAGTTGCTCCGCTAATTAGATCGATGTTAATTCTTAATGAAGGGAAAACATTAAAGAAATTTCCTAAACGACCTTCAGAAAATTCGCCATCAAACCACGAGCACGTGTTTCATCTAGTATTGTGACAGCAAAAAGCATTAAATAAAATTTACTATTCTAGGACCGTTAGGGCTATGAGTGGTTGAATAATTTATCGGAAGGCTGTGAAGATTAATATTAAAACGCTTACAAGGTTTGAATGTTTAAATTGGCATATTCGGCTAGTTTTATTTGCGACTGATTTTACGGCGAGGTCTTACGTAGGACTGATTCAAACGTTCTCCGTGTGTTTTACCTGTCTCATGCGATCACCAAAACATAACTTGAACTTGACCCTGAGACGCTCCAACAGTTCAACGCCTCGCACTAAGCATAGTTATAAAGTTTTTTTCCTTCTTTTCTTTCTGCTTTTATCTTCTTTCATTCAAATTGCCCAATTATAATCCATGCACTACAGTTGTCAGTATAAAGTGAATGTGTATGTCGGGAGCTATATCGACGGTGAAACTACCAAACCACGTATCTCGTTTGCGGTGTTTAAAAATCTACGCTCGCATTTTATTTTTTTGAAGTCGACCAAATCAATATCTTTCCTTGAAATTTTCACAGAATTTTCTCCGCACAAAGAGGAAAAATTACAGAAATTTTCAAGACTAGACGTTAAGTAGTTTTTCATTTAAAAAATAAAGTATGACAGGAAGTCTGCGACGTCGCAAACCGAGATACGTGGTTTGGTAGTTTCACCGTCGATATGCTATCGATAACATAATTTAAAATTTGCGAGCAAAATTGTGAGAATGCGTTGGTCGTTGGTAGGTATTTATTGTTCATTTAATAATTGCCTTATAAAGCTCTTAGTTACGATTGTCATCAACTTGTTCGACATTCATCGTTTCCGTCTCATGTATATAATGTTTTCAGCAAACTCAACTTTATACGATCTCAGTCCATCTCATTTATTTATTTTTTTAAAAGATGATTCTCTAGTTGGAATATTAGATACGTATGATTCTGATACACAGAAGAGTGGTTTAGGCCGCAAACTATGGTGGAAATAATCGATCTCCATTGACCTTGGAGGACAAGGCGCATAAGTCCAGTTTTTGAGAGAATTGAGATATTCATGAACTCAACTAAAATACTAGTCTTCATGCATACTTCGTGAAAAATTCACAACTAAAATCCAACTTTAAAGTATCAAAAAGTGAGTATGCCTCCTTCCCGCCATGCGAGGTTCCATGTAATTTTGAAACTTAGAAAACGTAATTTTCCAAATGGCAAAAACTGCACTTATGCGCCTTCTCCTCCAAGCCCCTCAATTATGAATATCGTGATTTAGAAACGACTGTGAATGCGATCATAATGCAAGTAAAAAATCTGGACAATAAAATAATTCTAATCCACGTGCGCGATTTCGCTGCATCAGGAAGAGCGTTATAAAAGTCTCCGATAAACTTCAAGGATCATGATAGGAAAAAATGAGTCACTTAGCAACGAACAACGATTCCTCTCGAATTTCATTATTTGGCCCTTTGAAACTATGGAGGAAAATGCTCTCATCGACTGCATCTCACTGATTAATGTTATTTTATTCTCATCCTCTCTGTTTGATCTGAAAAAGGACACGAGGAAGGAAATGACCGAACAGGAAATAAAAACTGGGACTTTCCTGCACTTCTCATTGAATCAATCACTGTAACGAACTAGAGTACATCACAGGATCATTTCTTTTCGTGGTGCAACCTAAAAATTTACACAATACCAGTATAGCACTTAAGTGGAGTCTCTAATATTTCTGCCGTGATAGAAGAGAGCAGTAAGTGTCAAATTTTCGAAATCGAGTTGCCTTTAAAATCCATTTAATCTAGTTTAGATGAAATCTTCGAAATAGCTAAAACAGCAAAATTCATATTCATTTTATAAAAAACGAGACATATGAGGAAGCCGTTAGTGCGCAAAAAATGACGTAGTTTCAGGCAAGACAGCAGTAAGTGACAATATTCCCCCAGAGAGCCTATGAAAACCGTGCTTTCAAGTGAAGTGCCGTCCTCTTCTGCCAATCTCTGACCTAAAATTATGTTTGTCGTGTTCAAAACGCAATCACGAAAGCTTGCAGAAGATAGCACTTACAGCTGTCTTCATGAAGTAGTATAGTAAAGTACAAAATACCCTTTTTATGTGATTGAAATAGAATAGGTCCATATTTAATCATCCAAACGATTTCTAGGAGTCTTCCGGATGATAAGTGGCAATTTGACAAAGAACGGACGCTTCTTTCAATAAAATTTTCAGGTCAGACGCTTCTAGGCACGTTTTTTCAAAACTTCATTTTTGCACTTCCTGCCTCTTTCCTATCACGGGCAGTATAGTACTTAAAAGAAATCTCCACATTAAAACCATAGTGCGCTACGTACCTGTGTAGTGAGGAGTATCTTTTTGAGCAAGGGTGTGGCGAGCTTGGCAACATGCGTGAGCGTCATGTGGCCGACGTCGAATACGAAGATGTCTCCGGAGATCATAGGTTCCTCGACCATGCGGACGTCACCTATCATGCAAAGCATCTTGTAGAGGGCAGCAGGGTCGAATTCCTCCACCGGTTCATTTGTAAATGAGTGAAATGTGACACGAGCGCCATCTGGAGTTAAGTCGGGCAAGACAAACGCTTTGCTGCAAAATCAGAATTCAGGTCAAAATCGTCGAAGAAACACAATGATTATCAAATAGCTCCACAAAGATCAGCGTTAGAACAGTGTTGGTGTAGTAAATCATACAAAATTATCTCGAAACATAACAGTGCTGGCTGTACCTAGCAAGCAACCATAGCAATTAAAAATGAATCATCGCACCAGAGAAGGCAAAAATATATGCGCGGCATGGTGTCAACCGCTTGTAATTGAACAGAAGAAAATCAGTTATATTTTATATGATTTTTCTTATCATTTTAAATGGCAGTAATCCATACAGAGTGTGTTGAAACTTATTTGTGGTAACAAGTTGAAAAACTCTGACTCCACGAGTTGAACCAATCCAACCGAACACAGTGCGGTTGGCGCGGAATGCATATTAGCGCCTACAAGACTGTGGGGGTACTTCACGCATTGCGCGTACACTACGGTACGCGCCTATCACATATTAGCGCCTAAAAGACTGTAGGAATACTTCACGCATTGCGCGTTCACCACGATGCACGGTGCGCGGTTTAATCGTTGACAATTGCGAGAGGATAAATGTTTTAAAGTTATAAAAATCACGCTTGAGAAAGGTGGATGGTATAACTGGTTGCCAACAGTGGATAAACTAACGTGGGAGATACTTCATTTCAGACTTTCTTGGTGTGCTCGTCTGATTTGTGAGCTACTTTACCAAAGGCTTTTATTCCTTTCAGAGGTCAATCTCTACATTCATTCATCTTCAGCTTGTCTGTGCAATAAACCCATTTGAACAAGAAGACAAAAATGAAATCTTAGTGCTCGTGTCCAAAAGAATGTCACTCGCAGGACGCTCGGGAGCAAAACATCCAGAGAATGTCATGTACCATCGTCGTAACAGAATGAGAGATGTGAAAATGAAAGTCAAATTCCTAAAATTTTGAACTTACAATTTCCTAAACATACATAAAAGCCGCTTTTATAACGCTCTCTGGCGCTGTGCGACACTCAGCTTCCCCTAAATCCCCTATCTTCCTAAAGTCCTTTGGGGAGTTGGCCAGTTGGCACTCCCTCATTAGTTCTAAAACCCCCCTCTCGCCACCCTTACACTGGGCAAAAATTTCACTTTTTCGAAATTTTCTTTACTTTTTAAAAAAACTTCTAGAAGTGTTATTTTTCCTCAGTAGCATCTATAGCGTCAGAAAACACACACTGTAAGGCAACTGCATGCTTTGTGATGCGGCATATCGTGGTCCAGTACAGGATTTTATTTAAAATTTCCTGAGCACCTGCGAAGGTTTAGAAGAGGGTCATTTTTCTCACATTTAATTGCATCGGCAGGACCAATTTTCCTTCATTTAACACAAAAATAGCGACACATTTTATGAAAGAATATGTATGAAAAAACAAGCCATAGGTATCCAAGGCACTCAAAAATGTCTTACAAATTTATCGCAGTGTCTATCTAATTTTAATGCCCTCCTGCACTTACAAATTAGTGTGACCAATTCTGGCCTACGCATATTTTTACACCAACAAAGGTACACATGATGAGCATAAAAGATCAAATTTTTTGAGGTTTTGCCACAACATTTATGCAGTATAAATTTGTTTGGAACTTACAATTGTTTTGATGCCCTCAATATCTCCTTGCTCTCTGGGTCACGATTTTGAAAGAATTCGGGAATCGTTCTGCGATAGGTGAAGTATGTGTCAACTTTCCTTTTCGTCCTCTCGATATCATGTTTGCAGCCACGGATGAAGAAAGGTAGAATTCTTCTATCTGCAAAATTCGAACCAGTATATAATTAAGCATATTTCAATAGCAATCGAGTAATTAATAAGTTTAAAGGAATAAGAAGTATACATCCAGAAAATTGAAGTTGTACTTTGAAAATACTTTGAAAAGCAAGTTTTTAAGCTCGCGTCGCATTGGCGGCTTGTATGTACGCCTTGCTGCCATTATTGAGATAAAGTAATAATACCTATAATGAGCTCCAAAAATGAGTTTTCTTTTAAACAATTTTGATTTATTCGAGGAGAAAGTAATCCGAGTGTGCCACTGTTAATACCAGCTGGAGTTCTGAATCACAGTCTCTCATGCTTGTAAAATTAATTAGGTACCAGATGATTATATTTTAAGCGGCGATTAATAACACCAATCACGCAATAATAACACCAATCGATTGCGCACAAGTTCATAATGTTTGTCTTACCTAAGTCTTGGGGAAGGTGTGGTTGTCGTGTGATCCATTCTTTGACAATTTCTATGTTGACATCAATTTTCTCATCGTCCGTCTCATTGATTTCAGTCGCTATTTTCTTTTTTATCCTTTCATCGGTTGCAGCGTTCAAAGCCATCTTGCCAGTTGAGTCTGTTGAATGAAAAATAAACTTATTTGAGAACGTGACAAGATCAAAGCTGTCAAGTATATATCTCAGGAAACAGTTACTCGCCGCGGTGTCAATTATTTTGTTTTTCCCTATTCTCCCATGAATTAAAGGATTGGAGGATTATTTTTTTAAATTCATTTCTTCCACTTAGTGAAGTATGACGTAATGCGAACGCCGACCAAGCACTCCATGAAGGAAACTAAACGCCCTCAAATACCAAATTTTACGAGTGCAACTAGTCACAGTGTAATTATAGTCGTGTGGAACGATAAAAGATCTCGGTAGGTTATGAAGCCATTCGCTGGAGTACAATTGGATTGCATTTTTCAAAAGGGAACCAAGAGCATTCCAATGACACTAAGATGGTGCAACTTTTTTACCTTGCATATATAAACTGATTATCTAAACAAGTTTTATCATTACTCCCAATAAACTCTATTTCAAGACGAAAATTACCTTTCTAAATTTAATTTTTTGCATAATTTCCGTAGTTTTGCTGCAACGAATGTAGGTGGCACAATCAAAGTAACAGTAGAATGCTCATGGTACCTTTTTGCAAAATGGAATCCAATTGCTGATGGATTGGTGCATGAGAGGTAGACTCTCACACTACTGAGAATCACGAGATCTGCGTATTCGTAAAATTGCATTAGGTAACTGCGTTTGTGCCGCAAATGCCATCTTCAGCTGGCTCGGTATTCAATTAAAGACGGAAAATCGATTTAAATAAGGTTTTTCTGACAATTTTCCGGGTTTAATGTGTTAAAATCGCGATGATCATATGATGTATTTTTCCCGTTTCGCTCTTTAATTCAAAATTGTTTTCCCCCGAGTGACGAAGGTTGCTCCTTGTTTTCTTCGTTTCGATGGATGCATTTGATATTTTATAATTGTATCGTCGTCATCTCGCAAACAAATTCTTGCATTTTTACTCCTCCATAAAAATTTAAGTGAAAGTAATGATCTCAGGTCACCTCCTAACTAAGCATTAACTAATTGTAAGTTATACACGAATTGTATTAATTTTAATACTGTATTTTAAATCAGACGTATTTTGTCAGAAAAGCTGACAGAAAGATACGTAGTAAATGAGATTCTTCCAAGTGTCATTGCCATTAAATAATTATTAACGGTAAACCATTCATCAGTTTTCCATTAGTAATTGGAAACAGCGAAGAAATATTCATATTTTCTTAGAACATGTTTCTTTTCCATCAGGGGAGTTGAAATTGCACGATTTCATACAAAACGGGTTTTGGGACGCCTTTTCCAGGTATCTAGAATTTAAATATACTTTTGATTTCACTTTCCTCATCCATTTTTTTTCTTTAAAAATACACGAGGCCTCTTTTCCTTAAAGAGTTTGGGGATGAGGAGAATTCAACCGCTCTTTCGATCTTTTGTATTACTGCACCGATCAACCCAAATTAAAATCATTGAACAATTAAAATTTCAAACAAGGAAGTATGTTGTTATTTTTTTTCCTTCAAACAGGAAAATAAGGTTTTAATTTGTCACGATGTGGAGTGCAATGTCGTTAAAAAAGCACAGCTCGTAACGTGAAGCACTGAGTCCGTCTCGGCTAATGAGATGACGTGCATCGCGAAGAGATACCGTGAAACTATTTTTGAAAAAGGACAAAAATACATCTGGTCAATTGTTTTTCGGGGTCTCCCCTTATTCTGTCATTGGCTCAAGGTTTCAATCGATGAAATTCAATTGTGTGGTGAAATTGGAAGAAATCCATGTTTTAATACACGAAAAGACAGTTCAAAATCCAATCAGCTCATCTTCACGCTGATTTGAAATAGAGATAACGGCCTGATTATAGGTGCAAGATGTGGAGAGTTCCGTGGTTTGGACATTCGGTATAGTCATTGTAAATGTGTTGTCGAGGATTAAAGAGAGAGATAAAACTTGCACAATCTGAGGACGTATGTATTAATTCTCCGAACAAGCTAAAATTTCAAAACAGTCGACCAAGTGAAAATACGCAAATGTCGCCAGACCGGAGAGGCCTTGGTTATTTGCATGTTTTTCGCAAGTGCCACTGGCCATCGCTCTTCCCTGGGTACACAAATCGAAAAAGGGAGAAAGACTGGAATTGCAAACTTGATGGCGTACGTTGACCCTGAGTGATATCTTTTTTGAGGAAAGTTCAATGAGGGTCTTAGCATTACCAGTTGCCAACTTCAGTTTTTCAAAAAAATGGGGTAGTGACCTAAAACATCAGGGAACGGGGGGGGGGAAGGGCAAAATCAGTCTCAGGCGTCTTTTTTGAGAGGATTTAAATTTACCAATATAAATAATTTTTTAGGTATATTTTAGGTTTTCTCCCTTAGTCTCTGAACAGTCAGGAGGAGGTTAGGTCATTTTTACATAATTCAAAGGGGGTTCACAGTCTTACAGGTACCTCACAAGGGGGAGCGTCAAATATTCATCAAATTGCCCTCTCTTTTACTCATAGGCGCTCGTGGAATAAATCATTGGTAAGTCGATGGTTACTGTGAAAAATGGATGTAACCATTGTGCCTTTACAAGATCTCATATTTTGTTCTATTCTTTAAAGAAAACTAGCAAACACATCTGTTGGAAATGTTTTGCAAGTATTTTGGAACGTGTGAAGAAAATTTACCAAAAATTTCTAGAGGAAATGTCGGTAAGTTTGGTTAAATTAATGTGACCATTCGTGAAACTTTGCAACGACGCAGCCAGAGATCCGCATTTTTCGATCTCAGCCATCGATATGTGACATAACAGCAATTGGTTGTTTACCATATAAGCCACTCTTCACCACGAAGGAGGAATTTTCTGACGTAGTTAGCATATCATCTATAGGAAAAAATGTTCTAAGAGAGAGTATAATGTCAAAGAGTGTCATTTTATGAGAGTATGAATAATTTTCTGGTGAATGGAAACTTAGCAAAATTGAGTAACGGATACGTGGAGACTATGAATATTCTTTTCAAATGAAAATTATACCACAGGAAACTGACTTATGTTCTCAAGGCAAGAGTTCTTTGTGAATACGAGAAAAGGATTTATGCTTTTGCTACTACTTTCTTTTTTTTCCATTTCAAAAATTTGGCAGAAACTCTACACGCGGAAGGTGAAAATCAATAGACGTTGCACGTGAGAGCAAGGAAACATAAATATGTCTAATGTTACAAAAATACAGGACTGACTGTGTTTTCTTTCTTCTCATTTTCAAGTTCAGTGAAATTCGCGCCAGCATCGTCTGTTTTTAGAGTTCTCTATCGTTCATTCGTTGATGATAATTAGCCGAGAGACTCGGTAATTGCGTCGCTCAAAAATTATAAAACGGAAATCTGAAAGGTGAATGGTCAGCTCTGAGTATGTCTAACTTACACCTTTTTTGTTTTAAAGAACATACATCAAAGAGACAGGAAGGCTCCATAAAGTGATGTGTTACATTACGAAAAAAATGAAAAATTATACGGCTTTATAATATACAGATGTGTTTAGGATTCGATAAAAGGGACTTTCCGTTGCTGGGGCAAATTTTCAAGACGAGAAATTCCAGTTAAGTTGACGGGTAAAAAATTCGTAAATTTAGTTCCCAACACTGGAAAAAAAGTTTCATGGATCCAGAGTCCGGATTCTTAAGAAAATTACTAGGAAAAAATACTCTTGATTCAATCGATATTTTACTTAAACCAAAAGGAAATCTGCTTGAATTAAGAGGCTTGGCTCTCGATTCAAGCAAAAATCCGATTGAATCAAGAGAACTTTTTCTTGACATTTTTTTAAAAGAGTCTGGACTCTGGATCAGAGAGAATTTTTTCCAGTGTAACGGAAAACATCATTCGGTATTCCAATAATGCTGATTGGTTTAGATAAGTTTCATAACATTGAGGGGATAAAAGTTACTTTTTATGAGGGATCTACGAGCATAACATTTCACACAACTATAAATTCAGTAGATTTTGCGTTGTTGAGTCACAGGTGCCAAAATATTCGTGAACCTTTGATACTCACGTGCATTACTAATGACCCCATATAATATCTCACGCCCTGAGACCATTTTTTCTGTAGGAGGTGACCCTATCTTATACCAGCACCTATTTGAGGGTCTTACCGCATGAATTAGATTTTAATGTTTCTTATTATTATTAGGTCTCGCTTGATTGTAATTTTAGTCCGTCGGTACATATTATCAACTCTGGTGGTGGTCTGAGACAAAAAAGTTCAGTTATATGAGCCGTTTCCTCGGTTCCTCTGAATCAATTTAAAATATTGATGTTTAGCGAGGCAAGGTGCCGCAGCAAGAATCAATTGTTTCACATACATATGAATGGAGGAAAATCAATGTTGCCAACTTTCAAGAAAAAGTCCCTCCAGTAATCGAATGCAAAAGTGTAATATTTATTTTGGAACTCCCGTGTTGCACCTTGCTATTTAAAATTATGTGTTCCTGCTATCATGTTCGTCTAAAAATGTTTGTGTGCTCTCAAATTTATTTTTTCAATAGACTCGAGCGGCAATTTTTTTTTTCACATTTTACTAATAAAATACCGTACGCTTTTGCTTTTCCTGGACGCACGGACTCCAAATCATGGCATTTCACCTGATCTGGCAACAGTGACGTCATATCCGTCAACTGCCGCCCCGTTTTCCGCGGAGCTTCGAAGGTCCCGCGGGACGAAAAAGGACGTTGTATCGAAGGCCCCGCATGACGGAAACAGAGACATCGCACTGGTCATCGGTGAAGCGGCCGCATTTTGATGACGGTGCAATACTGCCGCCGATTTTCACCTGCATTTCAGACACTCTCCACAAGGTTGCCAGCCGTCAGCCGGTGAGCAATTCCACCCATCAGGTCGGCAGATTTTTCCAACTTCAAATTTTAAGATTCCATAAAAATTACGTGACTTGCTTTTTGCGCGAAATTAGTTACGACCAGTTTTTAGTTAGCTAAAAAGCCACAGTTTAATGGATCAGTTGCGCCGGTCACGGTCAAATTGTGTTTTGATACTTGTTTTTTTAGATTAGCTTATAATAGTAAGAATGGTCTAAACAGCAACTTTCTAGATTCAATATTAGTCAAGGTATCGCCGTTTGTAAAGTCTGCTTTTTGACGTCATCCACCACAGTAATGACATCCCTCGTTTCTTCCGCCTTGCTTTTATCAGTCGGTGTGATGCAAAACACTGGTTTTTCAGCGTTAAAGATGAAAGCAAGGCCGGCGGAAGAAACTATGGGTGTCACTACCGCGGTGGATGACGTCATAAACCGCACCAAAAAAAAATTGAAGTTAATTTAACATTCTGGATGTAAAAAAAGTGTGCGAGAACTTACAAAATGCTAAAATACCTGCCACAGCAGTTACTTCAGCAATGCCAAGATGTAAAATTAAGTACTGTGGCGGGTAATTCAGCATTTATAAGTTCTCGCACACTTTTTTTACATTCAGAATGTTAATTTAACTTCCCTTTTTCTTTCGGTGCGAATTTTTCAAAGCGTCATATCTTGGTTAATATTGAACGTAGAAAGTTGATGTTTGAACAGATCTAATTATTTTTAGTTGCACTGCAGGAATCAAGCATCAAAACATGATTTTGTGACCAGCGCAACTGACCTATTCTAGCCATCAGGTTGGCAGAATTCTACAACTTCAAATTTTAAAAATGCCATAAAAATTACTTAATTCGCTTTTCGCGGCAAACATAGTTACGGCCAGTCTTTAGTTAACTAGAAAGCCACAGTTTAATTTGACTACATTTTGCAATTTGGAACTATAAATTCAAGCCAGGGTTAAAAAAGGCCGTACGTGTCATTGGTTTCCCTATGCACATAAGTGTTTTTTCCAGAAGAGCCAGAATTAACAGTTCCAAATTTCAAAATGCAATCCAATTGCGACTCTTAGCACGCAAACCACGATAGGACGTACTAAACACCTCCACCAGAAACAGAGTGAAAAACCTTTTTGATTATCTTAGAAGAAATCCGAGACCGTTTGCCTGTATAAGCTCATGCTCGAATGTTTATCTATTCTCATCACTCTCGCGACACCAAGTAGTTAAAATACTACTCCGTAATAAAATGGGTTAGCGTTGGTGTCCGATATTACTTGTCTCTGGTCACGTAAATGGACGCGACCTCTGTCATCGCTTTGCAGCCACAACCTCCACCAGTAGGTGAGCTTGCGACGCCCGCGACGCGGGTTAAATGACCAAGAGATAATTGCGCTCTTAATTAAGTCATAATTTCATCGTTGTTCGGAGCAAGGAAAGCATAAAAAATGCAAACCGCAATTTCTGCTCAGAGAATTACCGCGTTCTTTTGAGCAAAATTAGAATCCAACGCTGAAATCCGGGTTGCAATTTTCGACAGAGTAGACATTTTCATATGGATGTAAACATCAGTACGGCATGTAATTAATCATAATTCACGATTTGAGTGCGATACGTCGGTTACGGTTTGTTTATTTACGTATGTGTTATCATCTACAGGAAAAGGATCCCTAATTAAAGCAGTCGCATTTTTCAAGCGAACATTTTTTTTTTCATGTCAGGTCGACAAAGCAAAAGGACCGTGAATTGAAGTTATGAAACGCAGAAACGAAAACTTACTAGCCGATTATAATTTGAAGGAATATCTCTGCAATGTTTGTATGTGTACAAAATATTGTACGCGTCCTAAATTTCTTTGTCTGATGTCAAGGTTTGAAGTTATTAACTCGCTTTAAAAAGAATTGTTTACTATGACAGAGTGAGCGTCAAAATCCTCACGCACTCCTAAACAACCTTGAAATGATTGAACAAACCGGTTAATTTTACAAAAAAAAACCCATAAAATTGTAGAAGTATCTTCTAACTCCTTTAATTTAAATTTCAGTGTACACTATTTGCACAAAGGATTAAAAAATGCGGTAAACATTGAAATTTTTACAACTTTGGATACCGGTGGCTTTGTTTCACAAGCAAGCCTAGAGACTTTTTGGTGGGTGTGCTAAATTGAGTAAATCTGGGATTTTTCCAAACTTTGGAAGCCTCCTTTCTACTGCATTCCAAGTAATTGAATGTAGGATGATATTCCCCGCAGATTCAAGTCGTATTTGACCCCTTCAAAGCCAACGGAGGACACTTCACTAATTGGTTTATCCTGCGTTCATAATACTTTTTTTTTTAAAGTAGTGTTTTAAACATTTTTGAAATAATTTAAAGTGTGCCTGCTAATGTGGACCATCGGACCAGTTCTTTAAAAGTTTTGTTTGAGAGTGAGAGGCATATTGCGGAGTAAATTCTCATCAGTCCGATTTAGCGCTTTACTAAAAATTTGAGGTCGTGTCCAGTACCGACGCGCACTCTGACCTAATACTTCATTCACCGAGGGTAGTCCGCCGATTTTTCATGTAAAAGTAGAGCGTTCTTACCTAATATGAAGATAAACAAAAGATTACAACGAAGTCCTAACGATTTTAAAATTCGCCGAAAATCGGGTTAATTTTGAAAAATATGAACGATTAACTACCTACCGTGGCGAAAGTGAAAATAGGTCACAGGTAAATCGCACATACATCGATGCGCATGAACGAACATACATCGTAAAATTTTCAGGATGTCATTAACTGCAGAATTTTTAAAATTTGAATGTTTAAATAGATGAGAGGCGTGTAAAAAGGGATGAAACAAGGAGAGTTCTTAGACTTGACGAGTTATTTTTCCGAAAAGATAAAAACTTTTGAGCTCTTTGCAATAAATTCACACAATTCCGTAGATTGTCATAATTTGACTATCTGCCCCTGATTTGGCTATTCACCTGCGACATCAATATCCTAATCCTCCGGTGTGAATACGAAGTAATAATTACCTGCAGAGAGGGTCTAAGGGCGGTTGGGCATCGAATTCCTCACACGCGCAGATTCCGCGTGACGGATCACTGAACGAACGCGCGACGGGCGGCGAAAACACGGGACGGACTGACGAAGAAAACCGAAGAAACTGTCATCGACGCCTCAGTCTTGCCCCTCCCCCACCCCCACCAAGAAAAACAATCATCATCATCATCATCGTCGCGATTATCGGACACCGACGAGACGGTTTCCCATGCGGGTTTTTCGCTCCGTTTCGCGTATCGCTGTTTATTTTTTGCGCTCGGATTCGTGATACCTGACCTTGCGGTGCGCGTGCGAGAGCGTGGAATCTAGAGCCGGATCGTGAGTGTGCCGAACTTTGCGGGGAAATTTCGGCGGAAACTTTGTGCGGAAGTCTCGCGGAAATGCACCGGTGCTCCGATTCCGAATTGCTCCGCTGACCCAAAGACCTGGCTCCTTCCATGCTTGCCAGCTCTGACGTGATAGCGAAAAAAATCGCAACTGTGGAAAAGAAATTTTGAGAAAATCGACGGTGAAATAGCAAACATACGTAACTCAGTCGAGGTATTTCTCTTTTTGGATGGAAACATAAATTGAGGACACCGCACCAAGAACAGCCTATAGGCGTATAGGTCGTTATTACGCCCATCTGCTTTTCGGATTCTACGTACCCTGGACTATGCTGTGGTAGCGATAGAATATAGATAGGTAACAGCTCGAGGTCGAAAAACCTTTTTTTCCGAGTTAAGTCAGGCCTCTGGATCGATAAGTGCAAGAACGACCTATAAACGGGCGTATAAACTTGAGGACCTATAAGGTGCTAGTTGCCCCCTTCTTTACTCACTATCGATATTCTTTCATTTTGCGTTAATCATGCGTGATTAAAATGATTTATACTTCATATTGCCACCAAAATGACTGAATGACAAAATGACCAATGGCCTATAAACCGCTTTTTTTAAATTAAATATATTAGAGTGTAAACCCAAAATGTATCGCAAAATCTACCCGGCATCCTTCAATAGAAGGGTTAGGTCACCCAAAAACACCAAAACAGGGTATCTGCATAGAAAAGTCTGCGCAGTACATCAAAAACAAAACTTTAAATGCGTTTTTCTCAAAACGCGGTTTCCAGTTATAGGCTATGTTCTTGGTGCGGTGTCCTCAATTAAAGTCGTAATTTTTAAGCGTAATTTTTACCGCAATTTCTAGGCAGTTCAAAAACTTGGCTCTAATTTATAATATCATTAGATTTTTCAAGAGCAATTGAAACATTTCAATGATTCTATACATATTTTAATTTTTCAGAAAATTAACTACGTTGCAAGAATATTTTGTTGTTTTTATTTTGGTGGATTTGCTAATTTACGGTGATTTAAAAAGTAATTGAATTTTTTGAGAATCTTTAAAAGTCGAGATAAAACAGCAAATTTCTTCAATTCGTAGACATTCTGTAACGCTGCATATTATTTTATTAATTTATCTTTTATTTTTGAAAAATGGCTGAGTAACCGAGAGGCTCTACGATAAGAAATTATATCGACGGTCTAATTACAAAAATACTGATGTCGGTCGCGGTGTTTTGGAATCTTCGCTCCTATTTTATTTTTCAAAACGAGACGAAACCAAACACCATGGCTTGAAGTTTTCTCAGAATATAATTTACATAGAGAATGAAAATCACTGAAATTTTCAAAAGATGACGTTTAGTAGTTTTCCTTTCAGAGAATAAAGTTTAACAGGAAATCTGCAACGCCAAAAATCGTGAACCACATTTCACCATCGAAATGGACCTTTAGGGACCGTATTTATACGGCCGACTAGTGTGCCTTCAATATCTTGATAGGCAATGTGGGCTGTGAGCTGCTTAGGAGCAGCAATAGTTGCTAACGAAAACTCAAAAATAATACAATTACGGAGATATAAGTTACCTGGAGAAAAATCGTCGTAGGCTCATAGGGACCCCGCAGCAGTGTCCTGGGAGGCTTTTGCCTCCTAGTCTCCCAGTCCCTGCATAAAACATGTCTAAAATCAATATCTCTATTTTGCTACAGGGCCGGATTAAGGGGATGGCCACATGGAACGCGGCCCATGGCGGTAAATCTAGGGGGCGGCAAATTTTGCAATTTTCTTAAATTTAGGTATAAAAAAAATCGAATTTAGAAAAAAAATTACAAACGAGAAAAGGTAACAAAATCTCTCATTTCCTGAGAGTATAGTAATTTCTACTTTTGTCGTCTTTCAGTGATACAAGAGACAGCACCTTTAATTAGTCGAGTTAATAGAGGAACCAAACACGCAATTTGGCCTGGAACGGCGCGACTTAGAGAGAAATGATGACGAGGGCTTGAGTTGAAAAGGAGCGAAGCCCTCAGCGCGGCGGTCGGCATGTAACACATATTAGCGCCTACAAGACTGCTCGAATACTTCACGCATTGCATCAAACACAGTGCGGTCACTGCAGTCAGCATGAAACGGATAGCGCCTACAAGAATGCATGAATACTTCACGCATTGCGCCAAAGGCAGCACGGTCAGTGTGCAAACGCTTAGCGCCTACAAGACCGTCGGAATACTTTGCGCATTGCGCCAAACACACTGCAGTCTGCGCGGCACGGCGGCGGAAGTTAAAATCATTAAACTGCATTGTTCTTTCATAATTTTTTCGTTCATTTCTTATGAATGGAAGGCCTTGTCCACACAGAGATAGGTTTACGAAACTTAACTTTCGCGCAAAGTTCCGTGAACTTTTGCCAGTAGTGTTGACAGGGCTCTCCCAAAAAATGTGTCCAACACAAGTTAACGCGTCTTCTGCATCTTTCCCCCGCTGGCACGTTCACTTGATGGTTTTTATTGATGTTTTAAAACGAATGAGAGGGGGGCGGCAAAATACAGGCGGCCTATTGGCGGCAAGAAGGTAAATCCTGCCCTGTTTTGCTATGAGTTCTGATTGAGGACATTTGGGCTTTATTTTGCAGCACCGCATCAAAATAAACCGCACAAATTTGGCATCTTCACGATAACGCGCTTTGCTAACACAGAGATGAGGAGTTGACAGTCGGCCAGGCTATCTAATTTTTTCGTTCGACCAGGTAACCACAAAAAATGCTATGATGTTAGGGAAACCCGACAATGATAGTCAATATTATATGAAGGGAAATTTATAGGTTTCGTCAGAGCAGGATGAATCATTGGTTTTACCTAGCGAGCGTAGGGATACCCCTCTGAGTAAAAAAAGGCTGTGGTGAGCCAAACTCATACGCCACTCATAATTTTTTATCGCCAAGAAATTACATAACGTATGCGGTTTGACTGTGCGCTTCCCATTTGGACGCATTTCTGCCAAACGGAACTATGTGCATTATGACGTGAACCCTGTTATGCATGTATCCTTATGGGTCTCAGGGCTCATGTCTTAATGCACATAGCTCCGTTTGGCAGAAATACGTCCATTTCTCTATTGATGTGACAGAAAAGGAGAATATGAAACATACGAGAATGTCTCAGATTCACGGTTATGTTGATGAGAAAAAACACAGACATCACTCTTAAAATTATATTGTAGTAACCTCACTTGCATTGCATGACGGATTCTTCGAGGTGTGCATTCGTATTTCTATGGCCAATTTGCAAAACCACGTGTCTCAATTGCGTTGTTTCAAAATTTCTGCTTTAAGCAGATTTTTTCGTAAAAAAACAATAAGCCAACTTTATAGCTTGAAATATTAACAGAATATCCAGCTGACAGTGATGAAAAATAAAGGAGGTTTTCAAGAGCTTACGTTGACTGGTTTCCCAAAGAAGAAATAAAGTCGCGAACGGAGATTCGTGGTTTTGCACTTTGGCCATCGATATGTACAAACTCATGATCAAAATCAAACATGAATTTAGAAAAAAAATGAGATGCGTCACGGCTGAAAGTCTGTAACATACTGATGCCCACGATTTTGTCTCAAGTATTAACCTTGGATACAATTAAAGGTAGATTGGAATGATCTATTTTTCAACTCAAATTTTACAAGCTTCCCCAAAAATATTTACATTAATGCTATATGTTTGTAATGCTTGAAAATGCACTTAGTCATAGCTGAAGAGAGATTAAAGATCAACGTTCCAGATACCTTCTTCAATTTAAAATTGCACTTACTCCATCCGGGCTAATGAACATACTTTTTCAATTTTTGCCGTATATCCATTGGGTTGGGTGCGAATCCAAAACCTAAAACTTCGTACTCAATTTTCAACAAAATGACTTTTAAAAACCTTTCGAATTTACTGTTTAGGTTTCTGATAGAGGCCTCCACATAGTTTTTTTTAAGAAACATGAAAACTCTCAGGATGATTTGCTATGAGCTAGACTGATCAAGATCTCAAAGTAAATTTTATCACAACTATAATCAATGGTCATGCTTTGCGATCAATCGATTGATCTGCTACTTAAACATATCGACGGCCAAAGTGCGAAAACACGTATATTCTTTGCGGTGTTTCAAAATTTCCGTTCATTTTTTTTTTTTTTTTTTGCAGAGGAACAAGCCAAATTCATTTCTTGGAAAGACATAGGATATTGTGCTATATGAGAAGAAAAGTAAGGCAGCTTTCAAGATATTACGTGCATCACTTTCTTTCGGATGGAAAAAAAAGTATGACGAGAGCAGCGTCGCAAATTGAGATACGTGGTTTTGCGTTTTAGTGATTGATAATGGAAAATGATCAATTATCAAGGTGTTCGGGACGAACACCTTTAAAATCGACTCTCTAACCTACCTCCAAATAAGGCAATGATGATTGCCGAAAAATTACACTTCAACACTGATTAGAACACTATTAAGTATTGGTAACTGTATGAAACGGATCAATTATGAGGCTATAACGTCTGACGTGAGTGGACGAGAAGAAAATCCCATAAAATTAACAAAGAGAGAGAGAGAGAGAGAGAGAGAGAGAGGGGGGTGTAGAAAGAGAGAGAGAGAAGAAAAAACAAACAAACAAACAAAAACCAATTAAATCAGAGTGACACACCTACCTATCTAAATACGTAATAGTTGCTCATCGGGATATCCCAATTCAGTGCAGAACCTTGAATCACATTCTCGCGTGCACTGCGATCGAGCGAATAGATTGCCGATTTAGACTTCTGATTAATGTGCTAAGATTACAATATTATTTTTGGATTAATAATTCACATGCGCATACGAATAATTTTACGTGAAGTTCTATTTCAATCACGATAATGAGTTTTTTTTTGCGACTTTCTGCAATTTACGGAGTTTTAATTTTTCATGAGTAATTCTCCTTCGTTATGAAATGGAAAGTAGGGGATAGAATGATGACGAAAAGAGAGAAGTGAACTAGGTACACCAAGTCTGATTTTACTGGTCGAAAAACTGATTAAGTATACCAACGCATAAATAAAATACGTCAATATGATGATGTGCCTTTTAACGGTGTCTCGTGTTTTTGTTGCAGTTTTTATAATCATGGGTTTTCTCACCAAATAGTTTGAATTATTGTCTAGGGATTGTTCATAAAATATGTAACGCTCTTAATGAAGGGGATCGAGGACGGCGTTACACCCCTTTGTTTTTACATGTTAAAGGATAGGCACCCATGTTACAGAAGCGTTAAGAGGGAAAAGGAAGGGGGGGGTGGTAAATCTAAAATGTAGCGTCACGTGTTTGTGAACGGTTCCCGAAGCACAGGAAATAATTTTTTGAGCGGTCGGGGGCAGAAATAAATACCAAAAATGATTGACCTAAACCAGAGATTTGACACTTTGAAGTTCGCAACTTAAACCACGTGGTATTGAAAAAAAGCCATACTCATTCAAATATTCCATTTTTAGGAAAAAATATTGATATCCTGATGCAAGATTACGCTTTATTGACACAAACATTGAATACATTTTTTCCAAAACAATCAAGCAAAAATTATCTTCCAAAATAACAAAATTAGATTTTTTGAATCAGCTCGGAAAGAATCGCTCCCATAGTCCTATCCGCAGTCTTCCCGTGAGCGGTCACATATAGACGGTGAAACTACCAAACCACGTATCTCGTTAGCTGTGTTTAAAAATCTACGCTCACATTTTATTTTTTTGAAGTAGACCAAATCAATATCATTCCTTGAAATTTTCACGGAATTTTCTCCGCACAAAGAGGAAAAATCACAGAAATTTTCAAGACCGGATGTTAAGTAGTTTTTCATTTAAAAAATAAAGTATGACAGGAAGTCTGCGACGTCGCAAATCGAGATACGTGGTTTGGTAGTTTCACCGTCGATATGCAGTATGCACATACATTGCCATCAGTGGCGAAGCGTGAAAGATCGATTATCGATATTTCCTCGTTTGAAGCTTTGGCAAAGAATCGATTCTTATGGTGTTCGTTGCGATCATCCTCTTCATCAATCCTTTTCCATAGGTGTAAATGGTAGATTGATCGATCCATAAATCGCAACGTACGTCACGCCACCGATTTTCATTGAATTAAATGTTACATATTATATTGGATGGTATCCCTGGCGGAAGTTGATTTCTGCTGATATCTTTTAAGCAGGCATCAAAGGAACAAAAAATACGTAACAACATTGTATGTAAAAAAACAACTAATATTTAAGACAACGCAATGTAAAAATCAATACACTAAGCTAACAGTCAAATACTAAATTAAAGTAATTAATTTTACACTGCAAAGTGTTCTATAAAATCAACTAATTAAAACTTACATGAAGTTTCATGACTTGGGTATAAAAAGTATGAAATGGTGTTACGGAATTGAAAGTTGAGTTATTTGGATCAATTTTTCTGCAAAATTTACTTTGGAACAAGATTTGTCATAAACACTCATCGACTTGAAATATTCTTTACAAGAATTTTTCTCTCTCTTCCACCGGCGATTTTGATTTCGACAGCAGGTTCATGTGTCGGATTCTTAAAATTATTTATTTTATTTAGCGCGTTTTCCACTCAGTTAATAGAAGGTGATTTTAAAATATTCTCGCTGTTTGTATCTTCTCTTAGATGAAAGCAAGCCCTTCTCGAGTCTGAGAGTAAGAAAAAGAAATAGAATGCAAATTACAGAGATGAATCTTTTCAAGTGAAAAAAGAGCGACGGACAGACAAAAAAGTCGCAACAAAAAAATGACGCCGAATAAAATGAAAGTAGGTACGCTTTTAAATTTAATTATTAAGACACTCGTTACTCAAACGTTTCACTCGAACATGTGTATGAATTGTGTGTTTAAGTGTACAATAATGTTGGAAAAATTAATTAGACATATTCATTTTTTATCAATTAATCAAATAATTTATGTGAGGCATTGTCGGCAATGTTGGCAGGCATTTCAAGCATTCACTTAGAGCCACCAATTCCGCAGTATTTCCTCAAAGGCGCGTGTGTTATCTTCGTCTATTTAGGATTCACATCAAAATTCAAACGCATATTTTAGATTGTGGCTATATTTAGGTAGACTCAATCGTTATTTGTAACGAAAAATCGCGCCATTAAAACTTTCCACTGCTCAAATTCACTTTGCTCTCCGAGGACTTTATTTCAATTTTTTGTCGAAACGAAAACGAATTGCCAAAGTTCATTTCATCGTTTTGACAAACATTTGTAGTTTGAAAAGATCATATTTTCGTGGTTATTTCCGATATCTTCCCCGAAGACGATATTATTCCCTGGGTACCGTGGCAAAATGGAATGCAGAGAGGAAATTGAAATCGAGGTGCTCATTAAAATTTAAAATCGCACTAAAATTGACGCAGGAAAATGCTAAATTGCAATTTCTAAACGGATGGAAGAGAGGGAAATATATTCAATGGGACTCGAATACACGTATCGAGTCTCCTGGCTCCCAGTGATCGCGTGCCATGAAAAATTCAACGGTAGTAGAATTTGTTCTGCATAATATTAAATATTGTATTAATGAATAGAAGCTCCCTGTTGGATATAAAGCATATTTCACGTTAGTATAAACTCATTGAGACATACGTGGTCAGCCAAACCTGCTTAAGAAGTTCTGCAACCACGATCGCATGCAGAAGATAGCACTTACAGCTGTCTTGCCTATAACGATAGCCCAGCATGGAAATGAAAAATACCCTTTGAATGTAACCGAAATAAAATCAGTCGATTTTCAATCATCCAAACGGTTTCTAGGAGTCTTTCAGACGATAAGTGGCAATTTGACAAAGAACGGAGGCTTATATCCATATGATTTTCAGGTCAGAAGCTTCTGAGCCCGTTTTCTCAAAACTTCATTTTTGCACTTGCTGCTCTCTTCGATATCACGGCAGATCAATGCTGTTTCCAGTTCATTTAGTTTTATGGATGAATGATGACGGCATAAACGGCAGCCTTTTTTGATTCAGATACTTAAATGGGACTTTGGAACGGCGATTAATCTTTCAGTCACCGTGTCCCGACAACGCAGCCACGGAGGGGTAATGAGCGCGAACAGGCTGACAGCGCTCTCTATCCACCCACAACGTTTTCAGCTTAACCTGCAATTCCTGCTCCAGGTTTTTCCGTGACGCATATAGCTCCTGATGCACAGCCTCTGTATCTTTGATACGGTTTTCCAGAGTCGTTGTTTGCTCAAGAAGCGTTTTTACCTCATCCACTAACCTGCGGAGACAAAACACGCGGGGATTATTGGCGAAGAATCAAAGTCTGGGTGACAAATATTTGAAAAAATTGACAAAAAAAAAAAGTAAAATAAATAAGTGCTTGGGGTGAACTTTGTCGCAGGCAAATAGTGAAATAAGGCACTTTAACAAATGCCTAGGCAATTTGTCAAATTTTGCAGTTTTACAAATTTTTCTAGGTTTTTGACGTAGTACTCTCAATTTTTCAATATTTTGAACAAAAATCTCGTTCAAATTGAGAATTACAGTGGAATTTCACCATTCAATTGACTTTTGAGAAATTTTAGAATTTGAAATTGAAAATGTTTCGTTTTTCCCGAAACATTGCAAATGCCGAGATGAATACTCAATCAAGCTCTGAAAATCAATGACACGGCCTTAAAATGGTCCAAAATTCTGATCAGGATTTTTTTCCACATTTTCAAAGGCTTGAATTGTCAAAATTGAGCAACTGGCTCGTTTTTTAATCTAGTAGAGGTATTTGCTCATTTGTCTAGACATTTCACAAAATACCTGATTTGACCATTGGCTTGCGACTTCTCTATATTTGAATAAAGTAAAAGGATTGTGCTCTTTGACATAAAAATATTCAGGTAATCTAAAACTAAATAACAAGAGGAGCCACAAGCATGAAAGAAGAGGAATGAACTAATAATCTTTTCGCTTGAATTTTCATTAGGTGTGAAATTTGCAACACGAGTGAGTGAATGGTCTCTTCATCAAATTCACCGAATGAAAAAGATCCTATTACTCACCTCACGTGAGCTTCATCGCGCGTACTTTCTGCGGGTGGCCTCTGGTTTCGATTATCTAGCCGCGATTGAGCGACTTTCGTCATTTGGTCCAAATTCCGTATCATATTTTTCAACTTCCGGATGGTGCCTTCCGTGGTGCTCATTCTGTTCAATATCTAGAGTGGAACACGGAATAGTTTTGTTAAACACATTCGTTCACGTCTTGGAACAGTCGGAAAGATTAATACACGAAGAAAAAAACTTCGTGCGTGGGACCCAAAGTTTAGGTCACATGGATCTCTGAAGTTTTCGAATTGAGCATCTGAACACTTTAGGTCTAGCTGTCGAGGTTCGGATCATACATATGAAACTTCATGTTGTGTTCATGAAGTTTTTCGGATGTGAGAACCGAAGTTTTTTGGATGTGAAAACCGAAGTACTTCAGATGTAAGAACTGAAGTTTCAGATGTGTGATCCAAACTTCAGCAGCTGGACCTAAAGTGTTCAGATGCTCAATCCGAAAACTTCAGAGATCCATATGACCTAAACTTCGGGTCACACGCACGAAGTTTTTTTCTCCGTGTATGAAAATGTCGCAACGAAGCAGATTGAAAAGACGAGGGCTGCTGGATACTTGGGGATTAAATATTTTGACGAGGGATGATAGCACTGTGAAATGAAAGAAAGTATTTTGATGGACCAGATCGATGCTTAAAGTCAACAATTTTTTTTATTTTTATTGTTTTTTCTTTTCAAAAAAAAAAAACCAATCAAAAGTTTGTCTTGACAATTTTCATGACTCTTTTCGTACAGAAATATCCAGAGACATTTCAAGTCATTTTTAAGGAGGAGCCTCCCTTACTTGCCGACACCCTCTCGAAAAATTCCGCCCGATAGGTCCGGTCACGGTTGCTGTATCATGATGTCACTTTATTTCCATCTCGCGTTATCCATACTCTGTGCAGGCGTGCGTTGATACGGGATGTATGGAGCATAGATGGCGTAAAGAGGGATCGGCAACATCACACAGCAACTGTTACAGGACCAATCTCCACGGCTGCCATCTTACTATCTCGCCGACGCGCGGTCAAATGAAGGCTCTTTTCACACAATTTTCAACTCTTTTGTTCGTTGCCGACTGAGGAAGGGGCCATCTCGCCCTGAATCGCGTCTCATCTAAATTAATATACCTAGCACAAGTGAGTTTTTCATTTATCATTTTTTATAGATCTTTTGTTCGTGCCTTAATACCCTTCAAAAAAATCGGGCAAACAAGTGCACTCCTCTCTTTTCAAAAATACTGATATCCTCGGTTTTTATGATTTTCCAGATCTGTTGACAGAGGGTATGGAATCAATCAAAATGAATCGATCGAAAAATAAAAACGTGAATTGATCGACGTGAACCGATCGACACCGATTTGATTGTAACAATATTAGAAAACAACCGTTGTCGATTCGATCGTCAAAATCCCATCAAATCGCGGGTTTGCCGATCAATCCCCGGAGTTGTCGATCGATTCACGAATTCGTCGATCGAATCGTTGATGACCGAATTACGATTGTCTATCAAACCACTTCCATCAGTTCACGTTTTTATTTTTCGATCGATTCATATCATGTCGATCGAAACCATACCCTCCCTTTAGGCGCTCTGTATGGGTGTAATATTGACCTTTTCGAGGCAAGCCTGGAGCACTTGGCGACTCTGCTCGGTTTCTTGGATCCTCTGGGAGAGAGCGAGGTCGACGCGATCGCACTGGAGTCGCAGATCCCTGATGCAGTCGATGAGGATGGTGTTGTTGAGGAGGAGTCGGAGCTCGGCCGACTGTTTGCACGCCTCATCCCCCACCGCCAACGCTGTCTCCGTCTCCGCCGTCCACCGAGGTACGCTCGCACCACTACCCCAAGGAAACACCAATCAGGAGACGTCAGTTTAGGTCACATTTTTTCACACAGGTAACATAGGCGGATCCAGCACTTTGGCAACACCGGATTGCCTCCATTTAAACCTATGGTACATAATCGATTCTCATCGGAGCTCCTGGCCCCTCCAAGAATCGATATATTTCCATAGGTTTGACTGGAGAAAATACAATGTTGCCAAATTGCTGGATCCACCAATGACAGGTAAAAACTTGGCAACAGTTTTGAAAATTTCTGAAAACGCCCTTTGAATCGGCCGAGCCTGCCCCTCAGAACTGGTCGACTTTAAAATGTTTGAAGGAGATCCAGCCGAACGAATTTTGAAATTGTTAGACAAAACTATGGACAAAGTTATAGACCAAGAGGACAAAAGGGATATGGAGGGATCCTATTCTGTCGTGCTGAGGAAAAAAGCCGTATGAGCCTTCAGGCGTTGCCAAATTTCCTCAGGCAGATCTCAAATTTTCAGGAAAATCTGCGAATACTTTCCTTCCAATTTCTTACATAATTTTGTTTGCAATTTGATCTAAAGTGTCAACTTCCAGGGAAAATATTCATAACTTTCCTTAAAATGAACACTTTATCGGAGGAAATTTGGCAACCGTCGAATGTTCGTACAGCGTTTTTCCTTAGCACGGCAGTATTGGTGTACTGAACTACCAAAGGGTTCCCCATTGCCTTCTTTGTCTATAGCTTTGTCCATCAATCTCAATAATCAGCATGCTGGGGAAAAGTATTGGAGTCCGCTCATGAATCATAATACGGACGTGTTCAGATCAAGAGGAGCTGTTGAAGTACATTTTCAATTATATTTCCCGATAGACAACATTTTGTAAATGTTCTTTAAAATTTCTTAGTGGATTCTGACTCGTCCTCAAAGTAATGACGAGAGGGATGCAAGTTGTGCGATCCGTATACGAGGTACACATATTGTCAGCTACGTCAAAGTGCGTTTCCACCAGTCGACAACGCCTTCAGTTTCGTGCAATACTTCACCGCTCACACCGAAGTTTTTACAGAGATGCCGAGCTGAATCCTTACCTCCACTTTTCGAACATTCATACAAGGGACCACGTTAAACAGAAAGGAACTAAGCCACATTAGCTATAGCTAAATTTGACTGGGCAGTTTGATGTTTTACATAAAAACAGTTGTGCGGATTTTTGTTCAAATTTCAATGAATTTTCTGCATAGTATGAGGCATATTCCTTGAATGTCTTAAAGGAATCAGCACAAACGTTCTCTTGTTAGAAATTAAATTGCCTTGTTAAATCTGGCAATAGCTGTTGCGGCTTGGTTCCTTCCTGCTAAACGCGGTCCAAGTATATTGTTTCACATTCAGTAAAAACCTCTTAATGGACACAGTTGGCATTATTATTATCTACAAGAGATCACAAGCAAGTATCAGCTCGAAAAACATGCAATTCTAATATCAGGAGTTCCACACTATTGCAAAAGGGTTTCATTTTAAATGGTTTGCTTAATAACATGTAATTTACTGACTATATTTGGTATTTACGCACTTTTCGGGGAATCGCACGGATCCCGGCTTAAAAAGAGCGGTGGTGGACTGTGTGTTGAGTCCAACATTGGTCGTCTCAAGGTCGTAGGCTTCTCTTTTGTTCGACCAATCCCATTCCAGTTTGCTCTTGACAGACTCATTTCTCGCCAGCTGCTCCTCAAATTGTCCCAAAGTTTTCACCAGTAATTCCCGTACTTCGTTAATGAGTGAGTACTCCTGGAATTGCCAAATATTTTATTATTCCGAAACGTGCGGACATTGCAAAATCAAGGAACAAAATAGAGCCTCATTTATTGTCAAATGCAACGATCACGAAACCCATTTCATCATAAAGCATGGATGCAAATATCCGGGCTTCACGGATGTACGTGTTGCCTACGCACAAATGTGAGGGCGTTTTGACTATAATGAATTTTCCCCCCTGAAGTGTTCGTAATAGTGGGAATTTTTCATGTAAATACACAACGCTAAGGTGTTATAAAAGATAATTAGTATAGAACCGAATCTTTTCGATCCTTACAATCACTATCAAAGCTAAATGCTACACTACATCAAGCAATAATCTACAAAGTAGAATGAAAAATTGGATGCATACCAGACAGTGAAAAATAAGAAAAATTGTTAAAAATAGAAATATCAGCGAGAAGGAAGCAACAAGCAGTTAAGTGATAGGTAGGTGATGCCAGGGGGAGGTAAAAGTTGGCTTTTACTTCCACCTGTTACCACCTTGAGACAGCCACCGCACAGTGGATCGAGCCAATTAGAGAGGTCGGACACGAAATTTTTGACTAAAACTGCAAATTTTTGTGTTTACATTTTACAGTTTTCGGCACGTTTTGCATTTCAAGAGGTGTTTTTAGCAGAAAATTTCAAGAAGAAACTAATGAAACCACTTTCAAAATCTCAACGTTTTGTATAAGCGGAGTTAGAAGCGTTTAAAGCTTCCAAATTTTGTCCGACCTCTCCTACGGACTCGATCCACTGTGCGCCGGCTGGTGAAAACCATCAAAATTTGGCAATGTCCTCTCCCTCCCCCCAAAAGTATGTATGTATAAGCCGCTTCTACGGCGCGCTCGGGCGCTCTGCGACGCCTACTGGCCACAGGAATCTGTCATGGTAGAGATCCTCCGGAAGCTGGCATCTCTCCATCTCTTCACGGATACCCACCGTTTGGCTGGACGCCCTCTCCGTCGCCTACCTGGGGGGACCCACTCCAACACCTTCTTCGGCAACCTGGTATCAGCCATTCTCTGCACATGCCCATACCATACCAATCCATACCCTCCAAAAGTATAACCCAAACAAAATGCCGCCATTTTTGGGCCCTAAGCTCTTCATGATGCCCAGTGTCCATACTCTCCTTATAAAAAAAAGGACGCTACTTTAAGCATAAATCCGTCCAAATAATTTTCACTAATTAGATCCCGGACCTTAGCGAGCTCCTGTTGGACGGGATCGTGGACGAGGTCGGACTCGAGGCGGAAGCCGCGTTGCTTGATGCACTCGTTGGAGATGAGGCCGGCGATGTCGACGGTGGCGATGCAGCGTTTGATCCGGTGGATCTCGTCCTGGAGCATCCGCATCTCTTTTTCCACGGCGTCGATGCTCCGGCTCAGGTCCGTCCTCAGCTTGTGGATCTCCAACGCCCGCCCGTTTATCAGGCCCTTGCACTCATCCTGGTTCTTGTCCGCCAGCCGAGCTGCCGTCTTCATGTTGTCCGTCGAGTGGTCCTCTACCCTAAAAAAATCATCGTAACATTCACTACACCAGTGGAAGTCGGATACAACGACCATCTAGGGACAGGCCTGATTTGGTCGTTTTATCTGATTGTTGTTATAACCGATGTGCAAATACGCTGAGTCAATGGGAAGTCAATCAAGGGTACGACTAGATCGCACGTTGTTATGACCAACACCTATGCCGTTATAAGCAATGTCGTACAATGGAAAAAAAACACATTGGATCTAGAGTCCAGACTCTTAAAAACATCGACAAGAAAATATACTCTGGATTCAATCAGATTTAACCTTGAATCAAGAACCAAGCCTCTTAATTTGAGCGGATTTCCTTTTGATTTAAGCTTAAATCTGATTGAATCAAGGGTATTTTTTCTTGTCAATGTTTTCAAGAGTCTGGACTCTAGATCCAATGTGTTTTTTTCCCAATGTAATATCCGATTTCCACTGTAGTCTACTAGATTTTATACACAGTGATACTATTTGGTTCTTCTCCATTGGCAGAACATTCTATATAGATTTCAAGCTACTAAGTTAGCTTCTATCTCATTTAAAACAATTGGAAAAAATGAGTAAACAAAAAGCAGGAAAATTTCCATAACCCCTCGATCCCAGGATTGCAGGCTCGGGGTGTGAACACCAATAGGCAACGAGGATATCGACCGCTCAACGTAGAGCTCGAGACATCGAAATCCCAACCCTAGATTAACTCCTAATCGCGGTCATAACGTTAACGTTAACGTAACGTAACGTAACGTAAGGTAACGTAGCGTAACGTAACGTAACGAGTAAAATCAACCTCTCCACTCATGGAAGAAAGAATAATATACTTGGGTTCAATTGCACGCCAAACATCACTATAACAGTCGCAGTAATTGTGAAAATATGGCAACCTCAATCTTGACGCTCAGCGCAAGTTGTACATAGTTTAAACAACACGGTAGGGGAAAGAAAAAATGCTCAATTGAGTAGTCTGCTAAAGCCTTCATAGTGCGTAATTTGACTCGCGTGGGGTTTTGTTTTTCTTGTGACGGGCAATTCAAAGGTGGACAGCAAAAACGTGGACCAATGGACCAATGGACAATAAAAACGTTAACATCTTGGCTAGAAATTAATTTTAGTAGTTTTTGTTGCGTGAATCGTGTTCTGCGTGAAATTTTGGTGAAGAATCATGTATCAGAGTACTTAAATTTTTACCTTGTTGAATGGTACATTCAATCTAAAAAAGCGAACATAGAGAACTTTCCTGACTTTTCTCAGGAAAAATATTTTTTCGGGAGAAACAAGGCAACGTTGGGATGCTCATACGGCGTCGAAACACAACATGGGCCTTGTAAGCCCCATTGTTCGATGCCGCGATTATCGTAACGCGAGTTGAATTGCGCCAAACACGGTGCAGTCGGCGTTAAACTCATATGAGCGCCTGCAAGGCTGCAGGAATACTTCATGCATTGCGCCAAACGGTGCGGTCGCATATTAGCGCCTACGAGACTGCATGAATACTTCTCGCATTGCACCAAATACAATGCGAGAGTTACTTGCGAAAAGTATTCGACTACTTGTACGGGCACATTGCCGTTAGCTGGATTGAAGGCGCATCACACTGTGAAGATGAGTCGACACTCTACCGCGCTCCCTTCCTTAGCTTGCGCGACGCTAAAATCGCCGCAAAATTAGAACCGCGCGTCATTTCTTTTGACGGTCCCTGCCCGGTTTTTACCCCAATTAAAGGGTAAATATTTATCACAATTGCAACGAATCAGAAACCCGGATAGTGTCAGAACGATGCAGCGATTCTGAAACTCGATTTGCGTAAAATAAATTTGTTTTAATAAAAAGAAAACCGAACGAACTAAAATATCGCGTCGAAATTTGTTGTAATTGTAATTTTAAATCATTTCGGAAAATTCTCCAAATTTTTTTAAAAAAACTGTGTAGCTCTTTTTTTAAAAAAAAAAAAAAAAAAAAAAAAAAACGATCACAACTAAAGCACGAGGTAATTTGTGCAACGTTACAATCGGAGATAGGAACTTTTTTTTCAGCGTCCAGGCGTCGATATTTGATTTTATTCACGGCAGGCGTAACGAGATAATTATTCGATCACGACTTATTTAAGAGTTCTATGACACCCAACATTCCAGTCTTTCCCAGGCTTTTCTAAATCCGTCTTCTAAATTCCAAGCGCCCCCAGAAGATCTGGTAGGATTACTATGGCTAAGATAGAGAACTAAACATAGTGGTCCAAAAAAAAAAAAAAAAAAAAAAAAAAAATAGATAAATAAATTGAAAATAAATAAATTAAAAAAAAAAAACCAGCTAATCCACCCCTGGGCAAAATATAAAGAGTGATGGCACGCATGTGTTGATGAGGCCATAATATTTTGAGTTTCTGATACCTCTTTAAAAAAAATCGTTTGACTCTTATAAACGTGAAGTACCATTTTTTTTTGTTTTTTCTTCATTTTTGATTTTTTATGTTTTCTCTTTTTTTTTTTAAAAAAAAAATATTTTTGGTTGATAGTTTACGATGCACCAGACTTTTGACTATGTTTCAGTTCCTTGGATATTTGGCAGAATCATAGGATTTCGAGAAAAACATTTGTCGCGGCATTCAGAAACTCCTTCAATTAGTTGAGTATGCACAAAAACATACACAGCGCCAGATTGAAACTCCACGAACAGTTCTGTTTTAACTGAGCGCCGAGTTGAAAACAGATAACTGGCAGTGCTCAGGCACCTTCATTTTTGTGCCATGCAATTTTATGTACGTGATTACCTAGAAAAAAAAGAGACAGTCCAACGAACGCATAGTACTATAGAGGCATTTCATCGGCTATTTATTGATCCTTTTTCAGCTCGTTCAGCTCGGATAAAACACCAATGATCTGGAATCATTTTGAATGCTCTGAGTTTTTGGATTGCTGTGCTTGAATGATCCATTAGGCATTAGTCATCAGGCATCAGGATCATTCAAATTCAACAACAAGCTCATTCACATCTAACGATTTAGCTCATTCAATACGGAAAAATGAAATTGCTGACTTAAAAATTTTTTATTTAAAAAAAAAAAAAAAAGTATCAATTACGTTTCGGTGGATTTTACAGAACAAAAATGCTAATTTAACCACCCCCGGGGTTAAATTAACTTTTCACAATTGTAAAATGTACATCTGAAACATGTGGGACACATTTTTTTATTGTTAAATCAGCAGTCCATTTTTTCCGTGAAGGCTACGAAAACCTTATTCTGTGAATAACTCATTGAATAGTGAATAGTTCATTTTTTTAGGGGCTCTGGGAAGTAAAAACAGGTTTATCTTGTACAATGAACTTACGATTCGGACTTGTTGCAACTTTTACAAGAGACCTGCTTGAGATGATCGATACGCTCCTTCCATTGGTGGACGTCGTATCGAGCCATAGAGTATTGGTCCACAACAGGTCTTACGCCCACAAGCCCGGCCTCCGGGTTCCAATCCACCCTTCCTGTAGCCCACGGACCCACGGGTTCCATGACTGTCGACTTGGTGGTCCTCTCCGGTGTCGGCACTACCACGTCCATGTTGAACCTTGATTAAGCAACTGAAAAAAATGAAAGCTTACTTACAAAATGTTTTTTTTTTTCTATTATTTATTGTAAAAGTAAAACTATCACCAAGGATATCATATATGCATTTTTCTTAATACGAAAGTAAGTGGTTTAATTTGACAACAGAGTAGTCAATTATTGTTCTAAGGGAGTGACCTACAAAATGTTCAAGTATTTAATTCCTGACATCTACTCTGCCGTGCTGAGGAAAAACGCCGTATGAACCTTCAGGCGTTGCCAACTTTCGATCGATAAAACACGAATTCCCTGATGAACTTGTGAATATTTTTCTTCCAATTTTTCAGATAATATTTTTCGTAATTTCACCTAAAGTTCCTAAAAATTTGAAGTATAAATATTCATAAGTTTCCTCCAAAATAAACATTTTATCGAAAAAAATTTGGCAACTCTCGAATGTTCATACGGCGTTCTTCCTTAGCACGGCAGTATTAATAGCATTAAACGAGTTCTCTCTTTAATTGTACATCACCCTGCAATAGGGCATTTTGCAATGAGGAACCACTATCTCTGGCTCTTCCATAAAAGTATATTTCTCCATAGGGAAACCAACGGCATACATTTTGTTTCTAAAATGAGTCAGAAATAGTGGTTCCTTGTTGCAAAATGTGGTCCATTTAATTTTCGAACCGTGCGATCGAAAGTTGAGGTTCGCAAGGAGGGAGCAATCACCTACTTACGGCAGACTTTCTGTTTTTTTTTGCCTTTAAAGTTTGCCAAATTCTTCTCAAATAGCCATGTTTAGTATACAAAAAGTACGAGGGAAGTTGATATTTTTACCTAGTCTGATGACTCTGTTGCTCTTTTTAATTGCCAAACGAACACGTGCGCACGCAAACGTGTACCGATTGGTTGCGCGCTGAGTTGACTTTAAATTTTGCCATAAAAATAATTTAAAATCCTCGGTGTTGACTCATGGGAAACACGCAAAGGATAATTTGAAATTTTGCAGCTCGGTATCATAGAAAACAGAGTCTGGTTGAAACTAAATGGTCAAAATGTTGGACCAAACACTATAATCGAACACAGCACTTTCATGTAACTTAATACTTGCACATTTTTTAGCACTTTGGCTACACACATACGTAACAAGCTCAATTAAGTAGCACTACCAATATGGTACAAATTAATAGTCTTGTCACATTTTTAAAAAATGACTCAAGGCGGGAACATTTCACTTGAAGAGAAAACGTTTACTTTGAAGTGGTATATAGGTATAAAAAATCCTCTAGAAGGAACAAACTACATTCATACGCTACGGTGCGGTACAGTGCATATAGCAAACATACGTACATATTCGGTGGTTTTTTATATCCGATTCAAATTTGCAACAGAATCGCTTCTTTTTGGTCACAATTCATGCAGTGGCGCGGCGCGTATGAATGACTATCGATATCTCCCCGCATTTGATGCTATGGTGAAGAATCGACATATTAAGGTGTTCGTTGCAAACACCCTATTTTTCAACCCTTCTCCATAGGTTGAAATGGCATGATTAATCGATATATCGCAAAGTACGCCACGCTACTGACTTCATAAACATTTAATGAAAAACAATTGCTAGTTTCCCCGGTTTGGGTGAAAATATGCACGTATTGGCGGACGGCACGCGATATCATAAACCGCACGCCACTCAGAATTCTGTTTTCATAAAATTGATACTTACGACTTTATTTAGGAGAGTCAGTAGTTTTTATTTTCTTTCCAAACCACAAATAACACGAATTAAAAGAAAAAAGAATGAATAGAAATAGAGGAAAACGCAAAATGAAAATTATTTTATGATCGTAGATTTTTATAACAAACTTTCCCACATAAATTAAAGCTGCATTAATTAATTTTTTTGGTCTTATGATAACTTTTTCTCCCTTCGAAGAGAACAAGGATCTAAAAATGACAAATCGAAAATTAATTTTTCACCAACGGAAAACTATCCATTACTTTAGAGAGTGACAGGCAAGGCGACGAAAACGTCCGAAAAGATTGAGGCGCGACAGAAATAGGATGTAAACATGTGTAACGGGTACAGAATAAATAGGTTATACCAATATTCCACGTAGTCTATTGTGCGGGGTGTCCTGACTGCACATACAAATGAGTCGACTTCAGCCGGGCCCGTCTAGGATACGGATTATCCCCGCGAGAGAGCGCTGATGTCGGATTGTGCCACGCTACCCAGAATTTCTCCTTCAAGCGGGCACGGTGCGTCTCAAAAAGTCAGTTTATTGTTGTACAGAAATCTTGAAAGCAAAAAAGGGAAAGGACCGCATTGCCAAATTTATCGGGATAATTACAATGAAAATGTGAGATATGATTTACTTCGAATATTGCTCGTTTCCTTGACGATCTAAAGTTGCATAGGGAAGTCAATGAAGGCGTAGCTGCTCTCAAAATTTGCCTGACTAATGAAACATCCCTTGAACACGATAGTGGAAGCTTTATTCCTCTAACTCAAAATTCAAGAAAGTTAAAGTTGAACGCAACTTTTTTTGATGACAATACGCACACCATAGGTTCTTAGAATTCTCTGAAGTTGATAGACAAGAAAGAAAGAAAAAAAAAAGAAAATGAAACAACTAATTCTTTGGTGGAATCACAAAAATCCAGAAAAGGTGCCATGCAGTGTTAGCCATCTTGCCTTTTAAAGATAGGATATGATAGGAATTCTATAAATGCCGTTTGTCTCTTTCTGCCTCGATACGAATTTTACTAGTTTTGCTCTATATTGCAACATTGCACTGGAGTCCCGGAATTGAGTCGGGAACCACTGCGTTTGATCGATGAAATATTGCTGTGCGTGTACTTGCTGCATGATGTTTCACCTAACAACCGCATAGTGCAGGGAGAGCTAGCTGGCGTTTCACACCGTCCAATCCGTGCATCGCACAAATATCAGGGTTCAGGAGGCCTCCACATTTTTTTAATATTTATTTATTTATTTTTAACAAGAGGAGATGGGCCTGAATTGGCGCTTTGGGTGATTTTTGAAGAGGAAACTAGCCTTTTAAGCAGATTAAACATTATTTGACCAACAAGTTAAGTCAATGAATTTTCAAACACAATGACCGCTGTTATGTTTGCTTTGTTCAAACAAAAGCATAAGTCTGCATACGTATATGGATAAGTATTTATCGCGTGGTAAAAGTTGCTTGCATGACAGCAAACTTTTGTTTAGTAACAAAAGTTTGTACAACTGAACTTGTTTTGATATTAATAGGGTGAATCTGCTTTTGCAAAGTATGCTGGAGCAGTTGGTAACATCACTTTTTTGTAACATATCTATTTCAGTTGCTTTAAAAGGATTCCTCACCAGAAAATATTAAATGGCTCTCAAAGCGCAGTTATGTTTATCCGTGTACCTGAAGAGTAATGATGAACAAATATAATGAGATACAGGATTTGAACCCTCCATCCCTTTTCGCTCCGCGTCACCATGTGCTTTCTATGGCTCAGTGTTTGGGTTTCACTTTCAAATATTTTCCTTCCTTCATATGCATTTCAGAGTCCTGAGACGGAACAACCGACCGGCGGTGTTGTCATTTTGGATATAGGGTTGTAATTGAACCATTTCTCCCTTGAAAATGTGACTTGAAACTTATTTTCTGAAAGGAATGAATCGTATTTGTTATTTTACTTTCTACTTTGCTTTAATATTTTTTTGAATTCCTTCCAAATATTTTTCAGCTCCCTTTTTTTAGACAGTAAAATCTGAGGGCTCAGAACAAAAACCGGAGAAATCATCAGGTTGAATGAATCGTATTTATATTCAGTTTTAATTCCTAATTTTAATCCTAAAATAATGCATTTTAGAGTAAATTATAAACTTAAAACCAACACAGTACACCTTTTATTTCTATAGTGTATTCTACTTTTCATCTAAATTTACCAGCTTGCTTGGCAATTTTCCTTTAATTCAGTTACTAATTACAACATGTGAATGTTAATTTACTCAGGTAGCTGAAAATAATTCTCACAGTTATTTTCATGAAGTAGTGCATACTTCAAAAAATGAAAACATTGATGTTCAATCGTGCATAAATTTTGAATATCAGATGCTTTTTTCCCCCTTATGAAATCAAAATCCTTTTCCTCGATTACAGGAACTTTTTTTTTATTTTTGTTTTTTTAAATTTTTTTTATTAACATGTTGACATAATTATTCAAAAGATACATGAAGGCAACAATACTTAATTAGAGAAACTTGATATAATAAAACCCCGGGAACGCCTAAGGGCATTACATCGGGGAGTTATTCTGTGGTTGTCCTGTGTAGAAAAAGAAGTAGCATCATCAAAGAGAAGGAATTCTTCAATTACAAAAAAAGGACAAAAAAAAGAGACAAAATTGGAAAAATGACATCCGCGTGAAGTCGTCATGGTCACTAACTTTCACTGCATCCTTGGAAAGGTCTCACCCTCTTTTTCGTGAGTAAATTTCAACTCCTTGGCTCCCCAAATCCCTCTCCAAAGGCAAACATCAGTCAGTGTTTACCTTTCCCCGTAAGAGAAGTGCTGTGCAGGTTGGAGCCACTGAAAAGCTGGAAAAGAAGACGAGCGGGCACATAAAAGAACTGGGCCAGCACGGATTTGAGGGCACGTAAACAAATAGCAAGCTGGCGGGAAGCCGTGGGTACCATGATGCCACACGAAGTTATATATTTTTCCAGGAGTGATGCGCAAGACTCCATTGGATAATTTCATCTTACAAGACTGTAGTGATAGCCGAGAGAGCCGTACTGCCGTGCTTGTCAAGAACGGCGTCAATCCATCAAGATTTTCCCGCGTTTTTTGGAACTTAACATTTAATAAAATAAGTACTGTTTTACCCATACACCTCAAATTTTCAAGTCAACTTTTTGATGGTCTTTACGAAGGAACTCTATAAAAACATTGTCTTAAGGTATACAAAAAATTTTCTGCTATGATATATTGTTTCCAAAAATTTAACATGGAGTTTACGGCGTTATTACTTTTCGTAGAGCTTTCCCGTTTGTTCGGATTTTTTTTTTTTTNGGGGGGTTCAGCTGGTTTTTATGGTCTGCATGTTATCATTAGATTGTTGCTGATAAGCAATGAAGGAAAAATTATGGATTTGGCAACGTTTTGAGCCCGGAGCTTGGCCTTCGAGGAGGAGACCCGGGAGCTCTGACACCCAGAGCCGATGCCGCAGCAGTTCGTTTTGAATGGTCAGGAAAATGAATAATGCCCGGGTCACACTTTCACCAGCTCCTCCCCACACCCTTCTCCTGTCTGCAGGGGGCTTCCTGTGATTTGCACCGCGCACTGTCGTCGCCGTAGCCTGATCCGTTACCCACGAAAAGTTGCTCAGACGGATCTCTGCGGATTCGTGCGATATCTCCACTACTCTACCGATTTTCTTCTTAACGAATCAGTTGTTTTTAAAAGGGAATAGGTCCATTCCTCTACGAGACTTAGCCAGCAAGTTATCTTTCTCTGCAGGCCAAGGCTCATGCTAAAATGGACTTGTTTCCTTTTGAAAGCAATTGATTCAAATAGGGCCTGCATTCTTTAAGTTTTTAAGTAAAGTTTTCCGTCACATACGTGATTATTACGGTATAATTCGATGGCTGAAGTGCAAAATCATGTATCTTCATTGCGGTGTTTCAACATCTTTCCTCCTTTTCCATTTTTGTGAAGAGGAACAAGTCAACTTTGTGACTTCAGATTCTACCAATAGTGAGGAAAAGTCAAGGACGTTTTCAAGAGATTAAGTTGACTAGTTTCCCAAATAAGAAGTAAAAGAAGTTGCGTGGTTTCGCACTTTGCACATTGAATTATGAAATATGTGTGTTTAGCCATGCATTCCTGAAAATTAAAGACTGATTGGACGTCATGTACCTTGAGCTCCGTTCATGAAATACGTAACGCTTTAGCATGTTTCACAGAAAACGGGTTTCAGAGGGGGAGAGGGTGAAGAAGAGCTTTAAGTATTTTTTAAAGGGCTTTAGAGAGTCTCTTCAAATGCATGAGAGTTAAGATAAGACGGCTCATGGATGTCACAAACTGGAATATAAAGATTACACTGATTGAAATTTTTCATAAAGTTTTTCTGAAATTTTTTGGATCAACTCACTCCCGAAATCCTTTCCTCCATTCCCTCTCTGATTCCGTCGGTCCCCTGACCTCTACCTCTAATTCCCCGGCTAGTTAATGATCTTTGGAATCGGCAGAAGTGTAATCTTTACCCCGGATTGTGACACTCCGGAGGCCGGATATGTAGGATCAGAAATGGATCCTTTATGTCTTAACTCTCTGTATAAAGGGACTCCATAGGGCTGCAGACCTGTTTTACGTGTGGGCTACGGAAGTTACTTCAACGCCATTTCAGTTTGCCCTCAATTTTTAGGGTAGGCAACTTGAGCTCATGTGCGGTCGAATAGTGGTATCATGGTGAATTAGGGTTCAGTCATTAACAGAGTCAATCCTTTTTTTAATCTGGCATGTAAAGGGACCTAGTCCAGAGCTTCATGACCTGACATCTCCCACCCCCCCCCCTCCCCTCCACAAGTCACTGGCGGCGAATTTTTAAGATCGATGCCCTAACCTATCATTATTGCTAATGATTGATAAATATCTTCTCTTCATCTATTAATTTAATATATTTAAGTGCTGTTTTATGTCAGCACTTAAATATTACTAACTTAACGATGACGCTTCAGAAATAATTGACTTTACACTCTTAATGGTACATTTCTAGCCGCATCGCTGAGCTTTGCCGAAAACATCTCTAAGCGCAGTGGGCTAGAATTTAAAATTATGAAAGCGTTGTGAAATATTTAGTTTCAGAGATATTTAAAGAGACATTACTTGCTTTCCTTTCAACCCAAAAGGATTGAGCTCTAAACCGTATCCAGATTAGTGGATTCGCCCTTGTTAACTACCTTACCATACGTTAGGACTAGATTGAAAGTCCGATCAATTTATAAAAAAATTTAAAGTCATAAAACCATAAGTATAACCTAGCTTGTTGTAGGGAGAATTGGCCTCTGAGTATGCTAGATGATTCATAAGGTGGGTCTTTTGACCTTATTATTTGAATGTGAACTTCTTCTCCTTAAAAAAGTGAACTTAAACTGAAAGATGAAAATGGTCTGAGGCGGTCAGAACCAACATTCCTCCAGTTTTTTGTTCGCTGACAATGAATAAGCACGCTTCTGTGTGACTTCTAGCTCCTGCTTGTTGAATGGGTGACTGTGTTTGAGCCAAACATGGATGGCAACTGGGTCAATTTTCAACGTCAGGCGCATTTTCATGCAAATTGCAGGAGACTAGCCGTTACCGTTTGTTTGAATACAACCTATAGGATATGGCTGAAAAAATTGCTTCCTCTAGCGTAAGGCTCGAGAACGCATTTTCGCGACATCCGACAGATTGTACCTCCGCGGTTAAAGTAACAAATTAGATGCAGTACTCATTTTTATCAACTTTTTAGCAAAGCTAGTTTAGGGCCAGGTTCAATTTGATATGCATATGGAATTATATATAGAGGACAGGCACTATCACCTACCTTAGAATTGCTTCTTTTGGTGTTTTACGATGAAATTTTAATGAAAGGATGTAAAAAAGTAGGGAGCAAATATTGTGTCCCGCAGTAAGAATACTACGCTTAATAAATACGCATTTCAACATTAGTAGACCCCCGTGAAGGGTGAACGGGCCTTTGCCCCCCCCCCCCAATTTTCTTAGTTAAGTTTTAGGAAGGTGGAGGAAGCAGTCATTCAATATCTGGCAGCTTATTTGTAACCGTTACAAAATCCAGCATGAAGTAACATTTAAAGGACTTACAATTATCCTGAAGGAACCAGGCTGCAATGCAGTATCAAAAAATTCTCAAAAGTACTTAAGTTAACTTACTTTTTAATCTTCGGTTCTGATATTATGTTAGATTGTTTTGCATAACAATCTAACATATCAGGATCGAAGACTAAAAAGTGAGTTTACTCATATTGACAATCACCCGATAAAGTAACCTTGAATTCGTTCAAATTTTTAAAAGCATAATCTTATCGCAAAACAGAACAAACCGAAATTTTTTCATGAATTTTTATACAAAAAGACAAAGGTTCGGCTAAATTAAAATATCTTGAAATAAATATGCTAAGTGATAATTTTTATGAAAAAATGAAAGAAAAAGATAGAAATTTTGAAACGGATTCGGTTAAATGGACGTATTTCTGCCAAACGGAACTATGTGCATTAAGACATGAACCCTGAGACACGTAGGAATATATGCTCAACAGGGCTCACGTCATAATACACATAGTTCCGTTTGGTAGAAATACGTCCATATATAGATCAAATTAATGGAGAAACAAGGATGAAAATCCAATGAGCTGGTTAGACGATACATCCTTCTCCCTTCTCCTCTGCACTCTCATTTCCGCCTTTTGTGTTGATATTCACTCGTGGCACTCATTTCCGCATTCTCCCTCCGCTTAAATCGATCTCCGGCACGTTTCATCATTTAGAGGTTGCTACAATGTGTAACATTCGGTACACTAATTTATGTAAATGGTTGCACGAGTAAGTTATCAATTTTTCGAGAGAGAAAGTTCCCTCGGAGGGGAACGGAGTGGCTTATGAACCAACCAACGGGAATCGTAGTTCCAACTCCCGGGAGAAAGAGGGGAAGAAAGCGCGGTTGCCAATTTTTCACATTCCCTATTTTCTTCATTTCTAAAATGAATGGACATTGTCGGGCGCTATGAATATGATTCGCTTTACTTCTGGTAATTGACGCTGTTCTGTACTTGTGACACCCCCCCCCCCACCAAATAGTGTATCAAAGGTTAAATTAGAAAAAATTTGCGGCGACCTCATATTGTTTTAAGAGGAATTAGAAGTGTTGAACTTATTGGGAGGGGTTCCAATACATTTTTACGAAAAATCTCTGAAATTTTGGATTCAAAATATCTTTGTATTCCATAGGTAAATGTGTATCATTACAAAGCTTGTTCCAATTTTTGATTTTCAGTACATACACAAATGAAGTTGAAAAATCAAATAAAGTGAAATTTGATTTCTTTTTTAAAATTTATTTTTCACAGTCAGTTCAGAATGTTAAGGTCAAATTTTTATTTCCTTAAATGTCATCCTTTCCCCCCATTTTTCGTTTAAAAAATAAAAGATATAAGGCTTGTCGTCATCCAAGTTCTCATATAAAGTACTTTCTCGATTCAAGAGATCGGCCGGATTTCGACCAGAGGAACAAAAATGCCGCCCAAAAGGAAGATTTTAACACTATTATAAGAACGATGCCGGTTAATACTTTGGATTACTTTAGAGTATTTGGGACTTTTTCAGAAAATATTACAGGAAAAAATGTCCTGAATTTTTTCGCGCTTTCTTTGATAGAAAATCGTAGCAAATTTTTTCTGGTCCCTTTCTCTTTTTCGCCGCTTACGAATTTGCCGGTCAAGATACTGAATGCTGGCAACGGCGTAGAAAGCGTCGATAGTCGGCGAGCTAAAATTACTCATTTTTCAATTTTCTCCGAGAGGGTTTCGAACTGAGCCATTCAATCTGGCAAAACCGTGGCCGCTTGAAAAAAAGACGAAGCATCAGCTTTCGACGAATACCAGAGTGAGATAGACCGATACGCGGACTGAAGGGAGGAAGAGGAACAGAGACAAAAGTACAGAAACGTAAGGAGAGCACCCGGTTTAATGACACCTTGTTAACCGCACCATTGTAATGGTAATAAACACGTACGACCAATACGAGAGTGTTGACTCTCCGAAGCTGAGGAGGGGTTGCTCCAAGGGAGTGTCTGCCCCCCATTTAAGTCTACAGCCATGATTCCTTATCCATTTTGTGCGTTTGAGGTTTGCCGGTGTCACATGTCACCGTGTGAGGGTTACGTCCAGTGATAGTGTCCGTGGCTTTCGGTGTTTCCACTTTTCCTTTCCACGCGTTCAAGTCTTTTCCAGTGGTCCTGAAAAGAGGTGAAATAACGTCTTAAATCAAAGCACACGGAGATGAAAACGCAGTCTTTTTTCTTCGCAGTACTTTTAAATGGGTTTATTCATGATTGATAATTTGCAGATCGATAATCGATTGTCTCCCCTCTCCTAAATATTTTTGGTGTACGTGCAATTGTAAATTTCGCGACAATATCCATTTACGCTCTTTGAATAAAAAAACCTACCATTTAGATTTTAACGGTATTGAATTTAATCAATTTAATTGATCTGAGTCTTCTAGGTTTAATGCTATTTTTGTCTTGATTCCTTCCTCTCATTCCCAAATTATTTTTCTAAATGCATGCCGCCCTCTTGTCCGCTTTGAAGTCTTGCACGAAAAAAATTCAAGTCATATTTTGTTAAAACCAACCTTACTTTTTCCCCGTCAGTTATTAAATGAAACAATCTATAATAAAAGCTGGGGGGTAAATAACACTCCTCTTGCCTTTCTTCTACGATTTAAATAAAGTTTTGTAAAACAGTTTACCATTAACCATGAAAATTAGTGTCTACATGTAATTATTCAATCACCTCCAAATGTGATCTCCCAGTAACTGAATGCACCTGTCTTGGCTTATGAACGCGCGATCTTAAGTTCAACTGAGTCATCAGTCTCTCCATAAAAGTAAAAAAAATACTCTCCAAGCAAAACTTGCACTTTTCCCATTTATTATTAACATTAAAATCGCGCCGGAATGTCTTACTCGCTAAAATGACGTAAAAATTTATACAATTTTATTGGGAAAAATATCCTGTGCTTTAGATATTTTTGAGTATTAGTTTCGAAGTATATTTTATGTTTTGCTTATTATCTGAGTGCTAGAGCGCTAATTTGTACAAAAATCAATAATTAGACTTCATTTTCATCTCCTAAACTTCCTTTCAAAAATTCTTTGTAAATTCAAAAACACTCAATAGTTCCATATACAATTTAAAACATATTTTTACTCTCCCGGGCAGGTATCCAGCAAACAGTGAAACATTTTTCCGTGCGGATCAAACATGTTTGAAAAGCTCGCGTTGGAAATCCTCGCATCCGTAGTGATCGTGACGCTTATACGCAGCGGAACTTGTGACGTGCCGTCAGACTGGCAAAGTGGTGCGGGGAGCATAGCTCCCAGGAGCTTCGATCCGAAGAGTGATGCTGAAAGTATATCCCCCAGGGGCCCCGAGATGGGGGTTAACGCGGGTAGTATAGACCTCAAGGGCTCGGAATCCGCAAAAGAGCGCACAGCGCGGGACTGGTCAACAACCGGTTCGACCGCAGGGAGTTACTACCCTCCATCGAACGGCTATGTCGGAGGTCCCAGCTACGTGGACAGCTATGGAGTGCCCCATTCGGATTATCAGTACCCCAACGCCGGAGCTAGCAGCTACTCTTCTGAAGAGGCCAAACCCAAGCAAAGGCCAATAGTCCCGCCCATTTTCCCACCTGTATATCAGGGTAAGTACAAATTTTGTCCCATTCATCTTGTCTGCTGGTGATTTCAAATATAGGGATGGAGATGTTGCATGTGTGAGGAATTTGCGATTTGACTGATGATTTTTATGTAAAAGTTCACGAGAAATACGATGGTGCCACTGGTTCTCTCTGAAATCAACTCCCAAGCTCAAAAAAAGCTCTCAAGTCGAGGCCAAAATGGAGGGGATATCCCACGCTATCCTGAGAGTCCACCTCTACATCAAAACAAACTCTCCATGCAAAGGTAGGGAGCAAATACATTAGCAGGGTTGCCGTGTTTTCAGTTTCGGAGTCCCCAAATAAAGTGGCAGCCCTGTCAATGTATTTGCTCTCTATTTTTGCCCTACACGTGGTAGGGGTTGTTGGATGATATAGTAATTGTGGCAGTGCCCCAAAAAATTACTATCATCAGGAGCATCAGAGTTATGTGAGGTCCAGTTAAAACACGAGTGCTAGATTCCAGTGAGTTAGACAAGCAAGCTTATTAACAACTAACCTAGTTGCCTTCATGGGACCACCTTCGTTGAACAGAAATGCTTTTTACGAGTTAAATACGCGATTCTAGAGAGATTTGTCAATGGCAGGTCAATTGTTTTGTAAAAAGCTTTGTTTTTTGCTAGAAATGGACACAAACCATAGCATTGAAATTGGTCAAAATACGTGTTTTTGAATAGGTGACGTGATAATAACGCAGCATAACTGTAGAACGCTTCAAGTATGGTTTTAGATTAGCCTTAGGTATGAGTGTCGTTATTTTTATTTTAATAATGCTACGTACAAGAATATACGTACCATTAAACAAATTGAAAATGGTAAAAAAAAAAAAAAAAAAAAAAAAAAAAAAAAAAAAACCCTAAGATTTGGTGAGATGAAAATTTCGTTTAATTTACGAGTATTTTTTTTTTGGCCCGTGTTTCGAAGTTCAGTTTCCAGCAGGAGTTGGCAGTTTGGATTCCTCGATGTATATTTTTTCTTAAAGGGCTTAATAACCTGTCACATGTTTTAAAGTTTTAGAGGATGCTTCCAGGTTTTTTTTTTTTTTTTTTTCTTTTAATTGCAAGAGCATCAGATGATTCAGAATTTTGTTAGTTGCAACATTGTTACGCTGATTCTCAAAACTGATGAAATAAAAAAATGATAGACCTTCTATTCTCCTAATTAGTGAATTTTGTATTTGGTTTCCATTTTTCTATTTTTTCACGTGCGAACGAATTTCAGCACGACTTGCCGTTCACGTATAATCAGACGTTCTTCATTCAGGTCGATTGCCTATTCATACGGCCGCTCCCGTAGCTGAAAAGCTCTACCAATTCTATTGTCTCCTTCGTCCGTTCTCGCAATTTGCAGTTTGAATTTTAAATCAGATCACGTCGAAATTACTTCTTAACTTTGCGAAACCTTTGGGTTGAAGCGATTTTTTGCAACACTCGATCATCTGATCATTATATATAAAAGGCAGCTTGAGCATTTAGGCCAATATATTTCCCCTCACACATTTGAATGTAACTTTTATCTATGATATAAATTAAGACCACAGAGAGTTGTCCTTATTTGGGTCGCATTTTGCAAGAAGGAACCAGCGCGACTACAGTGTTTTCAAAATCGTGCAACTTCTTCTTTACTTTTAAAAATACCTAATATATGCACAGTATTACAATTTACACAGTTATTTTCCTTCAGAGTATACAATTTCTTGGTAAAGAGCAAAAACCATTTGCTATTCTGGGAGATTTTTTAAGAAACCATAAAGAAGCAACATTTTTACAACACTGCATTTGCGCTGGTTCCTTTTTGCTAAATGAGGTCCATTTCTTGTTCCTAGCCCTGAACAGAGTCAAGAAAATCTAACATTAATGCAGTAGACATTTGTTGATACTATACAGTTAAATTATGTAAGATCAAGATAGATTTTTTTTTAAAAAAGGAAAGCCCTCTCTCTGATTTAAGGTAGTCTGTTTATGATCGGGAAGCTAGTGACCACCAAAATTCCACCTTATCCTTGCGACTACTCAAAAGTTTGTAATTGAAAGAATGTTTAAAAATGAGAATAATAAACAAGTGGATCGATGAGAAATAAGTAAGATCTTCCCAAGAAAAACAGGTATATCTGAAGGGAAACTCTTAAGGTTATAGGTGCTTTTGTTGAACACCGGGCCAAGCACGACGGCAAAACCGATTATCTCAGCAAGACTTTCCTTTCGAAGAAGAGCGGAATTTTCCACAGAATTCGCGAAATCTTCAATGACGAGGGATGGACAGGTGTCAGAGGCGAAAATGAGCAAATGAATGGGGCAAGGGCGAGGAGGGAATGGTTCGTGGGAGACATTGCATAAATGGACAAATTAAACGACTCGATGGACGATGAAATGCGCCAATTAGATTGTTTCCATGTTAATTGCCCCGCCTAGACAAAACTCTCCTCACCAGTTTTGTCAAGTTTCACACTCATTTAGTCAATTCCGCCGATCGATTTTATGAATATTTTCCTGTCGAATCGTTAAAAAAATAAAATAAAAAAAAAGATAAAAAAATAATACTAAAAAAATTAAAATTTTGAGCCGATTTACCAGAGTCCATTTCTATTCTTCATCTTATCGAATGAGTAAATATACTCGAACACAAGATAGGGTGAGAACGAGATGTCTAAAAGGCATGTATTCTAATTAAAATTTCAGGTAAACCAAGTTGAACACATCGGAAACGAGAAAAACTGAAATGAACGAAAAATTAAAGTCGGCATTGTAAATGGTAAATTCAGATTTCTCGCTTGTCAAAAAACCATGATCAAAGGACGTCAGATCAGCCGTTAAAAACAACATGTAGATTAGGCAATTAACTGGAGCAGGATTTCACACATATGTCCGTCCTTTTCCGATTACGAGGAACCCTTAATCAGCACACAGGAAAATTCATTCATCGAAAAGTATATCAACATTAGTTATTGCTCGGTGATATTTCTGCAGCTTTCAGTTTTTTGTGAGGGGTGGTTGTAAAAGACGGTAATTTTTTCACTTGAAAATTTTATTCTAGAAAGTTTCAAGCCGATCCATCATATTTTAGGTGAAATTTAAGTTAGAAAACATGTACAAGGGTGCTTATTTTGTACCCTATGCAGTAGTATGCAGTGATATATTCTGTACATTTTCTATCAGTATGATGTCAGTTTGAATTATTGGCAATGAACTTGTGGCCTTATTACGTCATTAATGGGAAATAAAATGGATTAAATTACTAAAGTCTTATTGGGATGGTTATTAGTAATAATCATACTAGCCCTTATGTCTGCAGGTTTCAGGCAGTCAAGCCGAAAGCTGCATGACCTTGGTTAAGACCCTGGTAATGTTTTAATGTTCATTATGGCAGAGTATTCATCGAAATTATCAGATGGTAATAACCTTCCGACGAATTAATGGCAGAGCTTGTCAACTTGCGAGGGGCAAAAGCTCAATTTTTGAAGACGTCAGTGTGTCTCAGTGTCCTTGCAAAATCCGCTGGCGAAGAAATACGCGCCTAAGTCGCCACACATGACAACACAGCTTTATCTTTCTCTTTTCAATTTGAATTTTTCAGAGATTCTCTCTCTTTTTTTCTTTTCGTTCCCAGCAAACCACAACGGGGCCCATCTTCATAGCACGTGGGCTACTTTCACACTTCATTTACCTTATTGTTCTGTCCACCACGACTGCTCTTTCGATCTCGATTGATTCGAGTCGAAGGCTTTTTGATTTTTTGAGTCCGGCACTGTCCTTTTTTTGTTAGAACTTCTCACAAACAGCTGCGATTTTTTTCACTTTCATTCCGTCGGCTACGCATTGACAGGATCAAAAGAGTGAAGATTCAATGGGATCAATTACTTTAGAATTAACGAAAAAACGAAACAATTAGGTCCCATCCATAATTTGACTCATTCCGAGGACTTTTTGTTAGCCTTTTTAAAAGTTTAACACTATTTCTTAAGCATAAAAAAAGACATCTCATTTTAACACATTTCTTGAATTATTTGCAAAAAAAAGTGTCAAACCATAGAACACTTATCTCTTCCTTAACTGTTAAATTCAACGAATGAATAAATAATAAAAAAAAAAAAAAATGGGCACAAGTTGGGTGCTTTTCATGTAGCTTTTTTTCTAATCTGAGAATATCAATTTTATACTTGACAATTAACGCTCTTGGCAAAATCACCAACATCCTGTCTCATATAATACACAGAGTCGTAATTCCTATAATAAAGTGAGCTGGGGTCATGTTCTAGTTGACGAGTTCCGAGCCCGGTGTGTGCCGAGATTCGGTCACCTTTTCGATACATTTTCGATCCGAAATGCCGATGGTACGTAATAATTCGTATCATTTTTGTTTAAATCGGATGGCCGGGTCCCCGTGTATCGGAGACAATCGATCATGTATCGAAATGGTGACCAGGAGTCACTGCGGAATTCGAGAGTTGGGAAATGCTTAAAAGTGGCGCCAGCTCCCCCATTTACAATTCGACTCTACGTATTCTATGGTCTGTCTAAACGACACGTGCGAATAACTGCAATCCGTTCTAAGTTTTCCGGAAAATTGAATTTCTTCTCACAAAAGGTTATTTTTTTAGAATTAATTTTCAATTTATGAAGAACCACCAAAAAAACTCAGCGTTGTGTCCGAATTTATAGCTGTTTATAATATTATAGTTTCAACGTACTAATTACGATGCATTTTTGTTTTTAGGAATGCCGATGACCCCAGTTGAGTGTCAAATGGCGGGATATTCGAACGTCTTTGGAGACCTTTTCCGTTTCGGAGGGCTCATCAAAGTGGGTCTCATAAAAGCAGGTCTCACGGCCCTTGCGGCTGGCCTATTGACCAAACTCCCTCTGCTCCTCTTCATCAAGACCCTTATCGTTAAACTTATCATTTTCCCAATCGGCTTCTTAGTTTTCTCCCTCCCTGTTCTCTTACCTCTTCTCCTTTTCTTCCTCCCCAACCTGATGAAGGACAAGCAGCCAATCATGATGATGATGACACCTGAAAATGCCAATAACAGTACCAACGGTGAGTCAATAAATAAATATCAAGGATAGTCCGTGTTTGTTGATGCATAAATGAGGGTTGGAGGACAAGGCGCGTTTTTGATTTTGATTGATTTCAAGTGCAGTTTTTGATATTTCGAGAAATACGTGTTTGAAGTTACATGGATCTTTAAGATGGAATCTTGACCTTATCAAAAATGAATTCAATAGAGAAAATATTCCACGCTTTTTTTATAACGCTCATTTTATGCACGTATATCGACGAATTTGAATTTGGTGTGCCATTGAATACTAACATATGTATGATATTGAAAAATCACATATATGAATTTTCAGCGACGTCTAGATGTTCTCATACCTACATAGTGTTTTCATCTTAACTCTGTTTTGTGAAATTAATAAAGCGAGCAAATAATCATGAAGTATGTCTAAATATTTAAAAGCACACCTACAAAAAGTTTCAATAGCTTTATTCTCTTACTTTGAAGATTTTTGATGTTATTGTGTAGATCAGTGGTGTTACCTACTTTGCGATTTATCGAATGAGCTGCCCCTCATACCTATAGATAAGGATCAATAGACAGGGTGTTCTCAACGAACCCCTTCATAATCGATTCTCTACCATAGCTTCTAATGGGACAGTATCGATAATCAACCATTCCTACACCTCGCCACTGGTGTATATTGAAACCTAACATTCCATGCATATAGTCTATCATTTTTTTAAGTCAATAATTAGCAGATTGACATTTTAAGAAGCGATTTTCTCTCATTACTATTTCAAAGATTTTTACTTTTTTTTTTGTTGAGTGACAAGGACAACATAATCTTTTTCAATTTGGCAGTGCTATATCGAGGGTGTAAGTCAGCAATCAAAAATTCGGTTTGCAACGTCGCAGACTTCTTGTCGTACTTTATTTTTTAAACGGAAAACTACTCAACGGCAATTCTTAAAAACTGCCGCGATTTTTCTTCTCTGTGCGAAGAAAATTCTACAAAAACTTCAAGAAATGACGTCAATTTTTTCTCCTTTAAAAAAATAACATACAGGCGGAGATTTTCAGACATCGCAAACGAGATATGTGATTGCAGACTTACGCCGTCGATATTTCTCTCCGAATCCACCAGGAGGCTTCCAAAAAGCGTTCTAACTTTTTACGATTTGTACTTAGCTTAACATTTAAATTGCAACCCCTCTCATCAAATGTTTTCTTTTTTATAATGCTGATTCCCACCTTGAAAGATAAAAACACGAATGGAAATGGTGATGAGGAGGACGATGATCCTATAGAAGGTCGTGTAAAAGCCCCCCAGAGTACAACAGCGCTTGCAAGTAGTTGGTTGAAAACCCCCGACGGAAAAATTCCTCATCGTCGTGAACCTGGTAAGTAAGGTCTGTCGGAAATATGGCTTTGAAATGGATGAGTACTATGAGCCGTTGAAATTGAGCTTTTGCGGGGGATGAAAATCGTAGACGGTTCCCATTTTATTAGATTCAATTGTGAGACAGAACTTTTACAGGTTATTGTGTGTCAATCTTAGGAGCTTTTTCGCGAAGTTTCCATACAGCGTGAGAATTTTGTATCAATTTAATGCCTGTAAAATTTTGGGTTATTTTCTAACGATCATGCGTCAAACTTTCCGACAGACTTTACTTCTCGTAAACGGGGTTATCAACTTAATGAAAGCACAATGGTCTGAATAAGGCGCAAACAGCATCGTGATTGCAAATCATATGCACTGATAAACTAAACCGACGATCTTAGATTCAGTTTTCTAAATCGAAAAGTAAATTCCAAACCCGCGTATGTAATGGTTGGTTAAATACGATAATCATTCTAATTCTCTGCGACGTTTTCATCAGGAAAAAAAAAGTTTTTTCTAAAGTGATTCCGATAGTGCCACGAAGAATAACACCCTCGAATAGTTTTTAGTTCTAAGAGCTTTTAACGCAAAAAGACGTTTGCTTCTTGATTATTTTTGTATAAAAACATAAAAGCACAGAGTTAGGCCTTTTCGAGGAATCAGCCGAATTCAGTTGACTAGTATGCTTTGAAAAAGCGCAGCGGAAAATTGAAGTGGAACGTTTTTGCGATAAATCGTTTAGCTATCATAATTTGTTTTCTTTTGCAAAAATTTAATTTCTTACACAAACACAGGTAAAAAAAATAATACTATCCTTTTACCGAATTAAGGCAGAAAATGAACTTAAAACAACAAGCTACGTGAATTTCTGGATGTGACTTTTAAATTACCTTTTTAATTAATTCTTTCCTTCAAGGTGGGAACAAAAGACCAGGCACGCGGGACTTCCTGTACAGAGTGTCCGATAAAAATGGCGAAAAAGGATATGAGGACGAGTACGAGGAGGAATCTAGAAAATCAAGAGACGCTGATACCTACTTAGACTCAATTCTGAGCACAATTTTTGACTCGCAACTGTGTCTACAACGCATTGCATGTCAGCTTGGAGTCAGGGACGCGGATTCTAAATATAGGAAGTCAGTTTCGTGGTAAGTGCAAAGCTGCTCAAACAAGCTTATTTCTTTCCTTCATACTGTGAAAAAATAAAATTTAGAACATTTTTAGAATGAAAATCAGTGGTGGCATTGAAAGTCTGAGTGACAGATTTGCACAAAACTTTATGAACTTATTCATACTGGAAGTAGAAAAATTTGACTTGACCAAATTCAGCATAAAATGCCCTTTCTAACAATGTTTTAACCAAAGGGTCTTTCATGAGTTGCCGTTAGTCATAGTCTATAACTTACCTTCTTTGTTCATTGCAACCCCCGGCTTCCCCCAATAAGATTGCTCTATTTTCCCTTTATCTTTCCGCCTAAAGCTTCGTCTATCAATGACAGTAATCATTCTGCTATCGGTTTTTAATTCTCCTGCCACCTCCCGCTACTTTGTGATATCTGAAGTGCTCAGTGGCGTAACGGACTTCCGCTGGGCCTCCCTGCGAAATTTTTTCTAGGGCCCCCCCATGTCGATAAAATTCCAAAATTATCCCCCCTCCCGCCCCTCTCCCTCCCTCACCCCTTCCCGTTTTTTGGCCCGAGACATTTCAAATCACGGACTTGGACTTGGAATGCCTCACCTCTCACCGTCCCGGATCCCGTACCCGATTATATGGGCCCTCTAAAGGATCAAGGATCCAAAGGGTGACGGGGGCCCAGCCCAGGCCCAAGGATCTACAGAGGGGCCCAGGCCCAAGAATCAAAGGGCCCCCAAGGACCTTGGGGGCCTCCTAATCCCGAAGTACGAAAAGTGACAAAAAAAGAGAACATTTTTAGTAATCTTTGAGTGGACATTGGAAGGTAGGGGCCCTCCAGCAAACAAAAAGTTAGGAACAGTCCAAAAGAAGTATGAAAAACCCCGCGCTAACAATAAAAATCAGAGGAAGAAGCCCCATCTCGGTAAGTAAAGGCCCAAAGTTTGAAACCAAAGCTGAGCATCAAAGATAGAGAGAAAAAAAATTTCCGGCGGCCGAGGGCCCCCTAGACGCCTGGGCCCCCCTGCATAGCAGGGTCTGTGGGGGCGCCCGTTACGCCACTGGAAGTGCTTCAGTAATTTTTTCTATTATATGTATTTCAGCAATTTTCCACTTTTGCCCGTGGATGTTCTTTCAAAATTACCAAATGAGATCTATTTTGCTTAACTCTGTATATGAGCTCTATTTAGTCGTTTTACAATAAGGTAGAGGAATTATTCAAGAAATCGTCTGATCAATTTGCACTAATGGTTATCAGTGCAGTTTAGGCACACAAAACAGCGAAAAATCAGAATTTCTTCCCAAAATTGTCATCTTCTGCAAGTAAATCGAGCATACAGGACGCAATTTATAAATGCGGATTTAGGGTATGCTAGTTGTCAACCCGTAGTGAAATTGCCTAATCACGATCTTCAAACCAAAAATTGGGTTGGTTTTGACTCGTCCCCAAAAGAGAAGGCTCAGCCCGCCAATTGAAGTCGCGGGAAACCAAAATAAGCCGTGTGGTGAATGAATTTTGCTGTCGAAGTGTTGGAGGTGGTACTTTCTTAAATAACTTGCCATGTTATTGACCTATGGACAAAAATTTCGTCCGTATCCTCACATGGATTAAGTGGGGATGACTATTTTCAGGGGAACGGAAAACGGTCACACAGCAAGTAAAAACATAAATTTACACTATATAATATTCTTTACGCACGATTTTTTTGACAGATTCGGCAATGGCCGATGACATCGTGCGAGAGTAAACACGATGCGTTTGAAGTGCGAAGTGTCGCACTAAGGCGCGCTACCGGCTAAAAGTCGGCGACTTGTTTGGCGGTGACAAGTTGCGCGCACGCGCCAAAGATGACCGTCGTCGTGCGCTGCTCGCTCGAGTAAACATACGAGTGTCATGTAGAGGGCCCGCGCATGCAACTCATCACAGTTTTTCAAGAGGCTTGCAGCCTGTTGCCGTTCACAGCTAAAAATTAATGAAAAAAAAAAAAAAGAAAACAAATTTAAAATATTTTTCAGTCATTTTGTATGGTTCACTGAAAAAAAATGTGGTAGATTTTACCATACTCTGGCTCAGTGATCCGAGTATGGTATCAAACACAAGACTCTATGGTAGCGTTTCATTATATTATGGCAAGTATCACCAGAGCTCAAGTGAGTACTGCTATAATTTAAATCACACTTTAAGCTCAAGGGGCGACTTAAACGCAGCCGCAAGAAAGTGGAGATGAATAAAACAGTCGGCCTATACATATAATATAGTTAGTAACGGGTTTAAACTTGCTGACAAACGAGTCTTCCTGGCCCAATTTTTTGCCTCCTGAATCGGAGGACAAAGACAAAGATAAAGAGGAAGAAGAAAAATAAGAAAATGGAGAAAAGAGAAATATATAAAAAGACAGCGACTTTAGAATGTATAAATGAGAAAAAGATTCAGGAGAAGTGGATGAAATACATTTTTCTTCCTCTTCTTTTTTTAAAATTGTTTCTCTTAATTTTCCTGATGTTTCTTTTTCTTCTTCTTCTTTTCGAATGCATCGTCGTCTCATTTTAAATTGGATTAATTTTTGCAATAAGAAACCACTATTCCTGGCTCAGTTCAGAAACAGCATATATGCCATTGGTTTCCCCATGAAGGAAGGCGCTTTTATAGTTGAGCCAGAGATAGTGGTTCCTTATTGCAAAACGCAATCCAATTCATAAGCGTCCTATTATGTGCGTGTGCAAGAAACGGGTTGATCACAACTAATTGAAAGCGGTAGATTTGAGTCTACAAACATTCGTTGCAGATTATATCTAAGCAGCCGGAAAAACTGAGTCATAAATCAAATTAACGCAGTAAATCAGCGCTGTAGCGTTAGCAAGTGAATATTTTATTGGATTGTTTGCCGCCCGGGTGCGCGGAAGATTTTAAGTGGCTCAATTAACGCACTTTATGGGCTAGAAAATTCTCATATTTTTCCGATCCACATCACTCGTTTCAATTCATCAATTCATCAACGCACCGACGAAGGATACCTGTCATTATTTTTTGAAAATTCACTTGCCGCAAATAGTAGAGCGAGGCACAGCTTGAAACTTCTTTTAACTCAATGGTAGAAATATCATATTTTTATTTCGTAAATATTGACATCACTGTGTTACGAATTTGTGGTACCATTGATATGAGGACGGCTACATCAAGAGAATGAAAGAGACATTTTGAGGAATAATAGATGCAGAGAGAAATTTTTGGAGTTTTAAAAGTGACGATCAATTATAGACGTGTAATTCTGAGGGTACCGTCACAATATTTTGTTCTCTCGCTTAAGACACTCTTCAAACTTTTAAGTAGGTGATTAATCGTAAATTGAAATGAATTTAGTTAATACAATAATATCATGACTACACATATACAAAACCACAGGAGCCTGAATATTAAAATCTGATTAGTTCTTGCAAAATGACCAACCTCATGATCGTAGAGTCGGAAATAAAAAATGTAAAATATATAAATAGCAGGGCCGAATTTAGGGGGTGGCCACATGGGCCGCGGCCCATGGCGGCAAATTTTGCAATTTTTTTAAATGTAGGTATAAAAAAATATCGAATTTAGAAACAAAATTACAAACGAGAAAAGGCGACAAAATCTCCACTTCCTGAGAGTATAGTAATTTCTAATTTTGTCGTATTTCGGTGATAAGAGACAGCACCTTTAATTAGCCGAGTAAAGAGAGGAACCAAACACGCAATTTGGCCTGGAACGGCGTGGCGCAGAGAGCAATGATGACGAGGACTTGATATGAAAAAGAGAAGCCCTTGACGCGGCGGTCGACATGTAACACATATTAGCGCCTACAAGACTGCATGAATACTTCACGCATTGCGTCAAACACAGTATTGCGTTCAGCGACGGTCGGTGTGAAACGCATAGCGCCTACAAGACTGTGGGAATGCTTCACGCATTGCGCCGAACACAGTGCTGTCAGTATGTGTTCTTTCATAATCATTTCGTTCATTTCTTATAAATGGAGGGCCTTGTCCAAACGGAGATAGGTTTACGGAACTTAACTTTCGCGCAAAGTTCCGTGAACTGTTGCTAGTAATGTTGATAGGGCGCCGTAAAAAATGTGTCCAACACGATTAAACGCGTATTATGCATCCCTGCTGCACGTTCACTTGATGGTTTTTATTAATGTTTCAAGACGAATGAGAAGGGGGCGGCAAAATACAGGTGGCCCTTGGGCGGCAAGTAGGTAAATCCGGCCCTGATTAATAGAAACATTTTTAAATGATGTTAGAGGATAAATTGTATCGAACTATTCACTTCAATCACGATGGCTACAAAACATCGTTGCATATTTCTCTAACCTTTAACCTTATTGTACTGTCTTATATTCTAAAGTGTCGGCGAGAAGGAGAAAAGTGACGAAGAAACTAAATTTTGATAAACAATTTTGAAACAATTTTATTAAACTTTTTGTTCAAAATTTTTGACTATGTTTTGTTCTGCCATATTAAGCAACATTGATGGTCCTGAGGCAGAGACGAGTAATATCTAAAGTACTTTCAGCAAGTCGTGTAATTTTCCATGTTCCATCGAGGATCATTTTATCTGTAAAATGGAAGTATGTTCGACGCAGGTGGACATTCTGGATAGCAGGAAACAATTTTATACTAATTCCTGGCCCCGCCCCCCGCCTTTCGGGAGCAACGGAACCAGAACGTTGGCTCTAGCTGGGACTCTTTTGTTGCTATTTGAACGGTGTTTCCTTGTATTTTCTTTCTCAAAAATCGGGCTCCCGAACCAGGCTCCCGGCTACGGCCGCTATTAAAATCAGCTGGAGTTATTTGATTCAGGTCGTTGTTGCCAAACGCACAATTATTCATCATTTTCCTCTATAAATACAGAAATCAGTGGTCACGTGATCCTCGATTTGAAAGACTACATTTATCACATCGTATCTTGCAAATTTATGAACGACCGAATTTCTGGAATAACAATCGACTGGGTTTTTGTAAATTAATAAAATATTGGGTTTCACGCACGATTACATGTCAGGTTATTAACGGTAGAATCGAGGGCTTGAAGGGCAAAGCTTATGAGTGCAGTTGTTGGTATTTCGAGAAATACGTGATTCATGTTTCAAAATTACATGGAGCCTTACGACAAAAAGTAAGTTTGAACTCACTTTGCGATGCTCTAAATTTGGATTTTAGTCGTGCATTTTTCACAGAATATACTTTCAAACTAATTTTGGTTGAGTTCATGAATACCTCAATTGTTTCAAAAACTGCACTTTTGCGCCTGGTTCTCCGATCCTCTGAACTGTTGTCAGCGAATAGTTATATAGTTAGTTAGTTAGTTAGTTAGTATATTTTAAGACACTCGGCGTCACAGGCTATTAACGTCTATACAGAGAATTTTGAAAATGAGAGTTTATGTAATTGGAAGTAACTGATATATATGTATGATTGCTTTATGCACCTTAACGCTCATAAAAATGTATGACCTCCCCTATAGCTCCCTATAGGGAGGGAGGCAAAAAAATATAAGGTAATACTAATTGACCTATGACCGAAAATATTTTTTCTGTGTTCCCTGAACATGTCTACCCTTTGCTGAATCTAAGTGTAAAATCGGCAAATATTTGTATCAATGGAAGGGATAGGGGTACTTATTGCTCAAAAACGGAACAATATGGCAACGCAGCCTTGAGCTGCCGATGGAAAACATTTACTTTTAAAGCACCACTCTGTGAGTCATTGGGTGAATTATCAAGTAGGTCGCGAATTTATTCGCACTCAATGGTCTCCTGCTGATGAGCTAGTGCTAGTAGGCCGTAAATCTAGAAAACTGCACCACTGGTATTAGTGGTTAAAGGATAGCGGTTCAAGTCTCAAAAACATACTGAAGTATATGTACTTTTAAAAAATTCCTTGAAAGTGTACTTTCGGAGAACTTAGTTACAGAACATCCAGCGTTTTTCTATATTCTTGTTTTTAATATTCATTTTTCCCATTATTGTGTCTGTGCAGGGCGCTGAAGTATCTGCAGACATTCAAAATGGCTGAAAGCAGCCCCGAAATTCAAGCAAGACTGAAATCGTACAGGAATGCCTACAACCTTGGTGCTGAACAAAATTCTACCGAATTTTGCTCTTCAGACGAACGGTTCCCATGTGAAACGCCACATATTGTCCTCAGACAAGCAAAGAGATCGATCACCTTAATATAATGAATTCACTTTGGAAACTGGAACCTTGGGAATAAATTTTACTCAAAGCAGTTGAACGGATAATCGCACAGAGTTACGTATCACAGAACTGCAGATCGTGTTGGAGATCTCTATGCTTACACCTTTAAATTATTCACATGACATAGATATGTAGCACCTTAATTTCTTAAAATTTTCAATTCAGTCTCCACGCAAATCTTAGGTGGAGTTTTTTTTATTATTATTTACACAAGTGTAAATACACTAAAGAAAAAATTGACACGTTTTTTTCTGAATCCCCAAGAACAATAAAAACATTTGCTATTATTTCTCAAGCCTTTAATATCCATCGTAAAATAGTAGAATAATTTCAATGAAGATGATGAAATAGAAACGTATACTTTTGACTGAATATATTTTCCTTGTAATTTCAAAATACTTTGAGTCAGGAAACCTCATTTGAGGGGTTAAATAATATTGAGCACTAGCACGCGATGTGTGGTGGTTGCTGCTTCAAATTATGGAAATATGCTGCATATACACTATATTTTGCTGTGAGCTTCCAAAATAACTGTGAAACTATTTTTCTTTGTCATTTGTGATTACATCAAAGATTTTTTCAAAAACAGTTTGATATTACCGGTTCACGCATAACCTGATCAATCAGTGCTGCTTAACTATAGTAGCTACACCCGAACAAAATAACACTCAGTTTCCATACCTACATGAGCATAGAAAAGGACGCCAGTTAACAGTCAATTGGTAATGCACCGCAACTTTCTCACTTTGTAAATATCTTTGTATCATTAATTTATTTGTACATAAGTTGAATAATCAAGCCTGTAACTTATCATGTGCCATTATTTAAACAAATAAATGCAAAACCAGACCTAGCTGTGATTTATTTACCCAATTAATTCATGATTTTGAGGATGCTCGCTCACAAGGAATTGATTTGAAATATCAAGCACACATTTTCTTGAAACTACTTGAGCATTTTTAAAAATGGTGGGAAGCAAGAAAAAGTCTGACAATATTCGAAAAGAAAGGAAAAAGTGAAAAGGAGGAACATTATAAACTACGTGCTGCAGCAACACATGGAAAAAATATAGACATCATAGCATAATACTAGGAAAACTTCCTTGATCTGGTGTACGTTCAGTTTTTCCTTTTTCTTTTAGCTTTTGATGTTATCTAAATCAAAAGCTACAAGAAATTTTGATGTAGATATCTCCATCAAAAGCTACAAGAAAAAGAAAAGACGAAACATGAAAACTGTACTCACAGTAACTTCTCGTCGCACATATTTTTTGGCATAAAAGTAGTACTATTTAAAGGGCATTAGCCACGGTCCAATGTGTGGTTTTTCGGTGCATTTTCTGTTTAGTGACATCATAGGGAAATACCTAAAGATAAAAAATACAAATGAAGCAAAATTTTTCAGTAGTTTTAATGAGCTAAGAAAAAATTGCTACTGGTCACAAGGAGGAATGGGATGCATCGGCCATTGTGGTGGGAGTTTTTCGAATCGTCACAAATGACCTTTATTTAACTGCCGCCAACTAAAATCTCCAGTGAGATGAAAATTATGTACGTCGCTATGCGTTCTCCGCTAAAAATCAAGTTGTTTTGTGTGAATGGTATGCTGAAAATTATACTAGCTCAAACTTGTCTTAGTGTTGTTGAGTTCAGAGACCATATGTCCCGGACACCTCGCTTATACAAGAAACATTCGGTCCGTGAGGTATGATGACACACCGCGTTTACTCGGGCTAAAACATCAAAACGCCTTCAATTTCGTGAGTATGCAACTCGGACATCCATCAAGCACGAATAGTTGTATCCAGGCGTTATAACCAAGGATACTCTGCGCTCAGAGATAGTACATTTAAGAGACCCCGCACAGCTATGATATGATGCTCTTCCCTAGCATACCGTGCTATCGAAATAACAGTAACTCTTAAATTGCCACAATCGAGGTTTTTTTTTCTTTTTTTTCTTTTTCTTTTTAAAATTCGTTGTAACCCAATTGAGATGAAATTACCGATTCAGCTAAAATAGCAAAAAGTGTCTTATTTCATTGGTAGAAATATGGTACTTGAGAGAAAGCCGTAACTGCGAAAAACTTGATACAGTTTAAGATAAAGTAGTCGTAAGTAGTGTTATTCCGCCAAAATCTAAGACGGGCTGTACTTTCAATGAAAACGGTGCCGTTTCCTACCAATTTCAAACCTTGAAAATTGTTTTTTGCGAGTGCAAAATGCAACTTTGAGGGCATGCGGTAGCTTTTACGACTGTCTTGCCTAACATGATAATGGAAAAGGATCTTTATACTACACTATACTAGTATGGAAAAACGCCGTATGAACATTCAAATGCTGCCAAGTTTCCCGCGATGAATTGTGTATTTCAGAGAGTAGTTATGAATACTGTTTCTTGAAAATCTCAGATATTTGGGATAAAATGTCGAATAAAAATATTTGAAAGATTGGAAGTAAAATATTCACATGTTTTCCCGGGAAATCCGTACAGGTCATCGAGGTAAATTTTGCAACGTCTGGGGGCTCATACGACTTTTTCCTTGCCGTAGTAGCATTCTGCCGTGCTATGGAAGAAAGTCGTATGAACATTCGAGAGTTGAAACATTTCTGCGTAAAAAAATGTATATTTTTAAGGAGTATGAATATTTTCTCCTGAAATTTTCGGATGCTTTAGATTCAATCACAAAGAAAATTCTCTGAAAAATTGAATGGAAAATGTTCACGAGTTTTTTTCTGAAAATTCGTATCTAAGCAAAATAAATTTGACAACTGACGAAGGTTCATACGGCGTTTTCCCCTGACTCGCAGCATTAGTCACCGGGTGAGTTCAAACTGGCAGAGCAGCAGCATCAAAGCTGATTGTGAGGCTTTTGACAAGCTCATGATGTACCCCGAAAACGCTGCCGCCGCGCCGCGCGTCACTTTTGGAGGAGGGACTCGAGACAAGTGTTACCACCTCAGTTGAAGATTGCCTCCTCCTTCGATTTCCTCTGTGGCTACTTTAATTGTCCTCGTCCTCACAACTACTTTACCAAGAGACTCTCCGCACTCGCGGTCAGTTTTTTTCAAAATCAAACTCCTGACGATCCAGTGAACTTCCTCAATGCATGTCTTCGAGAAACTGTCTTCGGGATTAAATTTGGATTGCAACATTACCAATCGCCGGAAGAAAAAGTCTTGAATTCGCCGTCAGTTGCAGCCCTGTCTTGTTCTCACAGAAATTCAACTAAAATCACGATAAAAAAAAAAAAAAAAAAAAAAAAAAAAAAAAAAAAAAAAAAAAAAAAAAAAAAAAAAAAATGGCAGCAAATCTGAATATCCTCATGCTTGAACAGAACGCCTTGTTCAATAATAATATATTTGCAATTTCTCTTTGCTGGTTTTTCAAACGGTTACAAAAGGAGACCATTGAATTTAAGATTTTTCTTTCTTAAGTGCAAGCAATGGAACATGGGTAAAAAGGTATAGAATAGGCAAAAATTAAAATAAGAAATGGAAACCTGTAAACATTGGTATATTTTCAAAACAGCTTCTAAAATATCTCAATTCAATCACGGCGTCTTTAATAATGATCATTCTCTGTATACTTACTATGTGGATGGGAGGGAGAAAAAGGGGGGAAAAGAGAGAGAGAAAGAGAAAAACTTCAGAGATAATTGTATGGTATTCATATTATAGCAAAATAATAAAGTTCCTTTTAATTCTTAGATTCTAATTCTAACACGGCAGGAAAAAAAATTACAAATCAAGGAATGAACTTTCTTGATGCAATTTTTAAAAATTGATCATCAATCAAAGTTATTATTAGTGTCTTTCACAAGATATTTTTCTAGCAAAATTTAGACACCAGGAAGTAGAAACACTCAGAAAAGACATTCAAAAGGAATGTTTTTAAACCAAGAGTTTTCCCTAGATTAAGTTTACCTCAGCTTTCGATTCTCCGTCGAGGGAAAATCAAATCAAAGATCAATTCGTCCCACTGAGCGCCATGCTCTTGAGCCAGACTCCTTCTCTTCTGCATTTCTATAAAGTCTCCCCTCTTTTTCTTGCCTGAACACCTTATCATCGCCTTGCTATATCATCCCCTCTCCTCTCAACTGACATAATTTTCGGTAATTTTTTTATCCGCCGATCTTTCTGCTTCTTGTTTCGGGCAGGACAGTACCAACTCTGGACCAGTCAGGCTGTAAAACCGGGAAAATATTTCGGGATCGGTGATGGAAACTGTGCGTTCGTTATGATAAGACATTCGTTAAACCCAAGTTCTAAAAAACGTAATTTTACTTAAAGGAGGGTGTCGACAGCACGTAACATCCGTGACACAAACTGAAGCTATTACTTTTGCTTGCTGTATCTGAATAGTTCAGTCGTTTTGAAGCAGTTTGTCAGTGCTAAGATCCGGAATGATTTTCCAATAGCTTTTTTGTAAAAGGAAAAAACAAAACATTGAAGAGACGCGTGAAAAAGATATTTGATTAAAACTCGATAATTTTATAATCAAGAACTTTAAAATGACCTAATCTAGATGTTTCTCTGACGTTCTTAACGTCAGAATTTCGTCTCATCAATTAGTTTTACCGGTTCTTGGAGATAAAACTAATACATTTGAGATGCTGTGCTACAATTTAATTTTCCTTTAATCCTATAGAGTGTGAAATGGGATGAATATCATGAAAATGGTGCGTAAACGCGAATAAAATGCTACGTTATCAGCAATGGGTAGTATTTTTGGGCTCATTTAATAAGACCTTCACCCAAAATTTAGTTGGAAATTGGAACTATCCTGGAGTTTTGCGCGTATTGCTGTGCGATAAAATCAGCCCGCGCTGATTCCGCGTTCGTCTATGACAATCTGAATTTCATCGCTGATACCACCAATCAGTCAGTCAACAACTACAAGAGAAACTTCAGAAGTTTTTTGGGCCCCTGCCGGTAAGCTTTCACATTTATTTTCCACTTCGAGAGGTATTACTTTCAACTGTTCAAAAATACTTTTGTGTTTAACATGACTTAGTATTAGATATTTTTATGGATAAATTCTCATAGAAGATGGAATTTGCGGTTTTCCCCTCGAAATGAGACACAGGTGCTATTCTTACGATAAAGGGGACCTTTTCATGTATGTGCTGGGCATGAATAATAGTTTTTAATGGTTATAGAACAGATGACGAAGGTCATAAGTGCCGTGATAGCGAAGGGAGTTGTAAGTACATTTTTGTATGAGCCGCGGTTAGCACATGTCTGTATGTGTCTCGGGGTTCATCCCAGCATTCACCTACTGCTCTCTTCGCTATCGCGGGAGATAATGTGAGTGAGCAATTACTTATTATTACAGCGGCAATAATTATCCTTAAATTCAGAACCGTTGGAACTTGAATCAAAAACCATGATGGCAAGAAATTTACGGAAGGTATTAACAGAAGAGTATTAGCAAGGAAGTCGGAGAAATTTACATTAGCCAAAAACTTTTTTGAATGCCTAATTTATTTAGCTGTCGGAAAATGTGAAAACTGACAATTTTGAATGGTTTTGTAAGTTGGTGCAAAAACCAACTGAGACTAAAATAGAAACCTTTAGTTGTTGAAAAATATTCCTATCGTGTTTCTTAGGGACCAAAATGTGTATTTACTTTTCATGAAAAATGAGAAAAAAGAAGAAAAAAATCTGTCAAAGCATCACTGAATTTTAGAATTTTTTTCACCATGGTCTTTGATAAAAAAAAAAAAAAAAAAAAAACTTGATGCATTTATTTAATTCCTTGGATGTTTCTTATTGACTTATTTACTGTTCATCTAGCCATAGCACAATGAAATTAAAAGACGATCGTTCGAGCCAAAAATTCAAAGCACATGCTTAATTTGCATCATCACGACTATTCTAAAACGGTAGAAATGATTTTTAGAGCATATTTGAGTATGATTTTTTTATGGCAAAGACAAAACACAATAGTTTTTTTCATTTATTTGATAAAACTGCTTAAATCCTGACAATATGTAATTTCAACTAATTGTTATCCTGGAATTTGGTAAGGCTTCTCATGCAAATTATTAAAATAGACGGATTCGACTTTCGTCACTATCTACATAACTCCTATATCAGCACATGCTTATCAATCAAATAGACGAGTCACTTGCAAAGAAATCGCTACATGCAACCGCAAAATCGCATTTGCAATATCAGCACTTTTTTCAGTCATAAGGGTATTAGACGTAGTTTTATCAATAGGCGTTCACATGACGAATAACAGACAGTCCATATATTACGTCAGCGCTTCGAAAGCGTTTAGCGAAAACGTTAGCGTTTCGAAATCACGATTTAAATGAGAGAATCTGGCCGGGATATTACAGTTGCAATTACGTCTTTATACTACTTCTCACATTTAAAAGTTCCGTAACGTTCTTCGAATCGTATCCACTTCGAATGGATTGCTCACCAGTTTATCCGTGTATAACATACCTGAAATTTTCAGAATTTTTTTAAGAAATGTAAATGTTTTTTCCCTTGTAACGGAAAACAATTGTATCCAAAAATAAAAAGGACCGGAAAAAGTTAATGTATTAATTCCTTCTTATGGAAGCTGAAAAATGTTTCGAGGCAAAGGTCTGATGAGGCTCCAAAAATAATGTGCGATTTTATCGAAATCTAGGAGAGGGTAAGTGCGAGAACACGTATCTCCGTTTCGGAGGTTCATGTCCAACTTTATTTTTTCTTAAAAACTAGTATGATTTCTTGAATTTTTTTCTCTGTTAGAAAAATATTCCATATAAATGTCAAGCTATAAAGTTAGCTTGTTGCTCTTCGAGAAAGTATGATAGGAGCGGAAATTTTGAAACACTGCAATACTGCCGTGCTAAGCAAGAACGCCGTAAATCCACCAAGATTTTCTCGCAATTTTTGGAACTTAACACTTAATAAAATAAAAACTGTTTTACCTATGCACCTCAAATTTTCAGGTTAAGTTCTTGATAGTATTTGAGAAAGAATTCGGTAAAAACATTTTCCCAAAGTACACAAGTTTTTTGGCTATGATAAATTTGTTTCTAAATAATGCAAAATAGCGTTTACGGCGTTTTTGCGTTGCATGGCAGAATGGAGATACGAGCTTTTGCACTTTGGCCGTCAATATACAGACATTTACTGTAATATCCTTTTGTGGAAGAAATAACTGGTGAGCAAGTCCATTCGTATTGAAAGCTCGGTAAAATTTCGAATGGTGCTAGTTTACAGTTTTTATTTACCTTGTTCTCCGTTTGAAAAATGTCACATTTTTGCGTATTTGCCTTTTTCCGTTGCCCTGCACGGCAGCCGCTTCCCACGATTGTGCCTGATAATCCCCGAATGTTTGCTGTTCCATGATGCAGGCTTTCTAAAGGATTCCACTTTGCTTGCTTCGTAATTTTGCTATATCTTAGGTAAGTTCTATTCTTCTCCAACTATTCTGCTTCTTGTTAGTTGTATTATTCTTCCTTTACCTTTATACTTTTTAAGTTAGTCGTACGCTCTAAAGAAAAAATAATTCCGCTATCGATTAGAACCGATGGCCGCAGTGCAAAACCTTGTATCTCCATTGCAGCGTTTCAAAATTGCCGCTCATATTTTATTTTTGACGAGATGAACAAGCCAGCTTTACAACTTGAAATTCATACAGAAAGAAGCATTTCTTCTTGTAAAGAAGAAAATTCAAGGAAATTTTTAACAAGTTACATTGAACATAGTATTCCAAAGATAAAATAAAGCGTGATAGGTAGTCTGCAACGTCGCAAATGGAGATACGTGATTTTGCACTTTAGCCATCAAAATGGATTATGAAAATAGAGTGGCCCTGATCTGGTTGATTTGAAGTTCTACCTTGATATTTCTGTATTGTATTTCCCCGATAATTGAAGGAGGTACTGTCCTGGGATTGAGGTCACGGGATTTTTCGTTTCTCAAACTATCCAGTATGGATAATGCTTTTTACTATGTATTTGAGAGCCACAATATAGAGGAGTAGAAAATTTTAATTCCATGTAGCCGTAACTGCCGTAACTGACCTATCTGCCAGTTTGGAAAGTTGTAGAATTCTTCTTTGTTTAACACATGCTTTTCGTTGAGCAAGTTAATCAAAGTTAAAAAACTTAATATGTTATTATTGTCAAACAAACTTGAATATGGAGGTTTAATTTTTTTTGTTTTTTTGTTTTTTTTTTTTTTTTTTTTTTTTTTTTTTTTTTTTTTTACATGTCGATGATTTTTAATACAAAGTTACGAATTTTTATTGATAAATTTAAACTAGATTGCCAAATTATAACGGTATATCAGTCAAGTTGATCATTCTCAGCGCTTGACTGTTCAAACGTCCAGCTTATACATTATGATTGGATTCACGACCATATTCCGAAAATAATTTAAGAGCGTACAGATATCTCAGCAGAAACGCGCGGAGAGGAAACTGAGATGGAGCGAAAGGTTAGTTAACTGAAAGGAGAAAAAAGAAAAAGTTAATAGGTTCGAAGAGAACATATTAGAAGAAGAGAGTCAAAAAAACTTTAATCTCTAACAAGTTTTTTTCATGAAAATAAATCATTGTGCGCATTTAATTTAAGCACTCAACTACGCATGAAGTATTTTTTGAATGAAAGTTGTGGCCACATGGTGGGATTTTATCTTTTGTATTATTGAAAACATGTTTAAAATCAAGCGAGTTTTTTGCAATAAACTTCTCGCCTAACTTTCTCCTCCATTGCTATCCTCACGGACATTTTTGGTCCAGGTACTTGTAGCTTTTGATGGTAAAATCCAAACTCTGATTTAGGAAGCTCGAGTCTTGGTAAAAAATATGCTCAACGGAAACTGCAGTAACCCGTCCCGAAGTTTGGGCCCTATTACCGAAAACTTCAGTGTTTCATACGAAGCAAAGTTCTTTTTTTGTCCGTGAACGGTCCTCAAAATTGATGTTGGCTTCTCAACTAACTTACATACCTGGATTGACCACTGGTCAACACTATCTCTTAGTTTCACTGTCACGGGCCGGATGGATCTATTTAACCGCGGCACAAGAAACCGCCCTCGATCTTGTGACAACTCCCGATTCTCCGAGCTCTGTCATTTCCCGGGCATTTTGGAGACATTCGAAAACGAAATGTGTGCAGGAAAGAAAACCCACTCACCCAATTCCGGCTGGAAAGTGGGTTCGAAAGTGTTTTTTGGGGCCGCCGCCACATTCCCGGCGCGGTTTCGAGAAAATCCGACGGCTCATTTCCGGAGTTTAGTTGCGGACACTCGACCGTTTCCGCTTTGATTCGCGCGTGAGGACCATCATCGGCGTGCGTAAGACGATGCCTTTTTCACTGCTCTTCGTCGAGATCCACTCTTTGAGTGGATATGTCCAGTGTCAGCTCCACGTGGAGAATATAACTGGTCCCAGTACTTTGTGCTTGTTGGTACCAACGGGAATTTTAGCGTCTACGGTAGTGCATGAGATGAGGGTCTGACAAGCTCCTTGTTAGGTATAGAGTTTGACAGGAAAGGGCGCTATGAAGGGCGCTTTCAAACTTAGAGGTCCTTACACGCAGGGACGACCCTGTATATGTATTCACTATTCAGCCCCATTTCTGTAAATACAGTTAGATCATACAAATCACGGAGGTATTGATCCAATAATTTTCACTTACTTTACTTTTATACCTAGAAAGAAGTCTTCAGATTGTAATTTCGGCGAACAAGCGATCATGATATGATATCGGCAATGTGATTGACAATTAAAATATAATTTTAATTTTTCTAAAACTTAGCTTAAATTCGGAACTTAAGTTATTGTTATCTACTGTATTTCGGATAATTTTCACATACTACACATATAGTATATGAGCTGCAGCTGGCAGCGCACAGCGCATAGCTGAATTTTTACTGATTTTCTTGTTTCCTAGCACTTGGCATCCGCTCTATCATAATACACTAGCGAACTTTATGGCACAAAGCTTAAATTATCACTAGCTACACATAATGCTCAAAACAATTCAACATATACGTATAGCATACAGCAGACATTCAACTGCATACGGATAAGTCTGTTCTAAAGAAATAAAATTATCTAGATCGATTAAAGGAAGTGATATCATTTAGGACACAGTGCCCATTTCTCTCTTAGGTGTGGAAATTATCAATAATGAGTTCTGTGACGAATTTTCGAAACTGCACCATTATTTTCGAGTAATCGCAATGAATGGAGTCCATGTTTGTATTTCTATTATTGTATATAGCGTTCTTTGCAAATCCTCCCAAATTTAATTAGTATAGCGATATGTTAGCAGCCGGTAAGACATTTGCATATTTTCTCCCCTGAATTTTTTCGATGATTCGGTGAAAATACAGAATTTATTATATTTCTTTCATCGTGCCTGTTAAATTTTTGAAGAGTGAGAGTTAAGTATGGCGTAAAAAATTCAGCACTGTCACAGTATTTTGCTGCATAATAGATGGAAAGTGAGTCGTTACGATGAAATACTCGGTACTTAGGGTACCATCGAAGAGTTTGGATGATTTGGGAGTCATCTCGTTTTCCAGGCAGCGAAAGTGCAAAACTGCAAAGCCTGATTATTTCGCGTAATTGATTACCTACTGGTGATTATGCCCCAGCATGAATGAATGGATTCATCTCCTTGTTGCCATTTCTCAGACCGTGTCAAACGCCCTTTCTACGTCGTTTTACCAGACGAGTCTAATATTAGCTAAATGAGAACAAAAAAAGTTTGGCTTTGCGAACCATAAGCACGGTGTTCTGTATCGGCCGAATTGTTCGGTTCATGTGACCGTAAACTCGATTCTACGAGCCAAACCTTCAAACCAAACCGAACTATAGAATCAGCTTGGCTGCATAAACCAAGGATATCGACGGTGAAACTACCAGACCACGTATCTCGTTTGCGGTGTTTAAAAATCTACGCTCACATTTTATTTTTTTGAAGTAGACCAAATCAATATCATTCCTTGAAACTTTCACGGAATTTTCTCCGCACAAAGAGGAAAAATCACAGAAATTTTCAAGACTGGATGTTAAGTAGTTTTTCATTTAAAAAATAAAGTATGACAGGAAGTCTGCGACGTCGCAAACCGAGATACGTGGTTTGGTAGTTTCACCGTCGATATGGCTCTTAGAGCCGAAGAACCGAAAGTAAACTCATTTGAACGGAATACACCATAGGACATTACTGCCGTGACAGCGAAGAGAGCAGTAAGTTCATAGTTAGCATGCTTTTAAGTGTTTTGCGGATCATCCCAGCATGCACTTACTGCTCTCTTCGCTATCACGGCAGATTAAGACACCATACTTACGGCTCATAGGACGGAATTTTTGTCTCATATGCGTAAACATGCATTTTATCTTCCATACATCTGAAAAAATATCACGGAGACGAAAAAAAAAATAAAACTGTCAGCTCTCTTTAAGATAAGGCCCTTGATAAAATAAATCTTAATAAAGAGCTAATTTTAATTATTTTCTCATGTAAAATCGCAAAACAATCATGATTATGCACCGATAAATGTTTTATCACTTAGAGCACGGCGTCATAACTTGCATCCTTCACTTGCGCTTTTCCTCTCCTTTCCTACGCTTTAAAAGTATGCAACAACAAGGAAGTATATTTCTTTGCACAAATGAATTATTTCACGCTGCGAAAACCCTATAACGCGGACGAAGTAATGATTGCGATCATAAGATTTACATCAATGAATTAGATGGAGGCATGACGTTTTCTTTAACGATGAGAGAAATCGAAGAGTCAAAGTATTCACGAGGTATCCGGATTTCCGTTTGGAGTTTTGGCTAGATGGTCTTGAACATTTTGCCACAATGAACGACATGTGACGGAGCATTATTCTCAAGGAAGACCATATTTTTTCAATGTTGTTTTGGACTGGTAAAACCAACATGTAAATTAACACTGTTTTTCATTCCGTACCTCCGTCGGAGTTTCTCTCCGTCTCATAACTTCATAATTTTTCTTTTCTTTTCTTTCGTTTGATAAAAGCTTCGGGAGACTTCATAATTTTCTTATCACCTCAATGTAAGTAGACCAGAGAAGATGACTGTTGCGAACTTTTTGCGTAATTCGAGTAATATCCTCGATATACCTTTACATTTTAGTCGAAAATGTCCTTCACGTGATTCTGTGGCCATCATGTTTGGTGTCAGAACGACTTTCGATCAATCGCATCGATTATTCATATGTTTTTAGGTGCTTGTCATTTTTATCGAATTTTGAGATCACATTTCTGTTGTCACAAGACAGAAGAATTAACTTACCGAATTTGACAAACTTTAGCGTAACGTAGGTTTCTTGTACATTTTGTTCAAGTAAGGATGTTGCGCTGCACCTTGGATCTGGATTTCCTTTCTATCCTTGCGTTCAAGTCTCCAATAATTTTCAGT